TAATCTATTTCTTAATTTGTCTTTTTAAGAAAATTCAACTTCGTTTTCTCTACACTCGACCTGGATTAATTCAGCCAGATTTAGTGAATGAGGAAATCGAAATGGAAGAAAAAGATTCTGAATTCCCTAAAACTAATGAAAATATAAAAGGAATATTAATCCCAAATTAACATTTTAACCAAAATTTATTAATCATTTTTAACTAACTAAATTCATAACTAATTTACCTTCATTCTCATCTACACCTTTATCATCCTCATCATCATCATCATCATCACCATCATCAACTCTAGTTATTCACTTTAACTATATTTTAATCATGATTTTATTTTTTCTTTCATTTATTGTTTAGAGATGAATCCTAAAAAACGATATAATTTATTTCAATACAAAATATTAAAAACGATGCCACAGAACCCAACTACAATCATTGAACGAATTGATTCTGGTTCTGAATCTCCCCTTGAAAATGAAACACCAGATAACCCTGATATCCAACTTGATACTTTCAATACCGTCCCTCAGATAATACCTTCAACATCAAAAATAGAAGAACCTTCTGATCAAACCCAAGAATCAGTATTTAAAATAGATATTTCTCCCTCAGCTATCAGAAATTTGTCATCAAAAATGGATAAGATGATTGATGAGAGAAACAATAACCAACGAGATCGCTGGAATCAAATACCGTCAGCATCCCATCAACTTGATTTACGAAAAGATATAATTTCGTTGTTTACATTTTCAAAAACAATCAAAGTACATTCTAACTCGGACTTTTGGACGAAAATCTTCAATGAACATGGTGTCATGAGGTATGGACAACGAGTAAAACACAGTTTTGTAAATTCCCGATTCGAAATCTATTTAGGAAGAAAATCCTTATTTACTATAATCATCCTCCTTTCTAATGACCAAGAAGAGTACAACCGAGGATGTGAATTCTTAAAAACGATGGCCACTAGATCAGGATTCTACCAAGAATTACCATGTGATTACTGTGGAATTTGTTTCTCAATCGGCCATAGTACCAGAAATTGCCATTGTTGTACTTATTGTCATGAACGTTCTCATTACGTTTCTAAATGTCCAAAATATCAACAACAAAATACATCAACTTTGGCCTCTACGGTAGTTACAGACAACTCTAAACCGTATAATCCATCAAAATATACAAACAAAGCAACACCAGTTACGAAAAGATCTATCAAAAAAGATGTTAACATCGGAGCAGCTTTTAGACATGCAGGTGAAATCATGGTTGCAGGTATTTTGAATCCAGATAATGTTATCCTTAAAGAAATCGGTGAACCTCCAATGCAAACCGTTGCTTTAGATTGCGAAGGTTGTACTCGATTTGATGGAGAAAAAGAAGTAAATGTGGTTAGTCGTTTGTGTGTGGCCGGCTATTTTGACTCTACTATCAAGGTCAATAACATTTACTATACTTGTGTTAAACATCACAACTTAAGCAGGTATAATTTATGTTATGGTGGTGTTCCTCCTCCTGAACTCAACAATGGTGAACCGTTAGGAACTGTTCAAAATAAGTTGTTAAGAATTCTCACTGGTAAACGACTAATTCTACATCACGGAGAAATTGACCTCGAACTTTGTGGGTTAAAACGGAAAGATTTAGAACAAAATTACAAATGTAAAATTGTAATGTTAAGTGATCTATTCAAAGATGGTAATGGTCAACATTTCAGCTTAAACAAACTTTATTCTTTTCTTTCTCCAAACGCTCAAATGTTACAACAATTTGGTGCTATGCCTGGTGGTAATCATAATCCTGAGAAAGACGCAAGAGCTACTTTGAAGTGTTACCTCAAATGGATTAACTACCCTAATCGTGACCTCCTTTCTTCTCATGGAGATAAAATACGAGACTTAATCAATTCTGGTAAAAATATTAACGATTTCAACTTAATGTTCGCAGATGAAATGGAGAAAAGAAAACCTTGGGATGGAAAATGGAATTGGGAAGAAAAATCTTCTGAACACTCGTGGAAATGGTAAAGACTGAGGACAGTCTTTTTTCAGAAGACCCGGCAATTGTGATGATGAAAATTTCATCATCTTTACCTTTCTCTTTCTCTCTCTCTCACCCAAATTCCTTCTTCTCTTTCGCTCTCTCTGTCTACCTCAATCTCTTTCTCTTCTTTCTCTTCCCTCCGCCCACATTCCTTTTCCTCTTTCTTCTTTTCCTGTCTATTTTTTTTTTCTCCATTTTCTCTCTATTTCCTTTTCCCTCATTCTCACCTCAACAACAACAACTATCACAACAAGTGTTTTATATTCAAAAATTGTTATTGTTTATTGATATTTTCAATAGTTTTCTTTACTACAATTGGCTAATTTTATATATACAAAATATATGTAATGTAAAGAAGAAATTGGAGAAAGAAAATCAAAGGGATATTAATTCCTCTTTCTTTTTCTTTTTCTCTTTCTTTGATTTAATTTCTCTTTCCTTTTCTCTTTCATTTCTCTTTCTTTTGTTTAATTTTTCTCTTTCTCTGCCTCCTACTTTTCCCCTACATTTAATTTTGGTAATTAATTAATTGTTGTAAATTTTGATGTCGCTCATTGTTGCGGTTGTTTTTGAAAACAACATTGGATTTAATTGTTGATTGTTGATTAACAACAATAATCATTTTTATTAATTAATTTCATTGTTGATGATGATGGTAAACAACAACAACAACAACAACAACAACAACAACAACAAGGTGAATCAATCATTAGCTTTTGATGGTGATGGTTCAACTAATTAATATGTTTGATTTTAATTTAATTTAATAAAGTTAATTTGTATTTAATTTTAAATCAAGTTGATTTAGTTAATTAATTTAATTTCAGGTAACGATTTGGTTTATTTCCAAGGAAGTGAATTAATTTGGAATTCATATTTGAGAAATTAAACTAATCGTTTCCATTGCTGAATTTCTGGCTGTTACCCTTGCTGCTGCTGTCCCACCTTATATATATATAAGAAAAAGGTAAAAAATTAAAACTTTACATGTTTCTTTTCCCTTCCTTTCCCTATCATCTCCTTACCACAACGGGTGTCCGTTGTGGTGGAATCCCTCTCCTCCTTAAAATTAGATAAATTGAATTTTCAATGATTCGGGTGCTCGAATCATTGAAAGATGTTATATAAAATTTAGATCAATCAATTGATTATCAGAAAGATCAATTAACAACCGAATCTCCATCTAAGCCGAATCTCAGTTAAGCCGAATCTCAGTTAAGCCGAATCTCAGTTAAGCCGAATCTCAGTTAAGCCGAATCTCAGTTAAGCTGAATCCCAGTTAAGCTAAAATTAAGATAAATCGAATTGCCGTCAAACTGAATTTCAACAAACTAAAGTTCAACATTAAAAATAAAATTAAACACCAGAATCTCATCACCAGAATCTCATCACCAGAATCTCATCACCAGAATCTCATCACCAGAATCTCATCACCAGAATCTCATCACCAGAATCTCATCACCAGAATCTCATCACCAGAATCTCATCACCAGAATCTTATTACCTTAATTTCATTACTATAATCTTATTATTCTAATAGATAAGCCGGGTTGCCCGACTAATCTCTTTCCCTTTCTTTTTGTTTTCTTTAACTTCTTTTTTTTGTAAAAGGTTACTTAATTAATAAGGTTACAATTCTCAGGTTAGAAAATCAATTATGAATATACAGTAATTAATTAAATAGTTAATCAGAAAATTAATTTAGGAAACAACAACAATTAAAGTTAGACCATTAATTATCGGAAATCGTTAATAGTTAACTCAGTAAAATTACAGGAAATCAAATCAATTAACCAATTTAATAGTAATCAGTTAGTTAAGATTCACAGGGTAATTAAATAAATCAATTAGTATAAAGTTCCCATGAGAATCAATTTCATCGATTAGATCAAGAAAATTCGACATCAGTATAAAATCAAAAGTAAATCAATTAGAATCCTCAGAGTTAAATTTTCATTTGACTACTCAAGTTCACCTTATTAATTAATTAATCTTCTTTTCTTTTAATTTGTGTTCAATTGATTTTCATCAATTCTTTTCTTTTAATTTGTGTTCAATTGATTTTCATCAATTTCTTTCTATTAATCCGTATTCTTATATTTTCTTCTTCTTTATTATATCTTAATCTCTTTATTGTTCACCCTCAATTATAAATCAATTATTAACTTGTGTACCCTTCTAAACATTTTATAAAATTATTACCATTAAACTTTAATTTGCCATATTTAAAACCGTCACAAAAACAAACGTGACAATAAATTACATGAGATTGAAACTGTGTCAAGCAAAGATATTATTTGAATATTTCATCCGTAACACAGTGACAATATTTAGCTAGTTCCATTGATATTATGATAAACGTTCTTGCCACTCTAAAATAAAATAAGGCTATGAACGGAATAGCGTTGAATTTAGAATAACAATGAGTCGGAAATGAAAAGAAAATATTCACAGATAGCTCGAAACTTTAAGAAAGATAAACATGATCTTGTGGAATTACTTTCAATAGTCACAAACATGAGCCTACCTTAGAATTTGATATATTAGTTCTATCATCAGAAACTTATTCAACTCTTCAAAACTTGCGAATTCATGTTCTGTCAGAAATTTAAATTTTTCCTTCACATAATCATCATGTCACCATGACTTTGTAATCTTTTTCTCTCGCCTCACACAGTTTATAATAGAAAGATTATCCTTGATATTCAAATATTCTGATGCTAAAAGATTTCCATTTGGTCTATGTTAAAATCACTCTACACATAAAGTTACATATAATAGCAGCTAAGAGAAATCACATCGTATTTGAATTATAATGATTAGTAAATTAATAGATATTGTACTTTGTTCATGATTCTAGTATACTCCAACATTAGCATGAGTAATAGCAACTCAAAATTTACATGATTATCACATAAAAGATAGACAAAATATTTTTTTCTAAATTTTGTTTTTCTTCCCATAGGTAAACCACCTCCCAGAATTTTATGGTATTTAAATGATACTTTAGTAGACGAGACTTATGAAATAATGGACACACCATCAACCAATTTATCATCAACATCATCATCATCAGCATCACAGGCAACGATAAACTCTCATGTTATCAATCGTTTATCAATCTCAAAACTGGATCGTTCTTATTACCAATCCGTCCTTACCTGTCAGGCAATTAACAATTATCATCCATCAGTTCCCGTTTCAATATCAATAAGACTCGACATGTATCGTAAGTTTTTATAATAAGTGAAAAAGTTAATCATTTATGAAATCAGTTGGAATCAGAAATTATCCCAAAAGATGTAACATTTTTCCGTCTCAAAAAACAAAAAAGAGTATCAACTTCATCTGTCAAATAGTTTGCATAATATTATATCCATCATGCTTATTTACTCAGAATCATCCCATGTTGTATTCATGTTGTTCAATGAACCTTATCCTCCCTTTGAGTCAATTACTTACAACTGAGGATTCTGATGATGATCACTGTCTAGTTTCATGATAATATTTAATATTGTCTTGTTTTGATAAATTGGAGAAGGGAAAAAAGTTATATATTATTATTGCAAATATACCATGAATCTATTGAAACTGTAGAAGAAGAAGAAAAAAAAACTTTTCTATCAAATTTTTTTTCGACTTTTTTTTCTCATCTTCTTCTAATATTCACTTATCATCATATTACATTTATCATTCCAATGTTATCTCATTTAATAGCAAGAGGGAAGGGAAGAGAAATAAAAATGAGTCTACATACATGTGATGAAAGACATTCATATTTGCTTGTTAAGAGAGGAGAAGATATAATTTGCCTGAGAAACATTGAAATTATCAGTAAAGATCAGAAAAGTTCAAATATTAGATTGAAAATTTTAGTACAATGAACAGTGTATTAAGTATATTGAAATACACACTAAGAAAGTTAAAGGTAAAGTTAACAGGGAGGATGAAAATATTGTTATTATTATTTGAAACTCCAAACAAATTCATTCATATATTGAACCTTATTTGATATTTAATGTAAAATCAATAATCAAGGAAAAAAAGACAACAGCCAGTGAGAGATTTTAAGCAAGAGAGAGAGAGTATCATCACAAGTGATATTAATAGTTGATAAGGTGAGTAGAAATGATGAAAAAACGATGATGATTATAACGATATCGAATCCCGAGAATTGATTCAATTTTGATTTTTTTTACTCCAAACTTTTTTACCGTTATCTTTGAGACTTTCTCATTCAACAGAAACTTTTAAAAGGTAAACATTTCAAGTGAAACTTTTTAATGAACCCAAACAATAAGTTACACAAAAAAGTAAATTGACCAATCAAGGTTGCAAAGTCACAACTGTGTGTTAACCATAACAAAATTCATTTCGCTGGTCAAATAATAATAATCACCTACTGATGATGTATATTAAAAAAAGAAGCCTTTTATATCCTTATTGTTACCTTGATGAGCAAAACCTTTGATGGTATTGAACAAAAAGTAATCAATATCAAGGTGAGAGGAAAAAAAGTATTACAACAAAAAAGAAAACCGAAATCATCAAAGAAGAATGTGAAATCTTTGTAATTTGAGGGAGAGAAAATTTTCAAACTTAAATTTTCATGGTATTCTTTTCCCTATCAACCTCTCTGTAGATTCATTCAAGTTTAATGGTGGTCATGAGGATGATTATTACAATTGCATAACTGTAATTAAGTTAATTGTGTATCTTCAAAATTAGTACAAGAGGAAATAAAATTTTCCTACAAATTAATTTGTAGACGAACCAATTACCTTTGATAATTACTACTACCTTGATAGCCATTGTCAAATATTAGCTTAAATTAGACCACTAATTGATTAAGAGTAACCCGAGAACCACAGTAAGAAATTGATTAGTTAATTATTACACTGACATCATCATCATCATCTACCTGGTTAATGATGATGATAATCAAGAGCAAGTTTAATGTTAGAGAGATAAGTCAATCTGGTTGATCAAAGTTGATTGTTGATTTGTCTTTTTTTTTCTTTACCTTAACAATCAACTTGGTTTGTTTTCATATTCTTCTTGTAAGTCATTTAACCTTCAATCTAAAGTTCATTCATAGATAATTTAATCTTATCCAATTGAGAACAGAAAGTGTTTAGATTTTGAAGATTTTTTCTTCTTCTTGAATACCTTGACTCAGAACTTTAGATAAAGTGATGCGTTAACATCAATTTGGAAAAAAATTGAGATAATAGCTTCTGATATCGAGTATTATCTTTCGCTTTGCTTCATTTTAGTTGATATTTACATTTTCTTCTGATATTTGACATTTTCCCCTTCGTCACAATCATGTTCATGTTAAACAGCCAACATGATGATAATGAACTTTCAAATTGTGATAATAGACCTTGAGTTGTTTTTGTTACAAATCAATGTCAATAAGTTGACAAGGTGAATGTTTTACATATCTCTCTCTCTCTCCTCCTGTACACTTGATACTGTTGATTGTTTGAATGCTTCTCGAATCAGAATAGCTAATTTATTCATCATTATGATTAGAGATTCATATTCAATACCAGTTGAGTTCAACTGAGAAAATTTTCAACAGAAGATTAAGTTAACTCTTTTTCGATTCTGTCTCCAATTTATTATTAGAAGAGGTAAAATTTGATTACTGTCATGTGTTGAGCGAAATTGCGAGAAAAGTTTTTGACAAAAATTGATTTTCTAATCATTCTCAGCAACTAGATTAGAACTCGAGATTTAAATAACTTTAGATTCTGTTTTTATACTAGAAATTTAAGTTAAGAATTATTCATGGTGAAATTTGTTTATTTCTATTGGAATAATAGTTACTACTCTATTATTGGGAAAGAGCAAAGAAAAAAAGTTCACCGCCAAGTATTAGTTCCAAGTAATATCGTTGTTTTTATCAATATTTTTTTCGGAAAAACTTTTATTCCAATTCCTTGGTGAATAAGCCATCCAGGGTTAATATAATGCTTTTACTAGGATGATGTTATCATGGAAATAATAATATGAAAGGGGAATCCATTCAATCACTATCTAGATCTGGATCTTGTATTATTATAAAAGATGAATAAGGAAAAGATATAATAATGTTTACATGAAGATGGAAGAGCTGGAGAAAAAAAAATGTGATGGACTTGGGTCAAAGCTCTGGTTGATTGAATACAGAACGAGTAAATCCTTGGAATACCTTAAGAATATAAGAGTTGAAATAGAATCGAGTGATGAAGATTCAGACGATAAGATGAAAATTCAATAACCACAGAGAAAAAAATAAAGAAAAAGTTAAAAAGCTAAAGATTTTTTTCTTCTTCTCCATCAATTTCCAGTCTAATCTAAATTTTCACTTCCAACATGATGATCTCTTTTCTGGAACTTTTTTTTCATATCTATTAATATCATGATCATCATTTAAAACGTTTTGATAACTTTCAACATTTCACAAGTCAACTTGACGAGTGATTTAAATGTAAATAAAATTAAAGTTAATCAACGTAATTAATTGTTTGAATGACAAAGTGTATCAACTGTAAGTTGATTCTTTTTTTTTCATTTTGATTGTTGATAGATTTTTAAAACTTTGTCAGATAATTATCACTGAAATTGGCAAGAGTTATTCATTTGCATCATCATCATCATCATCATCATCATCATCATCATCATCATCATCATCATCATCATCATCATCATCATGTTCATTTCAGTTTGTAAATGTTTAATGAGTGAATTAAAACACTTTGATTCATAGAGCTGTGAAAATGCAAATAGATTCAATTAAATTTGATGTAATTTAAATTAACTCAACATGAAATGAAATTTAAGGAGATAGAAAAAAACTTCCAATGATTACATGTTAATTTATAAACATTATGAATTTCTAATGAGTAGATCAACTAATCACAGTCAATATCAATTGACTTGAATTTCAAAAAAAACTCCCAATGTTAATTAGTAAACATATAATTAAGTTGATGGTCTTAATCATTTTACAACACCAATCTCTCAATCTTACCTGAACTCATTAACATTGGACATTCACCTAATTGAGAAATTATTGTCTTCTGTTATTATTTTAATGTAAATCTACACATTCATTGAGCAATTAAAGTTTCATATATTAATAATTAGAAAACTACTCATATAATCATGATATTAAACCCTCAGTTCAATAGATATAAAATTTGATTCAATGAAATAACCAATAAGCAAATTGAACTTTGAAAAAATTGTAAAGGTAAATGATTAAGGTAAATATTTACTTTAAATAGTTGAGCCAAAATGAAATGAAACTTTCAGGGTTGAATGAAACCACATCAATAATCAAATCAAATCAAATCAAATCAAACAATTAAGTTGGTAAACAATCAAAACATTAACCTAAATATTATCATCTTTTATCATATCTTATGAATTAAATTTGCTAATGATTAATAAAGCTAATACTTTTAATCGTGTTGATGATTTCATAATCATCAATTGATTGTATGAAAAAAGTGTTGATTGTTAATGATTATCATTAATAACGATAAAAATTAATTTATTGCTACTTTTATATTGATCCAATGTACAAGATTATCATGTTAAATTATTTTTTGATTGTTTATGATAAAATAATAGTAATGATATTATTAATACCCTGATTAGTTACACTAAATAGTTGAATGAACATTAATCCAATAAAACGATTAGATCAATTGAAATAAATCTCAATCATAAAATTTTACCTTTATTCATTCATTGATGATTTAAATCATGAATGAAAACAATCAAGTACAATTAAGATTAGAAACAACTAATTAACTAATCTGATAATTATTCATTAAGATAAACAATTGATTGGAAAACTTTTTTTCCCAGTAAATTGTTATTCCTTCTGATTCCAATTATAATCTTCAATTTGATTTACACAACCATTGATTAATCATTGATTTGCTTTATTTATTGTTGTAATTAATTACAACTATTTGTTTATAGTTAAACCTGTTGATGTTTTAATTAAACCTAATGATGAACCTTTTGTGGCGGGAAAAAAAGTCGAAGTGGTTTGTTCAACCTTTGGATCTAAACCTCCAGCAAAAGTTAATTGGTTCCTACGAAATCGAGAGCTTAAACGAACCAGGTAAGTCGACAATCAGTTAATCCACTAAAATCCATATCGATTAATCTTAATCTCAATCTGATTACAATTAAATTATTTCTCACTCGTTAATCATTAAATTAACTACCGTAACTAATGATGATGATTAATCAATTTGCTCCTGTTTTCCAACCTTAATGATTAAAATAACGGCTTCCCTATCTTCCCTTAATTGTTAGCTAATTGTAATCATCTTTTCACTATTTTTTCTTGTCTCTTCTTTTACGATATCTTTCAGTTAATTAACAACCTTTAATCATCGTTAATTACAATTATCTTAAGCTGATAATAAGCTTGGAAGAAATTAATTGGCTGATATTTGATTCTTATCATTTGGCAATTTTTTCATTATCAGATTTGTTTTCCCTTTTCTCAATTGTTTTTAATTGTTCATTTTTCAATTATCATTCTAATTGTAGTTAAATCCAATTATCCACAATCAAGATACTCGTTCAACTCTTGGACATGAAAAAGCATACATTGTTTTCATTCAACAATCTCCTTGACCATTATCATTAATAAACATAATTACAATTACTATTATTACCGTAATTACCATTATTGTTTTGTTATCGTTTATTGTTATGGTTCCTGATTATGATTATCTTTAATTGTTGTGGATGTTTCATTCAAGATTAGATGAGAGAAAATAATTGAGATAATTAATAGCAAGTGGACTTTATATTATAAGTGTGGCGAAAGTGAAAATTTTTGGTAAATTAGATTAGGCCAGAAATGTGTAGAGATTAGAGTTGAACATCTCAAGGTTAGATTATTATTGGACAAAGAGTCATGTTTTTGGTATTAAATTGACCACTGGTCAACTGATCCAAAATGGGAGTGATACAGATAAAGTCAACAACCTTTATAATAATATTATTACTATCGACAATCAATATGATGATAAAGATTAAAAATGATCACCTTGTCCAGCAATAATATCGGTCATTCATTAGCCATATTACTAATGGTCATTACTTTTACTCATAATCATCATCGATGATGATAATCATCTATGCTTATCATCATCAACTCATTTTCTTTCATTCAGCAACTACCTTTTCTCACTGAATTTGACTTTCATCATCGTGATAATCATCATTCTTTATTCGTAGACCTCAGTTCTTTTCAATATATAATAATACGATCATCATCATCATCATTATCTTCATCTTTTTCTCCTTTTCCGATTCTCTTTCAGGTTAATCCACTCCCCTGATGGTAACTCGTCAACAAGTACACTCATCTTTGCTCCATCGGCTGATGATGATGGATCCATTCTGATATGTCAAGCCCAGAATCCAAATATAAAGAACTATTTCATGGAAGACAAATTACCTTTAAAAGTGCTTTGTGAGTCTCTCTTTTCCGCCATATTATCTTTATATTATTTCTGTTATCTAAACTTAAAATGTGGATCAACTTTTTTTTTCAATGTTCAGAGTTTTGCCTTTGAAAATCCATGGATTCTATTGGGTGTAAAGAGGTTTCCCTCTATCTCTGTGTGTGTCTCCGATGATCAGCTTTATTTTTCTATCCTTTTCTATTTTGTATTTTTATTATTTCTTATTCTTGATGCGCTTTTGTTGGTAGACTTCAATGTAGATATAATGATAAAATCACCAGTAGAAGAGAGAGAGAGAGAGAGAGAGAGAGAAAATTCCCTGGAAAACCAGCTAACCAGAATCCCTCTCATGTAGATAATCAACATTTTCATCTTTCCAGTCTCATCATTATCTTTATGAATATTTGCAGGAAACTTTTTTCCACACCAAAATTTCACATATTCATTGGGATGTATGATAATCAATAAGAGATAACTTTAACCCAGAGATACGATAATAATCAATTTCCTCTTGTTTGAAAGATACAATCTCTTCAAATGGTCATCTGATTAAATATCAAGAGTTTTCTCTCATTGATTATTATTACCTTTGCGAATTCTTTGGCTGTATATTATGGTGAATGTTGAGATTATCTTTATATTGATCGTCTCTCATTCCGAGTCCCTTTCTAATGAATAACTTGACATCTAGGAATCGATTCACTGACCCATTAATCTATCACTGATTGTGTTAATTAAACAACTTTTCCAAAGTCATAGATTAAATTTTTGTAATGAAATAAATATTCATCAATAGGTTTTGCTTTTTGAATGAAATTGCTTAATTTCTGATCACCAAGTATGTTAATGTAAACCATATATTCAAATATTAATGATTCTCAGTTCAATCCTTCGAGATTAACTTGGAAGGTAAAATCATCTCTTGTTTTAGAGCGATAATGAGTTCTTATTATATTTGCAAATGATAATTAATAATGATGATGATGATGATGAATGGAATCATGAAGGAGACAGGAAAGGTTTAATACGATCTCAGGTATTCATCTGATCATGATCATCTTCATAAGGATGAATAGGGTTACCGTTACATTAATGATTATCATTATCATCATGTTATCAGATGAAAATTATGTTGATAATATCAGGGTGAAAAATAATATCAGTAGGAAGGAAATAACCTGGAAAAAAATGTTACATTCTGAGCAATTTTGTTATTCTGTTTGAAGCTGAATGTAACTTTTGATAAATATTACATCACAGTGATGATAATGTACCATGAAGATGATTATGAGCGTTTGTTATCATGAGAAATGTTGAATGATGATGATTATGATTACGATGATAAACATTATGTTTAAACACATTATACATGAGGACGGAAATGGTTTCACAAGAAATACGATCAGATGATTAGAAGGATGAATCTCTTGGCGCTCAGGTCCAAAAAACAAACTCGAAAGAAAAATAAATTCAAGGCCTTAGAAAATTTTTCTCTCAAGGAGTAGATAAGTTCTAGAAATTTTGGAGTTTCTGGTCACTACTGTCCAGATTTAACAAATTTTCTCTGGACAATCTAATGACACTCTAGCCAATGGACACTTTTTCTTGTTAATGTTATCTTTTTCTGAGAGAGAGAGAGAGAGAGGAAAAAATTTTCCACTTCTCCCTTCATCCTCAAGCTACTTTTACTTTACATCATCAATCTGATTCCAAGTTAAATGAACTTCTTTATGGTCATTCAATTGTTATTTCCGATGAATTCAGTTGTGATTAGATGGATAGCTGATCAATGAACAAAAAAATGAAATAAAATGACAAACTAATTTACTTTTGATATTATTATCATGAGCTTCAGTGGAGATACATAGGGATGGAAAGAAAGAAAGAGAATGAAAGTTCTGAGCTGATTTTAGTTCATGATTTTCAGTTTATTTACTTTCACTTCTTTTTTGTTCAACTAATGAACTTCATCCAATGATAAAGAATAGAGATTAGAGAGAGAGAAAATAAGTTCCCGATATTTTTTTACGAAGAATAAAAAAATTCCAGCCAATAATTCAGAATAAATGAGAAATTTGAGATAGAAATAGTTATTTATTTCTGAAAGAAACTGAAGAGATTTTGACTAGAAAAAAAGTTGGAATACTTGAAATATTAAATCAGATGAAGATTAGATTAACAACCTTTTTGGAACTGGATTAAGTAACATGAGTAACAATCAGTGAGATTGTTAATTCCAATCAACTATTGGTGTTACAATAATGATAAAAGTCCTCAGGAGATTATTATTATTAACACAAGTGACTATCAAGAAAAGCTCCAGGCTGAATATTTATGAATTGATCGTAATCATGTTAATCATTTCAAAACTTATCTGAAGCTCTGATATGGTGAAAACATATATTTTTATCATAAAAACATGGTGAATAAGAGGAAGTTGGATGAATCTTTTGCATGATCACAATCAACATGATAATTAATAATTGAGTGTTAATCGGTTCACATGTACTTTTATTAAAGTCTAAGTGCTGGATAAAAGTTTAGATTGACGAGGAGAGAAAATGAATCAATCTAATATCACGGTGAGCAGATAATGAAAAAACAACTTTGAAAACTAAGGTGAGAGAGAATTTAAATATTAATTTATTAATATTATTTTACAATTTGAGATAATATTCAATTTTACATCTTCATTACTCACTCAATCTCAATTTTACACTTGACTCACAATCTCATTCATGTCTTTTTATATCTACACTATCATGGATACATTATAATCAATTATAATATTTGCAATTCTAATCATTTTTCATGATAATCATGAAATAAATTACGATATAAAATGATACCAGAAAAAATATAATTCAGTTAACTCTCTCTCTCTCTCTCTCTCTCTCTCTGGCTATGTGTCAACATCGTTTTCAATTATATCTCTTGAGCTTGAATATCTGTTTAATTTTTTCTATTCTTCTTCCACTTCCTCATAATTTATCATTTTGTTTCCATAATGTTTTTCCTTTTCTATATCATTGAATTGAATTCACATTTTCTATGAACTTTTACCATTGTTTTCTTATTCGTTTCCTCGTGAAAATGATACTTTTATTATACTTTTATAATAATTGTAACCATTATTATCTGTTAGTGATAATATTCCTAATAAGGAATGGTAAAGTTATCAGACTTTCTTTTTATATCTCTGGTAATGATTTTCATTTTTATCATCAATACCCTCCTACTCAGCTAGAATTTACTCATTTACTGTTATAATACACTAGATCAACATTGTTACCACCAGATTTATAATATTTAATTCCTGATACTTTCGGGATCTTTTCTACTACCAATGGTAAATTGAACGATTGAAATACAGAAAAAAAAACAATTAAGTCGAATTGGGATCAACCTAAGATTTGGATAAGCTCAAGATCAGAAGTTAGAAGATAAATTTCCTTTGTAATATAAATAATCTTCACCCAGGGAATAATGTACAAAGGATATGTAATGCTCGAGGATAAGGAGAGAGAGAGAGGGAACGATAGAAAGGGTCAATTTAATGTAAGTGAATTTGTTGACACTTGGGAGTGAGCATATAAGGTGTAACGAGATTTTCAATCTTGATCATCTAGTAAATGAGATGAAATCATTCAGTGTTATAAGATTAAGGCTAAAGTAATAGTAATAGTAAGAGAGAGAGAGAGAGATGAAGTCAACAGGGGTGAAGAGATGATGAAGATAACACACAAAGAGTAGGGATTTGAGAGAGAGAATCTATTATTTTATCATTAGAGATCAATAATTGCTACAGTTTGTTTCTATCGCTTTGAGATTAGCACTATCGACAAATTTAGTAATTTAATTGTTTCAAAATTGGAATCAATTTTGAAAGCCTGTGAAAGATATACTAGGTAAAGAAAAGATAAATCTAATACAATCAGAGGGAAACAAAAGGAAACAACAAATGAAAAACATTAACAATTGACAATAAAAACAAACATCTCAGGTCATTCAAATCACCAATGTTAATATAATAATAATGACAATTTCATTTGGATTCCCTATTGTAATCTTCCTCTTCCTCTTTCTCGTCCTCATCATCATCATCTCAAGTCACAAAAGACACTTTTTTGATATTATCTGACAACAAAGAAACTTTCACATTCCATTTGATAATCTAACGCGATTTCCTATGTTACAAGATTAAGCTTACAAAACTAAAGTATAAAATGTTGAGATGAAAAGATTAAGATGAAACTTAACGAACTGAATATCTAGAACTTTTTTTTCTTCTCTTACTAATATTCTCTTATGGTGATAATGTTGATTGCTTGATGATAAAGATAAAGAATAACAAAAAGAAGATTAAATTATATCCTTTTTCCTCTTTTTAATATTTTGATAACCTTTTCCAACTAATATAATCTAAAGTTGTGCCAATGTTAAATCCAAGAGTTAAATCACTGAGAAAATGAACTTTAAGCTATCATCATGAAATTAGCATGGGAAAAGTTTTCTATTAGATAGAATTATTGATGGAATAGTGTCTGAATAGTTTTAGGAAAAAGTTGAGAATATTTTCATAATTAGTCTACAATTAGATTAACAACAACATGTAAAACTCAATTTTGTTTGACGAAAATGTTGAGAGAGAAAAGTTTCCAATCTAATATTACAAATCGTCAGTTTGCTTTCCAATGTAATCAAATTACTTATTGTAATTTATTCATACTCTTAATTAACTAATTATTAGTGTTAATTAATGGATTATAGTTATATTTGAATGTGTTTCGACACTTGTAATACTAATTAAGCTTCTTGGTTCTGTATAATAATTACAATAAGATGCTGTATGAAGCTTATTTTTTGTTTGTTTCCTTTTCTTCCTAGTATTAATTCAATTTCCATGTAGCTATTAGATTAATTTGCTTTAATTATGATTATTATTATGTTGTATTATTATATTAATATTTTGGAAAAAATACACTATTAGCATGTCCATGGCAAGACAATCCATTTTTATGCTTCGGCCGTTCTGTTATTTTAAGGGCAGTTTCATTCAAACGTTTACATTGTATTTGTATTTTGCCAAGAAAACTCGCTACGGCCTAAGATATTTTGGTAAAAGGAGAAGACTCTTAATTGAATTATCGAGAAAATTGTGGTCTTTGAATTGATACATTGCAACAAATTTGATCAAGTAGAAATAAGTGAACCGCCGTAATATCGCCGGAACCAACTGAATCGATCAGTGAGTTCTGAAATCTCTAGCTCCCTCTGAATGGTCTAAGTCTAAGGCAAAATAAATTTCTCCAATTCTTGTAGTCAGCAATAAAGGCTTTTTTTTGTTTGAAACGGCCAATATAAAGAAACTGGAGTGATAATTGATAATTGTGTTAATAAGTGAATTGATCTTGTGGAAATAATGTGAAGTGAAACAAACAATTAACTCGATATTTTGTCTTTTATTTTTTCAGATATGCCTCAGCCTCCTAAAGATTGCAGCTTGACCAATGATACTTCCAACTCAATTCTGATTACTTGTTTCAATCCAGATCCGTCCAAAAGCCTTTCAACAAACTCACCAGAAGTTTATTGTCTTGAAGTTTACGATATTTCAACAAGTTCCTTAATACTTTTCATGGAGGATCGTTCACCTCGCTTCAAAGTTTCACTTCCAAATTTAAAGGATATTCACGAATACAGTTTAACCATTTATGCCAAAAACTCATTTTCAAGAAGTGCCTCCGTTAATATAACAGTCAAAAGTGAGACTTCATTACTGTTGAACCAGGTAGCCAACAGTTCACATTCAGGTAACTTTTTATTTACTATCTACATGTACCATCCGAATTGAAAAAATACACTTGTAGATAAAATTAGAAAGAAACAAAGCCGAAAGTAATCAAGTTATTGAAGGTAAAAAACTGCTGATTAAAAAATTGTCAAGCTAATCACCAGACAATAATTGGTAATTACAACAATAACAGATTAAATCTAAGCACGAGATCGTACATGCGAATGCGGAAGAAAAATTACTGTTAGTTTTATGCAAAATAGTATTCTGCCTGAGATACGATGAAAATAAAGATAGAATGATGATGATGATGAAAATAAGGCAATGATAATAGAGTAACAAAAACATGAACAAATAAAGATCAATAACAAAACTTAGTCGTTTTTCATAGCATTTTGAAATCTTTTTGAATGTTAAAATGCTAGGGCGATTTTTAAAACTTGTAGGCTATATCAATGTTTGGTAACATCTTAGTTTATGGTAGTGGGCGGGTCAATCAGCTAATTACTACATTATTCCTACGAATGAAAATTGACTAATTATTCAATTAATTGTTTTGTTTTAATTGGGTTAGGTTAGGTCCCAATATTAAGGACCACCCTTGATTAGGAAAGGCCCGGAGGGCCTAAGACAATCAAATCGTAGCTCTTAGTTGCTAAATTGATCAAAAAATTTATTGAATAAGTATGACAATTAGTCGATTGTCCAGTTCACTACCATAAACTAGGACGTTACCCAATGTTTTTGACAAACAATTATCATAGAAACTCAAAAGGAATTGTACAGGGTGATTGACATTGACCCTTGGGCGTTTGATTTAAATATGTGGGGAAACGAGTGCGACTAAAGCAAAAATCTTTTAGTATTGAATAACTGTAACTCTCAATTGATGATAAATTTTCAACATTCCCCGCACGTTATTATTAGCTATTGAAGCTTAAGCATTTGAAAGTTGTATTTTGATAGTTTTGGTTAATTTTTCATTATGGATTTAAAACTGTTGGTTTTAGTTGATTAAAGTTGATAACAAACAATTAACCTCTTCAGTGTAAAAAGACTTGGTTACTTTTTCAAGTAACTACAAGTTAATCAAATAATTTCAGCACAGAAATAAACAAAACATCAACTTGACGAAATTACTTCAACTAAAGACAATTTTATTCATAGAGAAATTGGTTTAAATAGTGTCCGTAGACTTTACAAAAAATAAGCAAATTGACCTGATTGGTTAGTTTGAATTTTTAAGAGAAACTGGTTGTTGGTTTATGTTGGTAACCTTTGACATCCATAAGACTAATGGCTTAAAGCAATAAAGTTAAAGGATAAACCATTGGTACGAGTTTGAGAGCAATAAACAGAAAAATAAGAAAAGTGAGAAAATTAAGGTCCGTCCATTTATGGCCTTAAGTGGACTTTCGTTGATCCTTTTGGACTGTTTTAGTTTACAATTAATTACTTATTCTTAATTATAACGAAAAGAAAAGATAAGATTATCTTGGTAATCACTTAAGTCCAAATGTGTTGATTATTGAAAATGAATAATGAACCAAATGTAAGCGCTTGTATTTCCGTAAGTACTAATCATATGACCTTCGTACTTATATCATTCAACTCGTCTCATGCAGACCTTTCTGATGATATATGGTTCATATCCTAATAACGTTTCTTAATTGAAAAGAGACCTCAGTCCCGAGCGAAACTTGAGCCTCAAATTTGGACAAAAGTTAAATGTTTTTAGTTAATTGCTCACAAGTTACCAATCAATTAGACTTGTTATATATTGTCAAGTTACATTTTTCAAGCTCTATAAGATGATACAGATGATAAAGTGAAGATGAAGGTTAGCTAAAATTTATCTTCAACGTGAATTGTCACCATATTATGTCTATGGGAAAAATATTGATATTAATGAGTGAGTCTTGATGATTAATATGATGATGATAGCTAAATAGATCAAGGTAAAGGTGATTAAACAGGTAAAGAAGATAATAATAACCAACAAAAACAAAAAGCAATTGATTCAATAAACATCCAAACTCAGAGAGAAATCATCAAATTCATGTGGTTGCAAAGCTGTTCATCATCCGTGATCCATAAAAGTCTCTTCGAAAGTTTGGGTGATAAAGCCTTTAGTCAACGGACAGTTGAAAATTGGGTGACTAAATTCAACAAAGGAGAGATGGACACTAAGGGCCGTATTCACCAACCGTAATTAAATTTGAGTCTAGGTTTAAATCAGCTGATCACAGCTTTTGTGTTTCACCAACCATAATCAAGTCTTGATCTCGAACCAGAGTTAAGCACGGATCAATTTAATGATAAGATCAAAAAATCTTGTTTCACCAACTCTAATCAATTGACCGCAGCTCAAATTGTTGTTTCACCAATCGAAATCATCTACATTTGATTTTTGAATTTAGAGAAAGTCATGATTAAAATTTAATCATGATAATTACCACGATTAACTTTTAATTTTGACTTTTTCCTTGCTTTATTTACTCTTTTTTGTTTATGTTTCATGATAAATGGATGATTATGAGTTTGTTTTCAATTTACGCCAGCGGAAAAGACCTCAAAGAAAAACAATTCTGCCTAAAAGTGACCCTTTTATTGTGTTCGATGATTATAAATTCAAAAAGCGTTTCAGAATGAGTAAAAAAACCTTCCATGTGCTTCACAACCTTGTCAAGAATGACCTTATAGTTATTGGAAACCGAGACAATCCCATTAGTTCAAAGAGACAATTACTAATTGCTCTGAGGTTCTACGCGACAGGTTCGTTTCAAATTGTTAGTGGTGATTTGATTGGATCTTCACAACCAACAATATCCAGAATAGTCCTCCGTGTGTCGACAGTTATTGCCAAATATCGTTCAAGATTCATTGTTTTCCCATCTCATTCAGAGGAATCAAAGGTAAATAAGTTTTCGCTAGCGTACATTTATCCTCTTTTTAAGTTGAATTCCGGTTTTTCAAAAATTGCAGGCTTTCCGGGTGTAATTGGAGTTGTAGATGGAACACACATTAAGGTCAAAGTCAAGAAAGAATTACATGAAAGATTCAGGAACAGAAAGAATGAAATCACATTGAATTGCCAAGTTGTCTTCGATCACACAATGAAATTCATTCACTTGAATGCTAGATGGCCTGGTATTACTCATGATAGTAGAGTCTTTAAGGACAGCGAACCTTTCTACATCTTGGAGTCAGATGAACGTTATGAAGGACATTTATTAGGTGATTCAGCTTACCCCTGTAAAAAATATCTGCTCACCCCTTTAAGTAATCCTAGTACGCTAGCGGAGATGATTTATCAAAAACACATAAAAACACGTAATCTAGTTGAGAGAAGCATTGGTGCATGGAAAAGAAGATTTTATTGTTTGAATGATCTTCGACTCAAATTTTCAACTTCACTTGTCGTAATCGTAGCAGTAGCAGTACTTTGGAATTTTTTAATAGACGAAAAAGATGAAATGGACGATGAAGAAAAGGATATCGTTGAAAATTGTGAACAGATATTCGCTAGCAAAGGAGGCACACAGGCTGGTTTTACAAAACGAAAGGAAATCATCGATTACTTTTGTTCAACTAGATCGAGTGTAACTGTATCCACAAGAAGTGTATCATCAGCGTTGTCAAATGAATAATCTGGTGCAGAATTTTCAAGCTTCTCAATCTTTAGATCGAGCAAAATTTTCTTTGTTTTCATGTTCACGAGCTTTTGTTGTAACACTTCCTTTTCCAATTTCATTTTCTCAATAAAAACATTTTGCTCTTCTGTTGAAACGTATTTTCGTTTTTTACTGGTTGGTTTAGTTTTTTTCGCAAGCGAGTGTTGAGAATCATTGTCTTCGTCAAAAACATAAAAACTTCAGCCTGTGAGAAATACTTACTATCCGAGTCGAAAATATTCTCAACTGGCTTGATTTTATCACCCATTACATCAATAAGTTTCGCATCAATTGATTCCAATGTCGACTATTTAGTCCCACCACCAGTTTTAATTGTTTCTTTCTTGTGTTCCGCTTGAGCCCTTTTAGCACGATTAGCCATATTTTTGAAACAAACTTTCAACTGTTCGCCATTGAACGTTGTTTCACTTCCGCTAGCGGAATTGAATTGAGTAGCAATTTCTTCCCAGAAATTTTTCTTAGCCAACACAGTTTCTTTATCATTATTACGATTTGTTGTTAATTCCTTTTTTGGGTGATCATCAATAATTGAAACCAATAACTCCTTCTCTTTGCTTGAGAAGTTTCTTTCACGAACCTTTGACATGATGAAATAGAAACAAAAAATTAGCACAAAAAAATCAGAACAAAAAAAATTAGAACAAAAAATTAATCAAGAAAGAACCAACACTTTATTAATAATGGTAACCAGCAGGAAGATAATTTACAACATCAACATGTTGTCGTGATCTTCTGGAAGATCTATTCAAATTAGTTAAGACCCAATCAGAGAGTTGGTCGTCTGAACGGTTGACTAGGTAACGTTAGTCAACACGAGTTATGTTGCCATCGACTCTCATATGTAGCTCATCAACATCTCCTCTACAAATTGGCCAACCTTTTCTGGTATCTGAACAAAACCATGTCAATGCACAATTGACATCAAACAAATGATCACAGGGAAAAGTATAGCAAAAGTCTGAAATTTTGGTGAGGCAAATTGGACAATCAAACTCCGCTAGCGAATTATCCTCAATCCTTATATCTACATAAACATCACAATTGTTTCCAATGTCCAAAGAAAGAGGTGTGATTGATGGATCATTGGGAATTTCTCGGTCGTTGTAATGGAAAGAAACTTGATTTGCTTTAATTCGAAATGGTCTCTGTAATGAAAAATTAATTAGTCAAACTCCATCAATGATAGTTAATTACATATTCCGCTAGCGATAGAAACTCACCAAAGTGTTGATAATATGTTGAGCAAGAAGAGTAAAAGGAGTTCTCAAATGACAGAGGACATCAGAATACCAATATGGAGTTGGTGTTCCATAACAAGTTCCAATGTAATCCTAGAATAGAAAAAAATTCAGTTAATATCAATGTAAAAATTGTGATGCTTTTTTACGCCAGCGAAAAACTTACAAGCATAATTGGACTGGGTCTGAATGTAAATTCAATAACATTCCCAGCATCCAAATCGGTCCTTAATTTCAAGTGCTTTCCAAACTTGCAATGGACTCGAAAGCATTTGGATTTATTCTGGTCTTGGCAAATGTCTGGATCTCTTTGATTCAATGCTTCCTGAATTCTGGAATATAAATGATACAAATGGTAGTTAGTTACATTTACTAGTTACAATTACTAGTTACGCTAGCGAAATAAAATTTACCGTTTCCATTGTTCGGCCAATTCAACTTCCAGTAAACCTGTTCGCTTGTAATGAGATTCTTCTCGGCGAGTCACATGAAGAAATTTACAGCCTAGTCCATAACAATATCCACGATTAATATAATTTTTACAGAAAATTACGCTAGCGAAATAAAAATAAGAAAAAAATTGTTAGTCACTGGTAAGCTCAAAAATAGGAAAAATATACAACTTACCCTTGAATGGACTCGTAAGTGAGCATGGTGATGGTAAAAAATGAGATGATGGTGATAAAATAGTAATTTATAAAAAAAATGACAAAAACACCGAAAAACCAGCAAAAATATTCAACAACAACAATGAAGATATGAGTCAAAATAGAAAAAAATGTAAACAAACACCCACCGGGGGACAATTTATTAATTTACGCGAGCGAATTTTGCTTTAATTTGAGTTTAGATTTTTTTAATTTGAGGCCAAAATCAAAGAATCGAGCTTGGTGAAACAACTTTTGAGTCTAAACTCGGAATCGGTCTGATCTCAGGATTAGTTGATTACTGCTTTTAATTACGGTTGGTGAATACGGGCCTAAAGAGGCTAGAGGAGGCAGTCAACCGAATGAGGCTGAAAAAAGCCAAAGACTTGCCAAAATAAAAGATGCGATGATCCATGATAAACATTGGTTTGTGAGGTCCTTAGCGAGCTACAGTGGTATACCAGAAGCAACCGTTTATAGGCTTTTAACCATTGACCTAAAAATGTGAAAGAGGGGGAGCGTTGGGTGCCCTATGAACTTTCACCTGATCAAATGGAACATCGAGTCCTAGCCTGTCGGAAGAATTGATCAAAAGGACAGTTTCGATAGACGAAACTTGGGTTTCCCTCTATATAGAGCCTGATAAATCTCAAGCCAGAGGCTGGTACCAAGCTGATGAGCAACCAAATGAAATTCCCCGCCAAAACATTCATGCCAACAAGAGAATGTTAATAATGGGAATGGACTTCGGTGGAATCGCTTTTTATGAGCTGCTACCCGAAAAAACGACCGTAGACGGAAATGTCTACAAAAAGTTTTTGGAAAAGCATATTCCCCATCGGGTTGGCACCAGAAATATACCAAGTCTCTGGCTACATCATGTAAATGCCAGACCACATAAACATCAATTGGTTCGAAAGTGGTTGGAAGATAACAAAATTCACCTTTGGCACCAACCCCCTTACAGCCCCGATATAAGCCCATTGGATGTTTTGGTATTTTGAAAAGGTGGCTAAGAGGTGTCCATCACAAGATTTTGAGACCAATTTAAAAAAGTTATCAAAGAGCTCAATGATAGCGGCTCAATGGACGCTATAGCAAGATTACCAGAAAAATGGCAACGTGTTGTTGATTCTGAAGGTCATTACCTTCACCATGACTAATTTCATAAAAATCATCCAAAATTACAAAAGTTATTCAGCTTCAAACTTCCAGCACTTTGGCTGAAACAGTCTAATATAAACAGTTACTGGTTATCAACTCCTGGGTTCAACCTCGCCCAAATTAATCGCAATTGCTTGTCTGTTAAACTTTTAAACTTAGTTCGAAACTTTTGTAACTTTACGCGGGTTATTTGATTTTATTGATTAACTTGATTGTTGATTAAATAAGTTTGATTAGAACAAAGTAATTGGTAGAATAGGGGTAAAGAGAGAGAGAGAAAGAGATAGAGAAGTAAACTTCTTCACTGAAGCCATTCTTCTGAGAACTTGAAACTGAATAATATTAAATATCTCATCACAATAAATAAATTTTAAATGTTTAAATGTAGAAAAATCGAAATTGCCAGAAAAGTAATAATGATTAATACTTTTCTGGTAATAATCAATTATTTTATCACAAAAAGCAACAGTTAACCTAATAAATTAATACGGTGCCTTTTCTGAGTGTTTTGTAAGTGGCTTTGGTTTTCATCTAATATCATTTAACGTGGCATTGTTAGGGTAATCAACTACGAATCACCATCATCACCGTTATTATGTAATTATTATTATTGAATTGTTAAATAAAAGCATCTCAATAATCACGTTAGTGATAGAAGTGAACAACTGGAAAAGACAAGCAGATATGAGATGAAAACAGAACACATTTAGAGGTTGCATAAAACCAGGTTGTAAATATTCTACGTGAATTTGTTTGTCATCAATATGAAAAATGTTTCATCAGTCTGTCATCTCTACGAGTATGTAAATAGAAAAGCTTTTTCTAAGCTTTAAGCAAAAGTACCACTTTGCGTTTGCAAAACGATAAGCATTGCGGATAAAACCTTCCCGGATATTGTTATTAGAGGCTGAAGCTATATATAGGTATAGCTGTGCATCGGTGCATTCAAATGTTTCGCCAATGAAAGAGTAACTTTTTCACAACAAAAAGATAATGATCTTGCACCAAGTTTAAAACCACATTGATCGGAGTTTATCACTTGATCGACATCAAGTGAATGTGTTTTAATCAACTCTGAAACATCTTTGTGAAAAACAACTCCTCTATTTTCTATTTCATCTTTGTCCAGTACAGCTTTGTATGTTGTAAACTTTGTGATCTTCCATGATATTATTCCATGCAGTCTTTTAAAAATTAATCCGACTATAGGATGCTTTGAAATTTTTCAAGCCAACACATCTCGCTTTCCAAGGAGTCTATCTTCGAATATCAAAATCATGGACAGTGAACAGACTGTTTGAGCGAGCTCTTTTAAATTCATCCCAAACATGATAAGTTAATCAACTTATACCATGGCTGAAGATTAATCTGATCAAGGTGATCTATATTTCCCTCAGGATGAATCGACTTACCAACCAGAACCTAGAATCAATTGACCACACCGACTGAAGATTTATACCGGACTTAAGAAAAATGTCTCAATCGAGAATCGGATTAAGCTCTTTGAGTCGGCTGGAAAACGATATGGCTGGTCCGAAGAGGTGATGCTCGATATTCTTGGTGAATATCTTGATGAGGATCCATTGGATTTCTATCTCTGCGAAAGAGACACATCAACTTGGCCAGAGATGAAGATGAAGCTAATCAATCTCTTCGGGATTAAAACTGTCGAGCTCATTCTCGAATTTCTCCATCTCAAGTTTGACCAATGTAAGGATGTGGTAACTTACTTTGAATCCAAGCGACGGTTGGCCAATAAAGCTGGACTATCTGAGAATCATGCTGTTACCATGATGTATGATTGACAGCCTCACTTGTAGACTTCATGATTGTTTCCTTGGTCATCAAGTGAAAACATTTGACCAATTCTTCACCATCACCAAAACTGCTGAAGGTCAACTCGCTCGAGGCAATCATGGTCACTCCAGTCAACAAGGTAATGGTCATGGGAATCCACGAAACTATCAACAGGGAAAACCTCGAACCAATGATAAGAAACCATTCAATGCTCAACAACGCGGTCAAGTCCAATCCAACGGCAAACCTTTCATTAAACGACCACCCAAAAGTGCTTGTTGGACCTGCATTAATATTGGAAACCAGATCAATACCATTGGTCTGAGGATTGTCCAATTAAGAAAGGCAATCAGGTCAAAGTCAACTTTGTCCAAGCTGAAGATTCCGATTCCAATTCTGCTGATTCTTCCCAACATTTAAACGAATTGAGAGACTTGAAGTCAAACCCTCTCACCTCATTATTCCTGGTTCAATAAACACCGATCCAGTTTCCATCCTCTATGATCCAGGATCTAATATCTCTTTGATAAATAAATCAATTGTTGACCAATTGAATCTTAAATCAATTGAATTTAATGGTTCAAGTTTTTCAACAATGACTGAGGAAGGGGAAATTTCAAGTCTCGCAAAACTCAATTTAACTATTGGATCGATTTCTCATTCCATCTTTGCTAATGTCACAAATTTACTTTGTGTTGATCTTCTGTTGGGATTTAATCTGGAAATTCAATCTCAAATGTGATTCTAATTACCAAATCATCCAAACTCCTGGTACTCCAGTTGAACCAACAACAATCAAGCTGTTGCCTCTCCCAATTAAGCTGAATGACAATTTTTATTTAGATCTGAAGACCAATAAATTGCTGCTGATCAGGTAAATGCTGATAGTATCAATGCTGCTATGATAAAGTTGTTAACCCAATATAGAGGGGTATTTGCTGAAGGTAAGTTCGACATGGGCCAGTTAAAAGAGGCCGAATGCGTCGTCGAATTGGATACCGAAATCCTAATCAACTCTAAACCTTATCGCAATTTGCGTGAGGACAAGATTGTTGCTGAAGTTAAATCTCTGCTGGAAGCAAAGTTGATCCGTCCATCTCACTCACCTTATGCTTCACCTGTTACATTGGCCTTCAAAAGGGAAGACAATGATAAGACCTGATTCTGCACTGACCCGACTATCGTAAACTTAACGATAAGATGCATGCTGATAAATACCCGATGCCCCGGATTGAAGACATTATCGATTCACTCTATGGGAGTAAATTCTTCAGTGTCTTCGATTAGATCTGGGTTCTGGCACATCAAGGTTCGAGAGAAGGAAATTCACAAGACCGCCTTCATCACTCAACATGGTTATTATGAATGGCTAGTGATGCCGTTCGGTTTGAAAAATGCTCCAGCCATTTTCCAAAGGTCAATCCGGAATATTTTGGAGAAGCATCAATTGACAAAATTTTGTCACAATTACATCGATGACATTATCATCTTTTCATCATCTCTCCAAGCCCACATTGATCATCTCTCAACTTTTCGCTGCTGTTGAAGCTGAAAATATCAAATTGAACTTTGAAAAGCCCAAACTGTTCCAGACCAATGTAAATTATCTTGGTCATAATTTACCCCATGATTCAAAAACCTTTCCATTCAAACATTGATTCAATTTTGCATCTCAAAACCACCTAAAAATGTTTCAGAGGTTCGACGATTCCTGGGTAAGGTGAATTATAACAGGAAATTTATCAAGAACATTACCAAAATTCTGGACCCAATCCATCAGCTGTTAAAAAAGGATACAAAGTTCAATTGGACTACTGAATGCCAAAGGTCATTTGATCAAATTAAAACCTTGTACACCTCTTATCCCGTGCTGAAAATGTTCAACCCAAATGCTATGCTGATCCTAGAGACGGATGCTAGTCGTATTGGTCTAGGTCCTGAAGCAACCCGATGAGAACAACAAGTTACATCCGATTGGATATTTTTCCAAAAAGTTAACTGTCCATCAAGTCAACTATCCTGTTACTCATCTCGGATGCTTGGTTATTGTCGAAGCTGTTAAATTTTGGCACATCTACCTTTATGACCGAAAATTCACGGTCATCACTGACGTCTTTATAACTCTAATAATAAGACCGAAATTCGTTTTTCTAATTAAACTCATTTTCCCTCAAAATGTCATTGCCCTATAAGAGGCCTCAACACTTTGACACGGAAGTGTAGAAAGAAAGAGAAAAGAAAGAGAAACAAGTTTTGTGTGTTAAGTGTTATATTTAATTTATTTGCTTATATTATTTCTTAAGTGACCTCAGTCCCGAGCGTCATTGCGCCTCAAATTTGGACAAAAGTCAAAGGTTCATAGTTAATTGCTCACAAGTTACCAATCAATTAGACTTGTTATATATTGTCAAGTAACATTTTTCAAGTTCTCTAAGATGATACAGATGATAAAGTGAAGATGAAGGTTAGCTAAAATTTATCTTCAACGTGAATTGTCACCATATTATGTCTATGGGAAAAATATTGATATTAATGAGTGAGTCTTGATGATTAATATGATGATGATAGCTAAATAGATCAAGGTAAAGGTGATTAAACAGGTAAAGAAGATAATAATAACCAACAAGCTTCAATCATTTTTGACTGTTTATGAATTAATATTTGACCCCTTAAGGACTAGATGTCAAAATAAGCACTATAAATCCTATTGATTTAATTTTTGTCTTTTATTTTTTTAGATGTGCCTCAGCCTCCTAAAGATTGCAGCTTGACCAATGATACTTCCAACTCAATTCTGATTACTTGTTTCAATCCAGATCCGTCCAAAAGCCTTTCAACAAACTCACCAGAAGTTTATTGTCTTGAAGTTTACGATATTTCAACAAGTTCCTTAATACTTTTCATGGAGGATCGTTCACCTCGCTTCAAAGTTTCACTTCCAAATTTAAAGGATATTCACGAATACAGTTTAACCATTTATGCCAAAAACTCATTTTCAAGAAGTGCCTCCGTTAATATAACAGTCAAAAGTGAGACTTCATTACTGTTGAACCAGGTAGCCAACAGTTCACATTCAGGTAACTTTTTTTATTAACTACCAACTTGAAGAGTAAAAAAATTAATCATTAATAAAACTTTAATTATTCTGATTCAGTAGATGAAATGTATCAAGATAACTTTCCCTACATCACCTGTTGGCTATTGGTTTTAAGTGGACTATCAATCGTAGTTTTACTATTCATAGTTAAAGTTAAAAGATGTCAATTACAAGAAAGTGATGTCCAAAGTTCTGATGGTAAAAAGTCAACCAATGAAACTGATTCAAGTATAGTTCCACCTGAAACCCTGAGCACACCTGATAGGTAAGTGAATATGAACAAGATGAAATTACTCAGAAAAAATATCAACCATATTGATTCGTTAAAATAATAATCCTCTCAATGATGACATTTTCATAGATGATCCAATTCATTTTATTGCTCATATTTGCAATTTACTGTGAGACTACAAATGAATCAATGAATGGGATGAAAAACTGACAGAATAACTTGTTGCAACTGACTAGGAATAGTATTTTTTATCACTCTCTTGAATAACTGTCATATCATGTTAACATATCATGTTATCATATGATAATGTTGACAGCATTAAATAGCCAAGGTGTTCAATAGTCAGATCACATTGGTAACAATATAAAAATGATATTAAATAACAGATAAGACAATAGAGAGTTGAGATTATCCTCTAGAGAGAGATGATAATACATTTATTGTATTTTTGTTTCACTTTTTTCATTGTCAACTTTTATTATCGGTGAAAGTTGTGGTCAGTATGATGACGATGATGGTGATGATGATAGCTGGTTGAAAGTGGATAAAGATAAAATGTATTCCACTTTAACCAATACCATTATAAGGATGATGATAATAATGATATTAAGGTCAGTTCTTATGATGATGATGACGATGATCATGATCATCTTTACCCTCATCAGTCAACTAACTGACAGTGAAAAGAGATGAAGCTAAAAGGATAACAACAAAACTCACAGACTTTGACTGGATAAGAAAAAAAGTTCCGATGCCAGAATAGAATCAAGAAAAAAAGATAATAACAATAAATGATAGAATCAAATATATTGGTTATCATGAAAGAAATAATAATAATAATAATATATTCTTACACCAAGGAATGAATGAAAATAACAATTGACTCTTTTTCTTATAACTTTCTTTCTCTGTCTCTCTCTCCTTTTTTTAACCATTGAATTAATCTTGATTATGACTAACTATGGATGTTAATGATTCCAATTGTGAATTCTGGTTGATTGTTGTTTATTAAGCTGCCAAATGAAAGATATTTTAACAAAGGAGGCAAAACGATTGACAACAATCAATCTCAAGGAACAGAGCAAATCAACAGCACCGGATATAATTGAGCTTAGCTGTGACTCTTTGGTAGTTAACCATAGTAAGTATTATCCTTATCTCCATCCTCATCCCAACCTTCATCATCATATGATTGAGATATTTGCTTATTCATCTTCACATTCACATTCACCTTATCCGATACTTTGATTCTAATTTTTCTTCTAAAAAAACAATAATTTTGATTGTTTTTCCATATGAATATGAATAATCATGAGGCGAACAGTTTATTCATCTAATCAAATACACAATTTTGTCAACTTAATTGTTGATTCCGCTTCCTTTTGGTGAGATTATCATCAATTCTTTATGGGATTTTACATTATAAAAGATTTTGCTTGTTACCATTGTTTTTTTTTCATGTTTGATAGACTTTTGCTTTAATAGAATCCATGTGAGCATAAAAGACAATAATAACTATCACCAGCAATTAATTACAATTTGCCTCATTAAATTGTAACAATGGTATCATTAGTGGTTCCAATGATTGTTACTACAAGTCAATCAACCATAAAGTACAGTTAATGAAAAAGTTATCATCCACATGATTGGATTTTTGTGACAAATTTTCACCAACTCAATCTTAATCTTCATCATTACAACAATTAACTTGAAACCATGAGAATATAATGAATAGATTAGATAATTAAGATTATCTTAGAATTAGAATGACCAGAATAAATGGAATTGTGTACATTTTGGTGAGAGAGTTTGAAAGAAAATCAATCTAACCCAATTACCATTCGAAAATTGATTATAAATGTATTGTAACAACAATCTACGAGTCAATTGTTACCATGAATAATCAAGAATTGAAATTGTTCGGTATCATGGTTACATGATTAGCTGGAGATTTACATGATGATTTTATGAGGAGATAATAATAATAATAATAATAATATTAGTTGATGAAGCTGGAAATATTTTCTTCTGGTCAAATTTTGTCGAGAGTTAATTTTGATTGATGGTCAATATCATGGATAGAAAAGTTTTAGCTTATTATCATGTCAGATTATCGCACTTCTAATATACATATTATCATGATCACACTGATCATCATTAACTGTTAGTTGATTGTGAAATGATCACAATAAGTGTAACCATTAGATTATTTAACATTTGTAACTATGTTTAATGTTCATCCTCATCTACGTTTCCATTTCATCATTATTCCTATTTTTCTGGTGTAAAAGGAAAAGACATGGATGATAACGATGACGACAATGGCTTCGAAGATGATGAATCGAAAAAAGAAAAAAAAACTCTTTTATCAGCAGAACTTTTCTTTCTCCCTCTTCTAAACCACCTAAGCCTCCATCATGTATCATTGAAAAGGATTTACATCACTTTTTGATCCTCATCATCATCATCATCATCATCATCATCTTGCCAGAGTATCATAGATTTAATCATTTACATGGTTCGTTGACATTTATTGACCAATGACAAGTCCAGAAATCGGGGAAACTTGAACTAAACTGTATCATTATGATATTTTATCCTCAGTTTTTTGAGCTCAATCAGTTGGAAATTAGATTAACTAGAGTTGATTAAAGTGACGACATGATCAAGAAATAGGATTGAAAGTTTTTGATAAATTGTTGCAAATTTAGATTCAATTAGCTTAGATAATGATTGGAAAAGGAAAACTAAATTATTTGATTCAATTGCTTCATTATTAATGTCAATGGTATTTTCAATTTACAACTACAATTCTGTAAGATTATCTTTACCCTGAGGCACATTGTAAATCATTGCTGGGAGTGAAAATCTCAAATCAAAAGCGATAATAAAATGAAACTAATTAATTGTGACACATAAAGAAGAAATTAAATTATATCGGAAAGCTAATTGAATAGAGAGAAAACAAAAGTTTTAGCCCAATATAAAATTAGGACATTCAAGTTTCCAAACCAATTGAAGTTGTAATTCAATTGGTAGTTTTTCTCGTTGAAAATGTTGTTGTAGTTTCATATTTAGTTGATGTTTTCCCGGTCAAAGTTATGATGATTAGTGATGATAAATAGCAACACAATTAAAGGGAATCATAACTTTTATATCAAATTACCTTAGAAAAAAATTTACACTGACAAGTTTCCAACTAATCATATGAGTTGGAGTTAACAGAATCGTCAGAATTGATGTTGAAAGGGAAAACCAAGTTTGAGAAACATTCTCACAATCAGCAATTCTTACAGATCAAATGATAATTATATTGATTGTTGATAAGTTATCGATAATCCATCAAAACTTTTATCTCTCATCACCATCAAGAAATAATATTTTTCATTTCATTATTTCTGCTGATTCTCAATTCACCAATGAATCAGCTTAAATGGTCATTCTTGATTAGACAAAGATGAAAACAGGAAAATAGGCAATAGTTCATAGTTTTTTTTTCGGACATTCAGAGTGACCTGAACAATTTAAGACTTTTATGTTTCCTTGTTGATGTGCAATCAGAATGATGATAAATCACCATGCTAATGCTAAACCATTATGTTATCATAATAGGGGATAAGTTTATCATTGAATTTTCATTTGCTGACCATCAGAGGTGACAATTTTCACAGTTCGATCTGGACTCTTGCCACACCCTTTTCCTCCTTCAGCCACCCTGTAAACCTTTGATGTAAAGATCATTAATATTTATCCTAACCTGTCATCATATTTATCTGATTCTGAGGTTTTTTTCTCTCCCTCATGATCTGATTCAGCTTCTGGTCTAATGTTCAAAGTAAATGGACATTCTCACACCTTTACACGACTGAAAGGAAAACTTTTTTTTTCTTTCTGTTTTTTTCTCACTCTTCTCATTTTCTCCATCATTTCAATCTGATAGAAAAGTTTTTTCTTTCCTTCTTATCTCACTGTTGATAATATTTTCCTAATATCGTAAAAGTTATTTTTTTCCCCATGAAAGCTCAGAATCAGACTCAAAATAATCGTGTTTACGATACTATTATTTATCTCTAAGATATGTTTACATGTTGATTTTTTTTCTCCCTTCCTTCATTCATCATGATTCATTGGATTGACCTGAGAATCTAATAATATCTTGTAATGTGATAAAGATGAAGCTCAGAATTTCTGATAAAGAATTTCTCATTTTCTCTCTCTCTCTCTCTTCATGATTTTCATTTTAATTTCCTTTAAAATTTTTCTCTCTTTTCAACATATATATCATTCACTATTAGTCTATTATTGATTATTTGATATTATTTATATTCTAATATAAATATTGTCCATCCACATGATGATAATGGTCAATTTAATTCTGTTACCACTTTTGATCACATTTTTCCAATAAAAATATAATATTAAATTTAGGTTGAAATCTTTTTCTTTCTCTTTTTTTCAGCCAATAATTCATATTTTACATGATAACATTCATGATACTTGCCTTATGCCTTACAAACTTACACCTTGTATTATATTTTTCCATTAAGATGAATCCACATCACTCCCAATTTAAATGGTCAACATTATTATACTGACCATTGGCTCGAAGCGTTATAACAATTTTCACACCCTGAGAAACATTTTCATTGTAATATTTACAAAATGTGCTAAAAATTACATCTAAATCTAAATTAATAACCCTCAGATCAAATATTAGAATTGGATTAAAATTTAATAACAATGCAATTCTAAATGGTTGATTAAATCAGTTGAGATTATTTTATCGTCATTTTGATAATTAGTTTTTGATTGCCAGCCATTTATTGCGTTGGTAACAATAGTTGATTCGTGACAAACTATTGATTGTTAGTAATAGTGAATTAATCTTAATCATGATAGATTTTCTTTCAAAAGTTCTGTGTAAACTATTTCACCGAATCTCAGTTATCGACCATTTCAAGTTACTTTTTATTTACAATTTCTAATGACAGGTTAACAAAGATGATGATGTATCAATATTACCTGATTTAGATGATTACTATTAGTTTATTTTATTGGATATGAAAGTTGAATGAGTAGGAAAAAGTTTGGAAAAGTTTTTAACTTTATGAGATCTTGTTGAAAACGGTCAGCTAAAAGATGATGAAAACAGTAGTGGTCAAGAGAAGTGATAAAAGTACGAGGAAAAAATTTAGTTGATAAAGGTAATTTTGAAGGAGAAAATAAATGTGACCAGTGGACAGTAATGAAAGGAAAAAAAAGTGTTACTGGACAGTAATAAATGACCACAGGAGCGTGAAGTAAATAATTACTCAGAAGATGCTTCAGATTTGTTAGCTTTTTTCATGCTCATCCTTCAAGTATAAACATTTTGTAACCTTTTTTTATCTTCATCATCAAAATCATCACCAATAAAATCATCACTATCATCAACCTTTAGTTATCCTACTGTCATTTATGATTATTATCAACTATTAACACACAATGATGTCTTTTTGTTATCACCATCATCATCCCTCAATGTTTTTCATTCATTTCATTCACTTCTCATCCTTTTTTTATCATCATACTTATCATCATTATCGGTGTCCTAATAATCGAGAAAATTTCATTCTTCCGGTCACAGAATTTCCAGCTTTCTCTCTGAATTCTTTACTCTCAGCACTTTGATTTCTCCTTTTGGATACTATATTTATTAGTATTTACTCTCAATCCTCCTCCTCTCTCTCTCTCTCTCTCTCTCTCTCTCTCTTTCATATTCCTTGTCATCTTCTAATCTTCTTTACATGACGATAACACATATAATTCATTTTATTTTTACCTCTTCAGATGATGGACAGGAAAAGAAAACATCTATTGGAGATATCTCTGAATTCATTATCATAGATGAAGATTCGTATCCAGTTCATCTTATTTTGTCCGAGGTAAGTTATTAACTTTTCCATATTCTCTGATAAAGAATAAGATAAAGGTCAAGTGTTCAAGTTATCAAATAAAATCAATAAGAAACAGAAGAAAATGAAGAAAATGAATATTTTTGATTGTTCTCATCATAAAGATGATCATTGACGATGAAAAAAGTCTAGACAACTTTGATTCATTAACTAAGTATTGATCAAGTTCTTGACTTTTGAATGCTTTCCGAACACAGATTGACATAAACAGTCCTACTTAAGGATTTCCTGCAAGATTTCAGCGACGAGTGATCAGATAATTACAATGTTCTGATCAACCTGAAAGTACATGCAATGTGATGTGTTTTCCTAAGTTCTTAATGAGCATTTGCTAAAAATTAGTTGTTTACTTTATCGATAAAGATTCTAACAGCTTATTGTAAATTCCGTTGGTGAGAAACTAAGCACGAACGACGTTGACGAACTTTTTTTTCAATCAGATTTTGTGTTTATCTTATGAGCTGTTAGACAGCCACGAACTGTGGTCTTAGAGCAGAAGAATTGATCTTTCATACTTTCCCCAAATTTTGAGATAAATTTTTATGCTAAGTTTCAATACCTTGGGTCAGACCAATAGACATAAGTTCACCAATAATACGATAAAGTTGTTAAGCAATTAATGAAATTGTCACCATTTTCTCAGGAGTTCAGGATGAGGAGGGTTCAGAAAAAAGTGGAAGTAGAAGCCCATACCCACGCTAGAGTGGTATGGCTTAAGCCTAATAAGAATATAAGGATTTTTTATAGCTCTCTCTCTCTCTCTCTCTCTCTCTCTCTCTCTCTCTCTCTCTCTCTCTCTCTCTCTCTCTCTGGTCTTAATATATTTATCGAATCAAGACTAATCTTAATCTTTTAGTCCTCATTAATGTTCTGCTCATTTCTGATAGATTTAAACACAAGAAGGTAAAGTTACATACGAAAAGAATAAAAAAACAATTACAAATCTAATATCAAATATGAGCCAGGTAAAGATTATCAACTATGTAGTTAACGTTAATACACAGAGAGAAATGATAATACTCACTCCCTGTCTCTTGAGGTTAACAGGAATTATCATCTTAATCATCAGTATTATATTACACAAGAGCAAAAATGAACCTGAAATCATCTTCTTTTGATTAACATGCTCATTATGTTATTCAAAGTAAAGATTATGTTATATACTTGGACTCTTTTCATCTTCCTCAGCTATGGTAAGTTTTTCTTCATCATCATCATCATGATTATGATTATGATTATGGTGATGAAATTATTTTATTATTATTATATTTTTTTACTTTTTTTCTCTATTTCCTCTTTTATCCCTTCATTATAATTGTAACATCACATTTTCTTGTTTATCAAGGTTCTGTTACTGTTTTTCCATCATTGTGTATACATGAAGAGAAAAAAGAAAACTCATTTGTCTTCATCAGAATCATCATCATTATTAGAATTATCATCATCATCATCAAGTTAGCTCATGTTTTCTCTACCTTAACAGTCAAATGAGGCTTCTTACATAACGATAATATATCCTTATTATCATCAAAGAATCGTCATGAATCCTTATTCATCTTTATTTCGTCAAATAACGACTGCTAATTAATTGGGTGTCTCTTAATTTATCTCTTTATTTTCTTGGAAGATAACTGAGTGAGAATAAGTGAGAGAGAGAGAGAGAGTGTGACACAAAGATGAGCTTAAGAAAGTAACCTGAACCTTTACTTCATCTTCTCAAATCTCATGTGAATCGAATACTCTGAATATAATTCATTTTCTATGTAGGAATAAAAGAATTCATTCATTCATATTCACTCGAGTGAACTTGATTTTCATGAATAGTATCATAAAAATAACAGCGAAAAACAAAGGATAATATATATAAATTAATCACGAATTATTATCATCATTCAAATCTCTTTTCATTTCGGTGTTTCAAGTTTTTTTCTTCAATGAAAGATTCTCATGAGATTCATCTACGAATCAATTGGCCATTATCTTGTCTCGGTGGAAAAGTTTCCTTACAAAATATTAAGGAATTACGAATACGTGACAAAATCAATTCAATTTGATTTAAATTACGAATTATTAACAGAGGTGTTTATCTACTATAATACTTTCTCTCAGAGTATCCTGATCATTTCCTGATTCATTTAAATTCGCGAGTTATAAAAATAAAGCTCTCACAATCTGATTACTTCCGTTGCTAGAAAATATCATCTTGCTTGTCGGTGTAAATGTGATTTGAATCAATTCAGTTTCATTGCTAGAGAAAAGAAACATTTCCAAATTGTTCATTTTTATGATGTTTCATGGAGATTGCAAGTGAAAATATTGTTAGTATTACAGAAAAAACGACTCAATTGTTTTCCTTTGCTTCTAATCAACATAACAATATGATTTTGGCTCAATGATTTTGATAGAAAAGAGAGATTCAAATCTCGAAGTCAAAATATCAATTCTATTAGTTCGTGATTTGAATCAAATACTTTCGACACTAACCAATAAAGTAAAACTTGTTGGCAATAAAATATTTACTTCGGTGTTTGAAAAACCACAATTCATTTGTATTCATCTTTAATCATTGATAATTTAGATCAAAATCTCAGGTTGATCGAGATTGTAAATGGATTCTTTTGGATCATTTTAATATTGAACAGTCGGCAAAGAAAGTTCCGTGAAGGCAAAGACAAAAACTCTTCATTATAAAGGATAACAATGATTACGATCTTGTACTAGCACTAATTGAGTAGAATAATTAATCTTGTACTTGGAGAATCTTTTTCAATACTTGTCTCTGGGTACATGTATTAATGTATCGATTGGAGATCTGTGTTCTCGAAAAACAATGAGAAATTGTTTATTAATAAATAAGAGCTGTTTCTAATGACCGATACCTGACCATTCAAGAAGAAGATGAAAAAATTGAACTTAAGATAATTTGTCAAGAGCTTGTCATGAAAAAATACTAGAAAATCTATCATATTCAGGAAACAGAATTTGTGTAACTATCGAATTTGTAACTTTTAAAGTTGCAAGAAGTTTAAAATTTAACGTCAACTTGATAATTATCATGATGAGTTTTTCCACCTTTATTGTCCCTCCTCATCTTTTATACTCATTAACTCAAAGTTCTGAGTTTAATGTCTATCTTCATCTTCATCTTCGTCTTCATCTTTTTTTTCATCATGATGAATGTTATATGGTAACTAATCTTTCGGTTGTTAAAGTTTTCACCAGTAAAATTGCTCCTCATTCTCATGAAAACAAGAAGAAGTAAAAAAGTTCTGAATGTGAATTCGGTGAAATGAAAACTGAGGCCTAGTTAATGTAGAGAGAGAGAGAGAGAGAGAGAGAGAGAGAGAGAGAGAGAGAGAGAGAGAGATGAAGATAAATATGATGATAATAATGATAAGTTGAGTGAGTTTAACAAATCATCATCTTCATGATCCTATGAACATATTTTATTAATATAAGTCATAATATATATGAACTCATTACAACAAGAAAATAACTTTGACATGTAATTAATATGAAAACAATTGAACATTTAATAACAATAAAAATGATATTATCGTGATTAGATTAATTCAAGTTAATTGTCTTTAAATTATGACAAAGTTCATGGAAAGAAATATGAAAAAAAAACAAAAAAAAACTCAGAAAATCAACTGATCATATTCACACTGACTATTATAATAGAGCTCATTAAATTATAATGGACTGAAAATTCACTGATTAAGTTGATTGAAAGTTTAATTAAATTATCAATTGACACACAGTAACTGATTAATGATTCTGACGATTTTACTTTAATTAAAACTTTCACCCTGATACTTTTAATTGAACAATAAGCAACGATGATTAATTGATAATTCATTTTCATTATCAATTATTTACAACGTTAGCATCGTCAATATAATCATTGAATTAATTTGATAACTTTCACTTGTTATTATAACAATTTGTATCACAATTTAGCTTATTCATAAATTTAAAGTATCATTTTCATTAAACACTTTCTAAAGTTAATTGTTTGAAATTAATTGATCAATTTTACTTTGTCTCGGTCAATAGGAAGATGATATTGATAAACATCAACGTGTTTTCTGCTTATCAACATTGGTCTAAATTGGGATGATAAATATTTAATTAAACTACAACAATCAAGGAAAATGATTAATAATATTTAGTGGTGAAACTTTTTTTCCACCTTCAACAATTTACACAATCGACAAATGGAACAATTTAATCTGATCATAATCAAACAATTGTAACAACCATCAGAGTTTAACTAATAACATGTCAAGTAAGTACAATTTCAAAGTTGCCTTTTAAAAGTTTAATTGTGATCACAGTTAATTTTGTTTATTATTTATTGATTAGATTGTAAAGAAAAAAGTAAATTAACTTTCATGATGATGACGATGAATGGAAAATAAAAATGTCTCAATAATTGAGTAAAGTGAAGATGATTAAGGAAGAGGATGAGGAAGACAATGGTGATGAGGATATTTATTTTATCATTTACCAAGAAAGAAAATAGTGAAAAGATTGTAAAAGAATGAAGAAAATAAAAATGATGAAGAGGAAGATGATGGTGGTGATGATGATGATGATGATGATAGGAGTTGTGAGAGTGGAAGTGGGAGTTTGAGGTGATTCTCAAGTTGATAATGACGATGAAAGAGATAAAAACAATGAGTGAGAATGAGGTTGAAATGGTGAAAATAACAGAAACATAGTTTTGGTTTTGATACTTTGTCTTCATCCTTCATCATCAGTGACATTATTTTCATCCTTTTGCACTTTACTTTTTATCTTGCAAGGTCAAATGAGGCCATTTTTTGTTCTGAATTTAAAAGATAATGGGTTTGGATGGAAAGACGATGGAGAGAGAGAAAGTGAAGATGATGATCATAATGAGAAAGAGCAAAATGAGGGAAAAAACGATCAAGAAAAAATGAAAGATGATGATGATGATGGTGATGGTGAGAGAAGAGAAAAGGAAAGATAAGTTTTGTCGCAGGGAAAATAAGGTTGATTTTCAGAATTTTCTGACTATATAACTCGAATCTGAACTTGGTCCAAGGAGGAAGATGAAATATATTTACTTGTCTTCAATATTCTACCTCATCTTCTCATATATAATATTTATGCCATCATCATTTTCTACTTGTTTGTGACTTTAACCTTCCCTATGATATAACGATGGAAGTGGGAAGGATCATCTTCATCCATAAATCTTGAATACTTTTTCTATCATTTCGTCTTGAAACGATGTATCATGAAAAGATTTCCAAGCAACAGCTTTCAACTTAACCGAGAATCATCATTATCCTCATCACTTTTTTATTCACTCGCAATTCTCACTCATCAACTTCCCTCATCCCTTGTTAGTATTTAGGCTTTTCTCATCTTATCTCATTGTTCCCTGGTTTCTGATAACAGGAAAGTGAGAAAATATGAAAGAGTCTACGATTCTTTGAGCTTCTCATGCAAAAAGATTAGCATGAACTTTTCTGTTCCATGATTGTTGTCGTTGTTTGGCTACTTTCGATAGAGAAAAAAAGTGAAAATGCTTCATTCTTATAGAGAATTGATGATAAATTCAATATTCTATCAAACTCTCTCTCTCTCTCTCTCTCTCTCTCTCTCTCAACGGAACATCTAATGATCTACCCTTTTCATCACTTTTATCATCTTCTTTTACTCATCTTTCGTCCTCTCCATCTTCCTTCAAGGTCTTTTTGTCCTCTCACATTCAGATCATCTTAATCACCTTTCTCGCCTTTTTCACTTTTGATTATTTTCACCATGGTAACTGAATGATTATCAGAATGTACATGATAGGATCATGGTGATCGAAAATCATCATTTCCATCAACTAAACACTGAAGAAATGTTTTCCTTGATTGTTCAATCTTCTAATAATCCTGATCGATATTTTCAACATTATCCCTTCAATTGAATGAGAATCCATCCGATTATCATCACCATTATCATCCTTTTATCCAAAAATAATTATCATTGTTCAGATTTAAACTAACCAACAATTTAAATTGCTCCTCTTGATTCAGAAAATAATCAGTACAACTAATTAATATTAATAAAATTATCTAAAGATAACTAATGTACCTTTTTGCAAGGGTTACAATTAATCACTGTAACTGTGATTCCTCAGATTTATCCTGATTGTTAATTAATGATTCACTAATTAAATGAAACTTTTCTTTCCTTTGACAATTTAGATAATTCAATTTTGGAATCATCAATGTTTCTTATTGAACAACTTTGGATTCGAGTGAATTTTGTCCAAGTGCCTTCAAAATGAGCTCCCAAATGATGGAGATCTAATTGAATAAATTTTTCTTAATTTCCCTCAACAATTAACTAGTCAATTCTGGTTACGATGGAACAATGATTTCATATTAATGTTAATAACTTTTGAGATTAATTCTTTTTTTTCTGAATGATTTATTTCTATCATGTTTTGATGAAGAAAAAAAAAACGAAAAATGATTTTATTAATAATAAAGTTTCATAAAACTGTTGAAACAACTCATTGTATTACTTTTTAACAATTAGTTTAAAAGAATAATTTTAAATCGTTTGGAATTAAGCTTAATTACTGATGGAGAGATTTGTAAGCATTTTGAGAATTGGTTATTTATGAATGAGCATTGAACGAAAAATAATTTTTGGTCAGTAATTTTTGATTAGAAATGGTAAATTAGTCTATATCTCTGATGGACATTTGCATGATTCTGGAGTTTCCTTTATCATTTTTGTAAACTTGGTAATATTGTTCACACCCTGAATCTCTGAGACATCTAAGGAATTGATCGTCATGGGTAATTATCACTAATTGGAAACGATGATGACGATGTAATTTAACAATATTTGTAACGGTATCGGCAAATGCTTGGATATTATCCTTATCCAGATTGGTTGTTGGCTCGTCCAAGGCCAAAATACCACAATTAATTGAAAATATCTCGGCTAAAGCTAAACGAATTATCAATGAGGCGATAACCTTTTGTCCAGCTGAGCAACGACCTCTCATGTCCATTTCCACTTGTTCACGAACCATAACAACTCGATAATTAAATGATCGACGTTTATCTGAAGCTGATCTTTCGGTTTCCGTGTCCGATTCAATCTTGATGAAATCGATATCATTTCCACGATAAGCGTCTCTCCATAATCTGCTAAGATACTGGTTAATTTCAGCCATCTTCTTCTTGTGGAAAACCATAACTGAATGGTCGAGAGCTCGATACAATTTATTAAGATCTTCACAAATCGTTTCCATCTCAACTGATTCAATCAATTTAGATTGAAGGTTGGTCTTTGCTTTTACATATTTTTCAGAACTCAAATCTCGTTCCAAATCTTGAATTTGAGCGATTATCGGTTCTTGTTTTCCTTTAATCTGTTGTAATTGTTGATATTTTCTTGGAATTGTTTCTCTAATTGTTGTTTTTTCTTTTGAAGGGCAACCGAATCTGCTGCACCTCGTTTCTCAATCTCCTTTGACAATTTTTTCTCATATTCGGTTACTTTTTCAATTCGCTCAAGAAGTTCAAGATTGTCTTTCAAATTTCGTTCACCCAATTCAACTTCATTGATTTCCTTGCGAAGCGAATTACAAATTTTGCTGAGATTACTTTTATCATCGTTAATTTGATTTATGTCTCTTTTGATTTGATTGAATTTTTCTTGTAAATCTTTTAGCTGAGCATCAATATCATCCATAAGATAAGAAGCAATGTCTTCCCCAATGGCAGCGAAATCGTCGAGGTAACGATTTAATTTCGAGATAATTGTTTCAGATTGTTTACGCTTCGATTCCTTTTCGTCGACCACTGACTTTCTTCTCTCGATTAACTGCTCCAATCTTGGTTCAATTGATTTGATTTCATCTTCAAAAGTGATCAACTCATTTTCCAATGAGTTAACTTGTTGACGCAACTCTGAACATTTCTCTGTCAATGCAACTTGTTTTGATTGGCCTCTTTCAAGTTTCAATTTTTGATCTTCAAGAGCAAAAATTTGCTCCTTTACTTGACTAATGAGCTTTGTTGCTTCATCTTTTTCCTCTTGGTATTTTTTGAGCTCATCTTCTAATTGCTGGGCATCATTTATGAAATCATCCAATTCTCCACGAACATCGTCAAGTGACCTCAATGTACTATCAACGGTTCCAAGTTCTCTTTTACATTGTTCAATACGATTCTCGATATCTTGTAATGAGCGAAGACTATTGTCATAACTTATCGCCTGTGGTTCTGCTGATCGAAGTCTGTCCAGCTCAAACTTATCCTTTTTAAGTTCACGATCATGAGTTTGAATTTTAGAAATTATTTCATCCAATTTTTTTTGAACATCAAAAACTTCTTGTTTGATCTTTGGCATCAGCTCCTTATTGTTTTTTATCGATTCGTATTCACTTTTCAATCCAAGTAACTTTTCATGGAGTTTCTCCTTTTTACTCAATTCTTCGTTCACTTTCTTGGCCTCTAAGGGTAGTTGACGAATCTTTTTCACTAGACTATCTTTGACTTTGGTTCTATTTGACTTGAGATCAGTCTCACAAACTGGACATTTGGCTTCATTTTCGATGATGACTGAGTACTCGGATAAAAGGGACTCCGCTCCACTTGAGGTTGCACTTTTACTTCGAAGACTTTTAAGCTCAGAATCGACTGAGTCCAACATCTGATCGAATGGAGTTGAGCCACAAATTGATCTCATTTTTGTTTCTTTTTCTTTAATTTCCTTCTTGCAGTTTTCATATTTCATCTTTACCATTTCCAATTGTGTCTCCAATTTTCGACGGTCAGCATTCAACGATTCTCCAGCAGTTTCCTTTGTTTTTAACTTTCGCTCTGAGGCTCGAATTTTGTTCTTAAGTTCATCGACGAAAGATTTATCAGCATCATTTTCATCAATACCAAGATCTTGTAGTAAATTGACATATTCAGAATAAATTGATGTCAAATTGTCTTGTTCTTTTTCCTTATTCTTTATGTGAACTTGAAGAACAGCTCTTGCCTCATTTTGAGCTATGTGAGAATCTTTTTCCTTGTTGAGATTATCGATTTTATCTTTGAGAGTTTTCTGATCCTCGTACATTTCCTGGATAGATAATTGCAACTGGTCAATATCAAACTCGGACTCGAGTTTTTTACGTTGTTCCTTTTTCTCTTCCAATTGGGATGAAATTTCCTTGAGTTGACCAGATGAATGACTAATCTCTTTAAGTTGCAATTGAATACGATTTGCGTCTTCGGTTTTTTCCATAATTGATTTATTGTTCATCGCAATTGACTGTTCAAGTTTACTTTTACTTGATTTTAATCTATCCAATTGAAGATCAACCTCTTTGAGAGATTTTTCGTAATGACAAAGAGTAGATTTAAGCTCGCTTGTCAATTTATCTTTCTGAGAGTCCACCGAGTTTTGAATTTCCGCCAGAGCAGTTTCAGTATTTTCTTCAATTTCAATTGATTGTAAGCAATCAAATTCACTTAATCCTTCATCGAGTAACTTTTGTAGAATAGTTTTCAACTTTTTCTTATCCTGAGAAAACTTTACTTGTTTTCCTTCAAGTTTACCTTTGGAAGTTGAGATTCGATTTAGTTGAGCATTAAGTTGACATAAATCATCTTCAGCTTTATCCAATTCGCTTTCAGTTTTTTTGAGTTGAGAATCTTTCATCTTGGTGTCATCAGCGAAATTGGCCATCTTCATTTTCAATTCTTCTTTGGTTCCATTAAAGGTTTCTCTTATATTGTCTCTCAGGTATTCGATACTTTTTTTCTGTTCATTTAACTTTCCTTCTAATCCAGAGATTACTCTTTCAACATCAACGATAACCTTTTCCTTGGCTGCCAAAGATTCAAGCTCTTTTTTAATTGGAATTATCTCCGAATTCAGGGTATTCATTTTATCTTTGTATGAGGCTAAAGTTGCTTGACATTTGGCCAGACTATTGTTATACTTTTCAGCTTGCAGTTTATGTTCTTGAAACAGTTTAACTTCACCTTCATATTGAGCTAAACGTTTAGCATATTCAGTTCTTTCATCTTTAATCTTCTTCAAGGCTTTAACATAACCAGCTGATCCAAATAGCTGGTCAAATTTTTCCTTTAAGACTTTAGATTCACTTAGAGGCCAATTAGAGTCTTCTTGATGGCAAAAGATTACATCAGATAAAACGGACTTGGAAACACCTATGAGATCCAACATGACGGAATCGATTTGAACACATTTGGTGCTGACTATTGTATCATCACCTCGTTTGATGATAGCATCTAGGGTTCTCATTTGAGGGACAACTTTACCAGATCTATCTCGTTTAGCAGTGAGCTCGATTGACCGAGTAATAACACATTCGACTCCATTTATATCAGTGAAAGCAAGTTTTACTTGTCCGCGATTAGTATGACCCTAGAAAGGAAAGAGAATAAAAGAAAAGAGTAAATTTTCAAGTCTAATGAGCAAAAAAGAAAAGAATCTTAAAGGAAAAAATAAATAAAGCCAACTAACCTTAGAGAAGTGAAGGTCATGGATCCAAGTTTTTCCTTTATTAGTGAACGGAGGAAATTCATTTGTGGCCGAATATCGAAGACACTCAATAAGCGTCGTCTTACCCGCTCCATTTGATCCAAGAATTAACGTTAATGGAAAAAATTTGATCACTTGACGATCTTCTGGATCAAAGCTTCGGATACCAGAAACACTCAGTTTATTTAGACAGGCCATGGATTAAGACCTAAACTCACTAAATAAAGAAAAGTAAACAAAAAAGTAAAAATGTAACAATAAGAAAAATTAACACAATTAACTAATCAAGAAAATGAAACCAATTCTTCAGATCATCTGATGCAATCAAAAAGCTTTTTTTTCAAAAAAAACCGCGAAGTTTAAGGGACCGTCAACTAATTACGGCGAACAAAAGTTTCCGGATTAAATGAATCAATTAATTAGTTTGGAAAAATTTATTTAGTTACAATTAATAAGTTAATTTGAATTTTTTGATGGTACAGAAAAACATAAGAAGGTCAATAAAGTAAAGAGTGAGAAATTGAAGTTGAAAATGATGAGCTTAAAACTTTCCACGCTAATTAATGTTAACCAATTAAGCAAATCTCTATTATATCGTAACGATATTATCGTTTACCTTTGAATGAAAATTAGATTATATCGTAAGCAAAAATTTCCATCAAGTTTTGCTCAACAAGTTAGTTAATTGTAGAAAGGTTACTCATCCTTATCGTGTGTCACATTGTCTTTTGTTAATTTCTGCTTCTTTTCGAGCGATGTACCGATTAAAACTAATAACAACCGATCGGCACAATCATCGCGAATGTACAAGTCCTGGTGCTGCCAATGCAAGAGATATTAGAAGAGTTATCAGATTAGAGATGAAATTGGGAGTAAATTGACAAACTTTTCCGATTGATAGACTAATATCAGTTGGACCAACTTTTTGCATGAAAATGTTAATCTTGAAAAGTGAGAAAAAAAAATGAGTTCAATAAGTTTGGCTGAAAAGTTCAGATTTTGATCTTCTCTTTTGAGAATTAATAAAATCACAGTTTTTACCTCGTTCTTGGCATCGGCTTGATAATCTTTAAATGATAATAAGTAAACCTTTTCATAGCAAAAGCTTGAATAACGATTAACCGAGACAAGGTGATAGGTTAATTGGATCAAATTGGTGAATGAAAGCATTGATCTTGCTACGACTTGACTTAAATTATCAGTTGCACTCATAAAATCCAAGAAACAGAGGAAATTTTCACAGAGGATATAAAAATAGATGCCAATGGTTGACATTGACAAGAAAGTGTCCAATTTAAGTGTCGATTTGGATGCTAACGAATGTAGGTGACGAATTGATCGAATCTGTTGAGAAGTGTCAGTATTTCGTCTAACTGTCAACAAGAGATGACATATAACTGTAAATGGAGCACATGCATTGATACAATTCGATATGATAAACTGTGATTGTAGAAACCAGGTAATGATGTCGAAAGTATTACATGCGAAGTGAAATAAATCCCTTAGAATTTTATCAAAATTGTCAATGTTTCGTTCTGATTTAATTATTGTTACGGCAAATAAACCAAATAATTCCAGTGTTAAGATAATGTAATTCAATAATCGACTATAGAGACGTTTCTTTGCAAGGAAAACAATTGAAAGTTCATTTTCCATTTCTAGAATTTGCTGGTTAATTCTAAGAAATTGTTGATAATGTGATCGCCGAAATTGTAGAAATATCATAACGAATCCGTGTAAACATGGAAGATAAAACTTCGAATCCGCAAGGTTTTACCGTTATCATCAAATGGATTCCCTTCAATCAGCATTTGCCCAATTCCCATGACGAAATAAATAAACACCAATAACCAAACCGTAAGCGAATGGATTATTTTATCTTGAGATGAGAAAATCAAGGAAATAAAGTCTCTTGGATTAGTCGATTTCATTTCGTTAATTATCATCATGATCTAATCCATTGATAACTTTGAGCAAAAGTATTGAGAATCAGTTGATCAACGTGAAAATAACGAGTAACGTAAACATCAATTTTGGTTAAATGTAACAATCGAATTAGCTTTAATTAGTCTGATTGGTAAATATAATTTAGCTTAAGACTTGGAGTTTCAACTAATTATTTCTATTTAATATTGGAGAAAATTAGACATGCAAATTAATATCGAATTGACTTCGCCATTTAATTTGTGGTTAATTGTGTTGATAGAATATGCTGATTGCTAATAGTGGGATGGAACTTAAATTGTCATCAATGATTGATTAAATCATTTGTATTTCTCTTTTAATATAAAAATAGAAAAAGTATTAACATTAAGATGTTGTTGTCAAATGAGTTGATGAAAGTTCTGTCTGATTATCAATCAAAGTTTTTTTTGTATTCCAAATTAATTATTGATTGGAAAAGTTTTCTTCGATTGTATTGCAAATGCTGATCAAATAGACTTGTGGATTGATCAAATAAATTTAGAAAAATTTATTTAGTTACAATTATAATAAGTTTTTTTGAATATTTTAAATGGTACAAAAAAAACATCAGATCATCAATAAATTATAAAGTGAGAGTTGAAGTTATGAGAGATACAAAATGTTGGGGTTTTGTTTGTGTGTTTCCAAGAAAATGATTAGTTAATTTGATAATGATATTTGGTTGGTGTTTAAAAAATAAATTTCCACATTAATTAATGTTAATTTGTTGATTCTCAATGGTTTGGACGGGATGATTAAATTATTACAACTATAATCGCATTTAACTTAAGGTTTTTAAATTAGATTCTTGGTGAATTCACTTTGGTTTTGTTTTTACTTTTCAACAGTCGATCGATGATGAGGAAGAAAAAATTGCCTTCGAATTGATTGATGATTTAATTCACCATAATTTACACTTTTGCTCTGGATTCATCAATGATCCTCGAGGACAATTAAATACTCTGGCAAAATTATCATTGTTCATTAAAGTTCCAATAACTCTGAATCTCGATGGACTATGGACACCTTGGAGAATTGAATTTTTAAGTGAGGCCGGTCTTTCCTTTTCACACCAAATCTAATTGAAAAGAAAAACAGAAAAATAATTACAATTCATTCATAAAAGTTAATTGCTGGTTAAATTGCAAATTCTTACAGAGGCAAATGAGAGGAAAAATAATTGATCGGATGTGAAAGAAGACATTGGTCCAGGTAATCTTTCATTTCTTGCTGAAACTGAGCGACTAATGAACTTTTTATAACCCTGAAATAATACAAAGAAAATTCATTGTTGATTAATAACATAATTTAAATTATCTTCATGATGGCCTACATTGAAAGCTATGTCAATCCCTCCATTGTCAGCAATATTTTCTCCTTGCGTATTAATCCCATTAATTGATAATCCAGTATCTGGATCGACCATCTGATCATATTGATCAATGAAACATTGAGCTCGTTCATTATAACGTTTAGTTGAACCTGGTGACCACCAATTACGAAGATTTCCATCTTTATCATGTTGTTTACCTGTTTATAAGAATAGATTTAAATAGATTTAATTGTAAACCAATTTCCCTCTCAACGAGTTAGTTAAAGAGATAATCAATCAACCTTCGTCATCGAAAGAATGAATTATTTCATGTCCAATTGTTTTTCCGATGCCACCAAAGTTGAGAGCATCCGGAACATCACTAGTAAAAAATGGAGGACCCAAAATGGCCGCTGGAAACTCTGAATCGATAATTGATAATAAAATATTTGCATCACATAATAATCTTAAAATATGTTAGTTCTAAATACTCACGGATGTAATTGAGATCAATGTAATTGAAAGCGTTGACTATTGCTGGTCCTGACAAACGACTGGTCATCGATAACATAACAAGCAAAATGAAATCAATATTAGATTCAAGTTCGAGATTTGAATATTAAATTTACTTACACAGCATATCGATTGACTCGATAACGAAGAGCTCGAACCTTTTTACTTGCATCGATTTTTTCAAATTTTAATATAGTTCCAATGAAGTCACCTGGCATCACAGTTTGCTGAGAACAAGTTAATTGTTACAATCAATTAGTAATCAGTAATTTGTATTGGAATGAAAATAGTATTACCTCACTATAAAATTTTTCTAATTGTTCATTATCCCGAATCCATGGTTGATAAGCGACCACAGAGACCATATTATTTAACTGTATTCAATATTAAGGTAATTAATTAAATGTATTAATCAATAGTTAATTGAGTTAATGGTATTCACCTTCCGTTTAGCTTTCTTTCTGGTTAGTGGATCCATCCAAGTCTGTTTATTGAAAGCTTCCTTTAGAGAGTCTTTAATGTATCTTACAAGAGTTTCCACTTTTTTTATATTAGTCGAATTGAAATAATTGTCTATGTAAAGACGACCCATAGCAAAGTGATAATAATTATCTAATTGATTATAACAAAATTCCCAATCTTTTTCTGGTGATTTTAATCCTTTTCGAGCTTTTTGAAATTTAAATCTCAACTGACGGAATTGACTCACAGTATAATCACCAAAGCCCAAAATAAATCTCCAACCAAGGTAATTGGCTATGGTTCGTTCGGGTGTTTTACGAAGAAGACTCCCTAATTGCTTAAAGTAATCACGATTTTCAATGATGAAAACATCGCTTTCAGAAAGGTCAGTGTTTGACCAACGAAACAAGTTAACCATTAAGGTTCGCCAGTTAATCTATAAGTTGATTGAAATGAAAATTTATAATAAAAAATTAGCTCATACAAGAGAAAAGGATATGCGTCAACTTACCCCTTTAAACTCTCGTATTAGCCCCGAAATGGTCATTCGTCGATAAGGATTAAGTTGATCTTTTTGTAGAAGTCCAGTGTTAATTAGGGATTGAAGTGAATACTCAAATTGATATAAATTCTCGACATCTGAGTCAATTCGAGCCTTTGAAAGTTTATCAACTCGTAAAAGTTCAATAATGTCTCTCATGTATCTTTTATAAGCTTTGGCAAATGTCCGAGACTCATACTCGTGGATACTTATGTCCAATTCTGGTGGGTCAAGCTGAAAAGAGCAAATCAAATAAAGAGTTTAATTAAATTGATTCTTGTAAAATTATCAAAAGAAGATTTAATCAGCTGACCGACTTACATAAATTGCACGCTGAGTGTTGTTCATCAGATCAACATCAATGTAAACTTTGACCAAATAATTAGCACCCAAGTGACTTTTCAATTTAACATAACTGTCAAACCAACTGTAGCCTCTTTTGTCCCATGATTTGTTGATCACAGGCCAACCTCCGATTGAATCGAGTATTTCATACAAAGAACCAACACCCACTTCATCTCTTCGAGTCTTGTCCATACATTCAGAATAGAAGTGAAGTAATCTACCGATGACCGGTGACCTGTGAACTCGTGGATTGTACTTTGATTCTAGTAATTCTATAATTCAACAAGAAAAAATATCGAAAACTTTAATTAACTGATTTCATCTCTAATTCCTTTGTCAAAAGTTGATATCAATCAAATTAAGCAAAGGAGGTGAATTGATATTCAAAAATTAATTCACACTGAGTATGTAATTAAAGGTCAATGATTTGATTTTCTCGTAATATATGACATCATGGATTTTAAATAATCCATTCTGATGAAAAGTACACAGAAAACTTAATTAACTCTAATAATACAATCAAGTGATTGTTGAACAAAGATTGAATTGAATCACGTTTGTGAATTAATTAGTAATTCATTTGTGTCAATTTAGATTTTCCCTCCAAATGCCTTTAGGTTACTATGCCAAAGAAAAGTTAACAATAGTAAATGTTATTAGAATGATTTGAAAATATGATGAATTAAAACAATATTTTAATTAAACTCAGTTAATTGTACTTAGAATTCATTGGAAACAATAAAATCACATTGGCTAATTACTTAATCATTATGAAAAACTGATAAATGAACTTTTGATGATGAAAAATAAAAAGATCCAAAGGTAAAATCCCTGGAAGGGGTTCGTTGATTTAATAAGTTAATTAACTTACACTGAGTGTTAATCAACAATAGATGAAGTATAATTTGATAAGCTTATCGGGATTCCCAGTTAATCTGCATAACTGGATTTAATTGATTATAATTACTTTTGACAGTTAATTAGCAATTAAATGATAAGATTTATGTTTTGTTTTTTTGATAACATTACTAAAAACATTTTACTAGATTAATTGTTAATTTTCTGGTCAATTGTTTTGCAAAAGTTTTAGACTCAACTAAATTGACCAAGCATAATTGTTGATTGTTGTTGGAAAAATTATCTCATCATAATCAAGGAAATGACTATGATGATATTAAGCAAATATTTAATAACAATAATCAGCGTGGATTACAATTTAAAAGTGTAAGATTAAATTGCGGAAGGTTATTAGGTATTGAACAATTTCAATTGGTAATTATCAGCAATCAAAACCAATATCAAATCCAAGACCATCAGTGACAAATTAATTTGATTGTTTACAATGATTTTGTCATCGAAAGAGTAAAGAAATCGCCATTAAATTAATTATATGATGAATGATAATCGTTCAAAAATACACATGATAAAGTGATAACAATTGGATTCTAGTGTTGACCTTGAAATTGATAAGCAAAACGAAAGGATTTATATGGTTAATTAGCTATTAAACTGGTTGAGATAATCCTTGGAGTACAAGATTAACTTGTTAATGAATTAATTGTTCACTTGAGTAGATTAGGTGGATGAGTAGTTAAGATTAAGGTAAACATTAAAGTAAAGGGTTAGGTAATTGTACTGATGATTAAATCATCAGTTTATTGGCTTTTAATCAAAAACTTTGATTGTTCAGTTGTATCATCTTTTTAATTGTTATATTTACAAAGGATTATCAAGGTTATTATTTTTGTTTCAAACTTTCATGATAATGATAAGTTTCACTGAGAACATGTTTATAATATCAAGTATTATCCATTAATCATGATATTAGTAAATTTGTATTGTATTTGCACTTTAGTTAGTAAATTGTTTAAGGAAAGATTAACTTAAATTAATATCTGTTAATATTAGATCATCAACAACAATCAATTGCTACAATGATAATCAATAGTTAATATTAATAATATTATTATTATTATGATAACAATACGACGATAAATTGTTGAAATAAACAATTTTGTAGTAAATTGATTCTATCTTAGTTGATTAAACGATTAACAATAATTGTTACAAGCAATCAACTTACGATACTATTAAATATAATATGAACCTAATGACCTAAATATTAAATTGTTAATTATATTAATAGTGATAATTATACCATTTGATATTTAGACTTTAATACATGAGATTATTTAAATTATTTTCGAGTAACAGCTTTGAAGTAATTACAATCCAATCTGATTGTAACTGATTAAGGATAACAAGCGTTAATAGTTAATCTAAATTGTGATTAACTTTTCAAAATGTTTTCACTTTAATCATGTCAATCAATTTTGGGAAAATGTTTGATTTTGGGCTTGATTAAAGATTTAATCGCCTTAATTAAGATGGACAATAGAGACGTAAAAAAAATTAAATTACAGAATTTGAATTGAGTTAAATTGGTTCAAGAGCAATTTACTAATTGTAAATTGAAGCAGTATGGATTAGGATAAGAATTTTCTCTTTCTCAAATTAACAGGATCACAATTGAATTGACTTACTTTTTAATTGTTTCTTCAATGTTAATCGAGATAAGGCCCAAACTGACCACCAACTTCTATCCTTGGGAATAACTGTTTTTCTAAGCCAATTACCACAAGAAAATTGATAAAAATCATCACAAGGGTCAACACTAGTGTCCATACCATTCCAGATGCGATCAGCTGTAAGAGGAGAAGAAGATAGAAAAAAAAAGGATTGACCAGAAAAGTTCAAATGTCAATAGAAAAGAAAATGAGTTTTCTTCTCAACAATTCCATGTAATTTGAGATACTGTTAGTTTTCAATAAGTTAATGACCAATGGTCAGCATGTCAAGTTACATTGACAAGATGAAAATTACATTGTAGATACATTGTAATAGTTAACAAGTTAATCAAAGTAGAGTTGAACATTAACATTTAGATAAGGCCACCACTAATTGTTGATACTAAAGAGATTTAGTATCTTAATTAAATCTCAGAATTTACGTGATTTGAATACTAACCTGTTTCTTTACAAGCCTTTGTTGAGCAAATCTTTTTATCCTCATTATTATTAACATTCCGAGAGCCTGAGGTGGGAGGGAAGATTAAGAATAAGATTAAAGTAAACAACAATAATCAGATTTGAGTGATTATCAAATGATTTAACTAATAGTTGAGGATATTATAAACTCACTTATATCACAATTAGCCACTGACCATAGGAAGCAAGAGGCAATAAACGGAATAATTATCACAGGTAAAAACAGAGGGAAATAATGTTGATTCATAACGAAAGTGACAATCAAATGTGATTGTTAGAAAAGAAAAAGTTTATCAAATTGTCAGTTGGAATTGATTTTTTTTCCTCTTCTTGATGATAAATTTTATTTTCACTTGTAGAACACAAAATGACAATAAGACACAGTTGATTTTGTTGTTGACAAGTTTCCAGACTTGTTGATGATGAGTTTTAATGTCTATGGAATTTGTGTGACAATTTATCAGGATGAAGAAATTCACAATGAGAGAGGACCAATTGTTTCACTTTAGTGAAACTTGACACAGGTAATGAAGAGAAAATGTCGCAATTGAAGACCAAGATGAGACAGAAAGGCTCATCTGTGATTGTCTACTAGCTTCATGGGAACTTTTCTTGACTGGAGTAGATGAAGATGTTGAAGAGTAAAGAAAAATAAACACAGAGAGAAAGAAAGAAAGAAAGAGAGAGAGAGAGAGAGAGAGAGAGAGAGAGAGAGAGAGAGATGAGATGAGATGAGATGAGAGGGGCGGTGGAGTAACCACTTGGAAATTCACTGTTACCACCAATGGAACTCGTTAATTGTTGTCGATATTTTCTTCTTTTCAAGTTGATTGTTGGTTTGGTTAGTTTTTAATTTTACGTCTTCGAGGTAACCACAAGATTCTTGAAGATGATAATGTGGACATAATTTGAAATTAAATTAATGAAAAGAAACACGATGGATCAATGAAGAGGAAACTTCAGTCAATGGCCAGAAGGAAATGTTTAGTTGCATAAGAATCGTTGATGGATTAGAAAGATGATGAGAAGATGAAAGTAGAGGGAAAAATAAGGTAAGAACCACAGAAAAGAAGAAGAAGAAAACGATGAGAGACAAGATGGAGGAGCAAAAAGAATATCTTCTCTTTTAAACTTAAGCTTTGGTAAGAGAATTTGAATTTGATGTTTTCAAGAACTTCTTTTTCCTTGGAGGCTTAAGGTCTCTCAAGATTAAGCTTTTGTCTACCAATGACGATTATGTTAATAGATTGGTGGATAATGATAATGATGATGAGAATGATGGTTATCCTTGGAGCCAAAGTTATGGAGCGAAAATTTTACTCCCTCTCTTTCTCTCTCTCTTCTTCTTTTCTCTCTTTGTCTTGAGGTATTGTGGACAATTCTTCTTCTTTTTTCAATTAAAAAAAACACATGAAGTAAAGAACAAAACGAAACAAGAGAGAGAGAGAGAGAGAACGAGAAAAAAAAAGAATAGAATTTGAGTCTTGTTAATTATATTAAGTTGTTACCTCTTGAAGCCAATATGACGGGTGAGAGAGCGAATGAGCTTCTCGAAAGTTGGTGGCAAATATTATCCTCAATTGTTTCACGGTAATTTATTAATTGCAAACGAAACAATCACAGTAAACAATTCAGATTAAATTAGTAAATGAGAGAGAAAAGATGTCAAAATAAACACTGAAAATGTACCAGGATACATAATGGAAACAATTTGATGGCACTAATTACATATGAGAGAATGTCACTTATAACATTTAGATGAATTGACGATCACATGAAACATTTTCTTTTCCACTGGCTGAGGAGAGAGAGAGAGAAAAATATCCAAATATTGATTAGTAAATACAAGAAGAAGAAAAATAAGAGAATAGAATAAAAATAAAAAGAGAACAAAGTTAACTGATTAAAGAAAATAAAGAGACACCAAGACTCAATGTCTCCAGTAGCTTAATGATTAACATCTACTTGAGAACGTTTCATCTTTTTTTCTCTCTTTCATTTGTTTTTTTGTTCTATTTTACTTACTTGATTGTTTTTTTTCTATTCTCTTTTATAATTAATTATTCTCTTCCAATCGATGACCAGACCAAGATGGTTGAAAAACGATCTCAGAAGGTCACACTGGTCAGGCGATTGAAAAGTTCACATGGTAACTAAAAGGATTGGAATTGATTGTCACTAATCACTTGTTCCTTTATTTTGATGGTAACAATTTAATTTCTCCAGTTAATTGAACGTTTAAAGGTTAACAATTTATTCACAATTTGACGATTACAATTAATTAATTGTTGGCGGTGGAAAAAAATCAATTTTGGAATTTATAACATGGACAAAATGGTGGATGGAAAAAGAAAACAAAAGAGAACAAAGATTTAGGTAAGTAAAGAGAATTTTTTTTCTATTCTATTTTTGATTTTTGTTCTACGGAAATTGTTTGTTCTTTTTTTTTCTATTTGATTGTTGTGGTCACTTTTTGATTTGATTTGTTTATTTTCCGTTGTTTCATTTAACAGAATGTTAATTGTAACTTGGAAGAGAGAAAGAGAGAAACTTGTAATCAGGTTTGGAAAATTGAACAATTGGTCCACCCAGAAAATTCACCGCAACTATTAACATGCTCCATTCAATGAGGATAATCAAGATCAAGTTTATTTTCACCATCATAATCTTCATCGTTAATCAGTTAATTGTGTGAGTGTTTGTGTTCATTGATTGTCTATCATCGTAATTACGACAACCTTCATCACCCAATTTGGTAACATTATCGTATGGATGGTGAAAACCAGAATAGCTAATCAATTCATTTGGAAAAGATCAACATTACATTTACAATTTTTAATCAATGGCAAGAAAAGAGATCATCTTAATTATTATTATTATTATAACAATTTGACCAATAATTGAAACGGTCAATGAATTTGACCTGGTCAACAATTGTGATCACAATGGAGCAGTTGAAAATTTGATTAACTATTAATTTTAACGATCAAATTCAGTAATCAATTCATTCAAATTATGTTTACAATGGATTATCATCATCAACTCTATTATAACAATTCAATTTAGTTAATCATGAAGAGTAAGAAATTAATTGTTGAAGGTTAACTTTTTGTTAATGATGATGACGATGATGATGATAATGTCCATAACTCTAATGATTGTCCTTTCCTTGATTTCTTTAGATTTGTTACCTGTAATTTTTGACAATCTATTGTTTAATTGTTTGGTTAATTGTGATCATCAAGGGGACCCATAATTTTGGATTAACAATTTACATTGACAATTCCAAGGATCATTGAGGACAATTAATTTAGCTGGACAGTCTTGCTAATTGTTTTAACTTTACCTTGAAAGTGTAACAAGTGATCCCTTTTTTTGATTAATATCTGCATTACAATTAGCTGATTGTCTTGAATATCGTCGCTACGATTATTAATTTTAGTTTAATCGATAGTTCAACAATTAAATTGAAAGGTTGATTAATTTGTGGTTGATTTAGATTTTTTTTCTTCTCTATACTAAATCAATTACTCTAATCACACTAATTAACTATCAATCAAACAAAAATTGATTATATTAATCAATGGGAATATGTATTAGTCCAATTGAAAAGTTAATCCAATTTGATTGTGACCTTGATGGTTAAACTAAATTGTTGTTAACAATTGAATCCCCTCTTAATTCATGATTAATTATTGTGATTTTGTAGCTTAATCTTAATCATTTTAGACCATTTAACCTCAACTAATTGCTGCTGATCTTATCTAAATCAAGGTTAACCAATTGATTGATTATGAAATAATCAAAACACACAATCAACTAACCAAGTCAATTAATTTTTCAATCACAACTTTTTTTCCTCCATCAACAATCACAATTTGAATCAATTTAATTTCCCTTTCCTGGAACAAGACTAATCAACAATTAAGCCAAAAAAATCAATAACAAATCAGATTATCACTAATTAATTTACAACAATTTAATCATGTCCAGTTTACCAACAAGATGATTAGAAGAAACAAAAAAATCTCAAACAATTAACTAATTTCATCTGAAAAAATCTCATCATTATAATTTTCAATGTCAACCATCAATAGTTAGTTAAAATTAAATCAAGATAATTACAAGAAACATTTTAATTAGACAAAAACAATTAACTAATTGTTGACAATTATAATTAATTTACTTCTTTCGGACATTCATCTAGCTAAGGTCACCAACAATTAGAAATCAAGTCAACTATCAGGAAGACTTTTAATTTCTCGTTCTTTCTTTGATTGTTACAATTATTTTTACAATTTAAATGATTATTTAATCATTAATCATCACAATTAACCTTAAGGCAAGGTCACAATTAGTATTTAACAATTTATTTATATTCTTATCCTTAGATTTGTATATGAATCTGATTCCCCTTTAACTTTGCATTGAGAAAATAAAAGTTTACCTGTTAAATTGTTTGCTAATTTCATTACCTTGATTGTTGATGATTAACAATTACTATCAACATGATGATGATGGACTCATCATCTAAATAGGTCATCCAGAAGTAGAGGATAAATACACGATGATGAAGGTGATTTAATTAATTGGAATGAGAAAAAAACTCTCACTTTTCATATTCAATGTTTACATTTAAATTCCCAAACAATTAACTCGATTAAAGTGTAATTTCTGGTTTACAATCAGGAAGTTAACCAATTGATTTAGTTGATAGGGATTAACAATTAGTCTAATTGTATAATAATAACTAAATATCTGTGGATTACTGAGATGAGCAATTAAAGTGTAAAATTAGGTTAAGATTTTGTAATGAATTTTAAATTGAGTCGCATTTCAATTGACCATGAATTAAATTGTTCAGCAATTAAGGGCTCGATTTCTGAACTCAATTTCTGTGATGTGTTCATGGTCGATTCATCATCAGATGTAAATTGTAACCATTTTATTACAATTTAATTGTTTAATTTACGTTTAAAGTATCCCCAATTCTTGATGATTAGTTGATGACAATCTCATCAATTATTGTCCGAAACGATAAATGATGACAAGCCTCATGTACTTCCGCAGGTAAATCAGGTTAATGATTAAGTTTTTATCGTTCATCATCTAGTCAGTGTGTCATGGTTACAATTACAATCAGTTGATTCTTATTATAAAATCAAATCAAATCAAGACAAAAGGTGATTAATATAAAATCGGACAATTTACTTCATTTGTTGATCAACAAAATCTTGTGCAATTAACATCATTAAACAAGCAAAAAAAAAAGGTTGATAAATCCTGGGGAATAATTATTTCAATGTGATTGTTTTCAACATCGTTGTAATCATCTTGTTAATAATTGATTAATAATAGACTTTTTTGTCTACCTGTGTGATTTTACCTGTAACAAGGAGAGAGAGAGAGAGGGAGAAGGAGAAGGAGAGAGTCGTGTGTTTGTAAGGAAATAGATCCCAGTGTTTGGGAGAGAGAGAGAGAGAAATCAAAATCAAATACACATAACCCCGTTCTAAATAGTAATTACAAATCAATAAGAATAATAATCAATGATAGATTTTAAATTTTTTCGCCTTCCGCTAATGAATATCTCCAATTCCTATTGATCTATTTTTTAACATGTTGTGTTGGTCCAGTAATTGCTCGGATTGAGATATTCACAACCATTGCAACACTGAGAGCAGCAATTAAACCAGCAGGCATGAATTTACCTGTATTGAAGAAACGATAACCCATCAGTCCAGTGAGCAAGGTTGATGTTCCTAATTGTTGTGAAATAATTGTACATGTAAAGAAAAAGAAAGATACAAACAAGGATTACAATTATGCTTATGATTGAATAAGAGAAGAAGTAACAGAAAAAAAAATGTGCTCAAGGAGGGAGAACAATTGAAATTCATTCATGAAATGAGCATATAATTCATGGTAATTTAGATTACCTAATGTTAAATAGTAATTTTGAGGATCTTTTGAAGTCATGTAAGCTCCAACTCCCAATGTGCTACCGAAAATTAATCCAGCAGCAAGAGATGGAATTGATCCTGCCTTTACATAGCCAATTACTCCTCCAGCAGCAACTAAAGCAGCATAAGCAGATGAAATCTAATGAGAGGAAAGGAAAGAGAATAAAAAATTAATCATAAATTAGATGATAGTAAATATCAATTGAGTCGCAACACAAAGATAAACAATAGATCACAACATGACCTCAAGTGTATCATTGTTACAGTATAACCAACAAAAAGGAGCACCAAAAGCCAACCAATTGATTTGAATAATTTGATTGAATTGATAGATTTACAAAGCGACTTACCATGTCAATGCCCATTTCTGGTGATAAAGATGGAGGTGATGTTGATGATTCTGGTACTAATGAAGCTGGTAAATTAGTGTTTGGATTATTTCTGGTTAAAGCTTCTTGTGTACGTCGGTACAATAAATTGTCAACAAATTGGTCAACTGAAGGAGTATCAAGGATGACAAAATCTGAATTATTATCTAATTCAATTGTATCCTCAGGCTTTTCGTAAGAGTGAGAGGATCGTGGACTCATTAAGAGGAAACAGTCACAAACCAAAACCAATTTAAATGTAAAATATACTGGAAGACTTAAACAATGTTAATTATAGTAACAATTTAATAGAAAACAAGAATCAAATTCAAACAAATCAATGACAACAACAAACAACCAGTTCTTGGATTTCAATTAGTGAGAAACGCAACCGAAAGATGGAGCCACTTTTTTTTTCTTTGTAAACGTTTGTTGTTTTTTTTGTTTTCTTTAAGAAAACAAATTAGATTTTTTTAATTTCTCTTTTTTTTTCTTTTAATTTTTAATTGATTACAATTAAATCAACTGAAATCGAGTTGATTTTGGTTGTGCTAATAGTTTTCACCTTAACTGTTGATACATTTAATCATTTTGTTATTGTCTGACTCCAATTAACTGTGAGATATTTAAAAGGATAACTCATTCTGGTAAGTTGTTGTTATTGTGTCTCCATTGTTTTAGATTGGCTTTTTTGTTTAATTGTCACAATAATTTAATTGCTTCAATTTATAGTAAGTATTTTATTTCATTTATTGACTTTGATTTGTTTGATTCTGAATTTGGTTCTGTTTGTTGCTGATTGTTGGGTAATTAGGTCTTGATTTGATCTGCTGTTGGTCAAGCAAAAGGTTTTATCCAGTGTGGTCTCATTCAGATCTTTGTATGTGTTCAACTTATTTTAGTTTTGTCAACAGTTTTTTATTTAATTTTTCTATGGATCAATTTAATCCAATTAGTAAATATTTAATTATTGGCTTTCTCTGTCTCTTTTTCACTTGAAAACAATAAGAAATTGTCAATTTCTTCAATAGTTGAGCTGCCATCTATCTGTTTCTCTTATGAATCTGGTTTCTTTTCCTTCAGTTTTGTTTGTGACATTTTCATTATTGTCAAATTTTATTTGACATTTTTTCAGAATAATTTTATCGATTGATTTATAAAACAAATACTTCTCTTCTTACAGTGATCTCTAATTCTTGGAATTCAAGTACTACCACTACTCAATCACCTTCCATCATCCGTTAATTGTGATAATCTTTTTCCAATGGCTGGTAATTTTTGGCAAAGTTCTCATTTCCATGAATGGTTATTAGAGAGACAAGATTTGATTCGTGAAAGAAATACTGACCTTCAGGTCCTCACAGAAGAAGAATATCAAAAATTGATGATATTTTTTGCTAACTTCATCCAAGTTCTCGGTGAACAATTGAAGGTCAAACAACAGGTCATCTCAACGGCTGTAGTTTATTTTAAACGTTTCTATGTCCGAAATTCACTTAAATGTATTGACCCTCTTCTCATGGCACCAACTTGTATCTTCTTGGCTTCAAAAGTTGAAGAGTTTGGAGTAATATCTAATAGCCGTTTAATCAACATTTGCCAAACTGTTGTCAAGAATAAGTTTAATTTCGCATACGCACAAGATTTTCCATACAGAATAAGTCATATTCTAGAATGTGAATTCTATCTACTTGAACTAATGGATTGCTGTCTAATAATCTATCATCCCTATCGACCATTAATCTCATACATCGCTGATATAAAGGAAATGAGAGATCTCAAGGATAACAAAGACTCCAAAGATGAACTTCTCAATACCGCTTGGTCAGTGGTCAATGACACTTACAGAACAGATATTCCACTTTTATATCCACCACATTTGATAGCCATTGGTAATTAATTCTCATCTATTCCATCATTCCAATGATTGTATATTCTAAAATTTTCCTCTCCCTCTCTTCCTCTTCAGCTTGTCTTCACATGGGATGTGTAATATCCGCAAAAGATTTCAAACAATGGTTTGCAGAGCTCAATGTCGATCTAGACAAGGTAATATCGAATTTCTTTTATTCTCTTTCTCCTTAATCGAACATTAATATTTCTCATCATCTTTTCTTCTCACCAATAAACATATTAGGTATTGGAAATAACTCGACATATACTGAACCTTTACGAGCTGTGGAAAAATTTCGACGATAAAAAGGAAGTCCCAGCTCTTTTGGCTAAGATGCCTAAGCCCAAAATTCAACCATCCAGGTAAAGATCAATTTGAACGAATTATTAACAAACAACCTACACAAATCGACCTCCGTGTGAAGACGTATTGGGCAGCAGAAGCAGCAGCGAAAACAGCAACAGCAAATGAAACAATTGCCAATTGGTTAAAATCATTTAATCAACGCAATTCTTAAATCATCTTATCAATTTTTCAACATTTTTCTCATTCACTAATTTATATATCTATCAATATATAAACGAACAAACGAAAAAATTATTCTCATTCGTCTTTTGCAAAGAGAAAAATTCTGTGATCCTTTTGAACGGAGCTTGTCAATTATAATTCTTAATTGTTTACCTAATCAAGACTAGTCTTATGTGTGTCATAAGATAATTACGACAATTCTTGTATATTTAATCATATATAAGACTTGTCATTTCTAGTTAATTATGTTAATTTTTACTCTTAAACACTTTGATTACAATTTGTAACTAATCCTAATCTACTTCAGTGAGATTCAATATCAGCCTCAGTTTCCTGCATCAACATATAATAATAATTCATATTATTATCAAGAACCTTGTGTCGCCTACGCTGATATGGTTTATAACAATAACAGTGAATTGTATTATCATCAATCACCGACTTGCTCTTCACATGGTACATCATCATCAACAATTATCTATTATCCAGGTTGACAATTTAGCTGATCATTGATGGTGGATGAAAAGAAGGAGAGAGTTAACTGTAAATTTTTCACTTCTGGGTAACCGGATTAATCCTTAAATTGACCTCTTTAATTCCTTGACCATCACCAATAACACTCGATCATTATATTAACATAAATCATTGAAATTTCGTATCCAAAAATCTCTACTAATCAACTAATCATTCAACCTTTTACTTAATCATTTCTTTCCATGTATCCACTAACCTCTATCTCTCTTTAATTATAAATCACTCTCTCTCTCTCTTTCTTTCTCCATTTATTAATCAGATCTAATATTGGGTTTTAATTACGATCAGGAGTTTAATCAATTATCAAATTTTACCTCAGAATAAGCGACGATGAACCATGGAATCAATCAAAGAATCAAGTTTTGTTTTCTATTCTTGAGTAACATTATTATTATTATTCAGCATCCATGGTTCCGATAATATTTTAACTCAGAAATGAATCAATTTAATTTCTAATTGTTCCCAATTTTTATTCAACCTTTGTTTTCTGTTGACATCAAATTTACAATCAATTTGTTTTCTCCTCTTTGTATCTCAGCACAAATTGAATGATTTCTTTGATTATTTCTCTCCCACTCATTCAAATGCCATAAACAATTAACTAATTTATATACATAATATTTGAAAATTGAATCGATTGAATTTGTTTTTTGTTCTCATTCATGAAAAATAAAACCCTAAACTGATGAGGATTTTTCTTCCTCATTTCTTTTCTTCCTCCTTAGGCCTCCTTCTCAGGGAGGAGGAACAGGGCAGAGCGAAGTTAATTCCAACCAGCAATCAAATAATTCACCAACTTCGGCAATTCAACCAACACAGACAAGCTGATTAATCGGTGTGATTAAAAAACAAACGGATCAATCAGATGAATCTGTTAATTACAATTGAATCAATATTTTTGTTCAATTTTCTCTGTTGTGTTGATCAAAGATAATCGTTGATTACAAATGTTAAATGGCGGCTGATAAACTTAAACAATTGAAACTTCAGGCTTAGAGCAGCGAGACACAGGGAGGGAAACAATTTAATTGTTGATCAACAAAATTAAATCATCACCGAACGTGCCTTCATTAATTACAATAGTTTACTCTCTTCAAAAGGTTGATTGAAAGGCGATTGAAAGTTTTTAATTGTTTTGCAATTTTAAGGTTTTCATTTTGAGTAAATTTGATTTTAAACTCTAATTTAAACCAATTATAATGTGCTCAATATATATTTTTATTATTATTTAATTACTTTTCTTTCCATTTAAATCAACACAATTTAGTTGTGGAAATGGTTAATTACCTTGGTGGAAGATTTGACAAAAACAATTTCTTTTAATTGTTTATTTATTTTTCTCAACTATCTTTTCTTATGAATGCTAATTGTTTTCATCTATTTATTTATTATTATTTTGTGTTTTTTTTTCACTTATTTCATCTCAATGATCAACCAAATATTCAACAATCAATATTTTGTCATAATTAACAAGCTAATTAAAAAGATAAAAACAATTCTGATTCTCATAAAGTTTGTTGTGATGAGTATTTCACTTTTATTGATTCATTAACCTTGATAATCAATTGATTATCTAATTGAGTTTGTCTGTTTTAAGACAACATTCAATTCACATTCATATCCATTGATTATAACTAAATTAAAGCTTCAATTATCAACCAATTTATTTTGTCCTTCATTCACATTTTGCTCAACGGAATCAATCAGGATAATCACTAATCGTTTATAAAGTTTTCGGAACAATTAAGTAATAAAATTCGATTAAAATGTTTATTAATTATCGTAGATTAGAAGAGGAAATCGTTATATCAGTGACGATCTAACGACTTCGACAATTAAAAGCAACGAAATTCAAAAAATTCAGCTCGAAATTTGATTGTTCACCTTCTCGATTTCATCGAATTTTCAAGTTCGAAATCTATTTAATTATCTTTTCTACTCGGAATAATTTCAATTATTATATTTGTAACATGAGAGTTAATTGTTTCCACTCATTGTCTTTATTTTCAACGACAATTCAGTGAAATTAATATCTAATTGTTTTCAAATGTTTATTGAAGAAAAATTAAACCACATCGTCAAGAAATTCTTATATCAATACAATAACTAAATTAATATGAGAAATTAAATCAATTTAAAAGGTTGAGATAATTTCTTTACTGGAATTGAAAATAATTGCAGGTAAGTGAAGTTGATGGGCAGAAAATTGGGAATATTTTGCTAAATATTAAATTGTTGACCATGATAATTATTGAGAGAGTTGAAATATTGTTTAGATGAAAATAAAATTGATTAGTTGACACTTGATGGAGCATAAAATTAGAAATGATCATCACGGTGCAATCAAGACAATTAATGAAAATTACATTTGGTTTATTTTGGACCAAGAATGAAAACATCAAAGCCAAAATATTTAATAGAAGATGATCAAGAGTCAAATTAGAATTAGAATTGGCATTTTATCGTTGACATTCAAGCAGAAGCGACTCCAATAAGATAACCCGCTGAAAAGCCAAGCACTAGAAGTGCATTATCTTTGACGTATTTTCCTGCTTTGTCAATAATTCCAGGTAATTCTTTTTCTGCTTTCTTTGCCATTTTTTCCATCTCCTTCTTTACATTGGCTGCGTCTTTTTCCACTTTTTTCATGTCAATCTTAAGGTAACCTGAACGATGTCCAAGGTAAGCACCAACAAGAGATATTCCCACACCGAAGCAAACAACTTTACCAAATTTGGTGAAAGTAAAACCAGTAACCCAACCACTGGCAGCACCGATTCCTAATTGTTGATATGAGGATTCATCATCTTTTGATCGTAACAATTTATTGATAAATCCATTGTCTTTCTTGGGTAAAATATCCTTGGCTTTTTCATAAACTATAGTACTTTCCTCTGTTGAAATAAAATAAAATAAAACAAAACAAAAACACATTAGGCAAACAATTAATTTCAATGATTAAATCAATAAGGTAAAAGCTAAAAAAAAATGTCAACATCAACATTGGTTGACATAAAGATGATCAAAAAGGAAGCATAATTGGAAACGTCATCGAATTTATTAATCAAGGTCAACAGATTTGACCCATAATCTGATTAATCATAGACACATAACAACAACAATAATCTTTCAAAAACAATTAAGTAATTTTGTTCACAATTTGCAAATGGATAAGAAACAATAAACAATAAACACAAGAAAATCTCAACAACAACAAATCCAATCAAAGGCATTGAAAACATTGACTAAGCAAAGAAAAAGGAATCACACAAAATAGCAATATATTAACTCACCTATTATATTAACCATGATTGATTGAAATGGTCAAGAATTAAAAATCAATCAATTGATTATTGAAAAAAAACAAATGATGAAATAATTTTCAAGTAAAATTCGGGTACGAAAACCGCAATTCTCTTGGCGGATTCGGTAACCGGATGGAATTCGAGAGTAGCGCCATCTCTTGGGGGATAATGAAACAAATGAAAAAAATAAAAATAATTCAGCAAAAACTCAAAAGGACTGGACAGTTAGTTCAGTGCCCTGAGGGGTCTCCATACCCGAATGGAGATTAATGTATAAAACATTAGCCACAAGATAGACATAGACAGGGATACAGATAAGAGGTATGATCGCAACGGAGACTGGAATCTGATGAATAATATAAATGAAATGTTGAAGTCAAAAACTCGAAAACTTGGTGAAAAAATATTAGAAAATAAACTCATGATAACTGAATAGTTAATTCAGTTCCAATTGAATGGTAAAAAAACGTATAATGCATTTGTCCCTGGGACGGTGGATAAAGATAAAGACACTTGGAGTTAATTTAAATTTAAATTACATAAACGATATGAGAGATAATATTATTTTTAAATAAAGATATTTTTTAGTTGATTGTGATGTTATTTTTTTTTTGTTTTCATTTAATATAAATCACAAAATTAACTTTCAATTTTAGATGTATAAAACAAGAGATAAGCAGCATGAGATTTTACATCGGCCGCACTTAATTCGGTAACTTCGTGATCATCATATTTATACCAACGGTTTTTCTCATCGTTTTTAACATAAGATACATAATGTCCACCTTCAAGGGTTCCATAGTGATTAACAACCCCATAGAGCTCATAAGAACCATCAAATCCAAAGGTATCGCACGAGCTTTTATATTTTTTCAATTTAAGATCAGAAAGAGGAAAATCAACCATATTCTGTAATTTTTGTCTCCATTTCCCTTCATATGAAAATCTAAAGAAAAGCAAAAAAAAAATAATAAGAAAAAAGAGAAAATTATTATCAATAATAAATTTAGACAAACACTTGAAATGTTTACCAAAATAGAAAAAGTGATAAATTAATTGTTACAAGTTGAGCCAATTCATTTATGGTTGTTGTTCAATTTTTGTAATAAAAGAAAATTAAAATTACGTCAATGAAAGTGTAAGAAACAAGTTAATTGAATACTTGGTTTATAATAATCAAAATGTGTCAAAGAAAATGATTGTTTACATTTAACTATCTCTAACTATCTGGAAGGAGCTTTAATTGCTGCGCAATTATTACCTACATGGGAAACTATTTTGATTGATAAATTGATAGTTAACACTTTAAATTGAACGGAAAGTAAGAAGAGAAAAAATCGTTTATGTAATTAAAGTTAACATTTCCAAGACATCTAATCAAGATGAATAAGATATTCACAAGATAAACAGTAATAAATTACTACTACTAGAAGAAAATAACTTTGTAATCAAACCGTGAATGAATTTATCTACAATTTTCAAATGAAGAAAGACAGAGAGAGAGATCAAATATAAACGTACCTTTTCAAATGTATCACTAATACTTTAGGTAATTTGCATATTTTAATTTGTTTGATGGCATCTCGTTTGGTTTTACACGTTGGACATTCCCATGCTGCTTCACCGAAAAGTTTCTCTTCGTCAGAAAATAAATCTAAACAGTCTAATATGGTAAATCTATGGCCCAATTTGGTAGGAATGGGAAGAGAAAGGTTGGTGAAAACTTCAAAGGAGTGAGACTGTTTACCACAAGCTGTACATTTAAGGGTTGACATGAGAAGACCTTCAAACAATTCGGAAACAATTGATCGATTTCTGGAAACATGATGGGTCCAAAATTTGTTTATCGCAATGTGAGGGGTAAATCATCAGGTAGAGTGAAAATACCGTTAGCAACATTAGCCTGTGGTGCCTTATTAAGATCAGCGTGTAGCTTTTCCAGAAGCATACACAAAAATTCATGGGCATCCTGCTGTTCACATCCCATAAAAAAAGGCATATGGGTCCCAACGGCATCTTTAAAATTTGACGGTGACACTGATTTATATTGATTACTTCGTATCTCACGTATCAAGGCTCCCAGTTCGTCGGCTAGTTCACCCTTAGAGCCCAGTCTACTATTACGACTAATATCGGCCATGTGTTTCTCTTGGAGAAAATAGCGACGGAATATCGAAGTGTCCGCTAAACATTGTAACACTGCGTTCATGAAGCAAGTGTTACCCAAATTTTTGAGACCAGTGTTCACTTGACCAGGGATTCCGTAAATGGGTGAAAAGTTTCTCATTCGAGCTGAACTGGTAAAACTACGAGGGAAATCGGTGACATTGTTTAAAGGTTTTAATGCTCGATCAAAGGTTGGTGCATGGTGATGGTGGGTTGGAGGTCGATTTTGTGAATCATCATCGTCACCATGATGATCAGCAATATTGGGAGAGGAATAAGATCGAGATAAACTTTTGCCTGTTTTAGCGATCGATGGTGCCCTTGGTGTTGTGGTGGTGGGAGAAGATGCTGACTCAGAAACGGTTCTTTCATCCGATCTTTTAATTGAAGTGTTTGTTGTTGTCATTATTTTATTTTCCATTTTTGGTCTATGTAAAGGGGAACTCATTTCTTCATCTGAATTGTTAGTCACCATTTCTCTTTCATTTTCACTTGTATCCTCGTCTTCACTATCTCCTGTCATGGTGAATCGTACAGGAGGTTTCAAGGGTTCCCGTGATTGAATTGATGGTTTACTTGTTGTTGTTGTTGTAATGGTTGATGAAGATGTTGCTGACGAGGAAGAATCAAATGACTTTGATGGATTAGGTTTTAACCTTCGCTTAAGATCAACATTTTCACGTAATAAAAGCTCTTTGTCAGCTTCCATTCTCTTTAAAATCTCCTCTTTCTCCCGATTAGCCTTTTCAAAGTCACTTTCCATTAATCTGTTAATTTCCTCTTGAGCTTCAAGTGACCGTCGAGCCTTAAGTTCACGTTCAACGATACTATTGTTATTTTCATTAACTGGACCATTGGTATTATGTTTTGGTGCTTGTGGTACATTTACAGTTTTACTACCTTGAATTGGTATTGTTGGTGTGAGTGTTGATCCATTGGGTTTATCATTTCTGTTGATTATATTAAATGTATTCACAGATGAAATATTCATAGTATCATTATTGGTAAATTTAGGTTTAACTTGTCGATTAATTAATGGAACTGGTTGAGCACTTCCTGGTATTTTGGTTGAATTATCTTTAAGCTTTGAATTTGTCAATCGTATGACCAATTCATTACTATCTTGAATCGTACTCATTTCAACATCATGATTACCATCATCAATTGATGATTCTGATTGATGGCCAGATCCATTTAATAAAGATTTAGATCTGTCTGGTGATGAATCAAAAGAGTCTTCCGATTTTCTCAACTGTGTATAATAATTGATCAATGGATCATAATCTGAAACATTATTATCATCAGCTGATGGAGGTGTTACTTTTGGATTAGAGGTGTAGGTCGGATAACTGTTGAGCCAACCATAGTAGCCTTTTTTTAATAGTATTGGGGGTGCCATACATCCTTCCTTATTGTCAAACTAGAAACAAGAAGAGAAATTAAAATTGATTAGTTGTAATCAATTGAAAACAATCAATATAATGAATCTATTTAATGTAAGGAAACACAAATTACCTTCCATAGAGCAGCAAATAAAGCATCCAAATGTTCATTCTCATTGATTGATGTTGATTGCCAATCGAAAATTATCACTTTATGAGCTGATCTCCTTTCTTTTAAAATTAATTGAGCATTTGTTGGTAACGATTTCATCAATTTGGTAGCCGCTGTACCTTTTTCTAATAATTCCTCTGGTATATTTAACAATTTAACTTTATCCGTTTTGAGATTGCTGATGTGAGAAGCTTCAAAATCCTCTCTTCTCCTTGAATCCAGTAAAAGTATAAAATTATCGTTTCGATTTTTATGATGATCCGATATTAGATCAAAAAGCTCCGTGGGTTCGATGGTGGGTTTAATATAATTATCTCCATCAATTTGATTAATATTACAGTCATCACGTCTATTGTTATTAACATAAGAAAGGTCATCCTTCAATCCATTATTATTTATATTATTTATCAGGCTTTTAGATGAATTATTATTACTATTATTATTGGAACTGTTGGTTGCATTAACAGTTTTACCAGGCATAGGTGTTGATACATTAGTTTTAGGTGAAGCTTCATGATATCTTGCCTCCAAAATTTTAGATAATTCTTCACACTTGATTATAGCTTCTTTGAACATTTTACCATATTTTATATCGTCATGAAGACGAGATGATTTAACTCCTTGGTAAAGGTTTGCAACTCTCATGAAGAAAATGTATGCTTTCTCTTCATCACCAGAGTTGTATTCTAAATTGGCTTGATTGAAAACCTTTTCCATAGAGTTAAGCAATTGGTTTGGCGGAGATGCTTTAATTATCGTTGTTGCCTTATCATTAGCTAAACTATTCAGTTCACCAACTGATTTGGCCATGTGTAAATCTTTCGGTTTCCTGGTTATGGCTGGCATATTTGTGGACTTGTTTGTTTTGGTGGTTTTGTTGTTGTTGTTGATTTTGTGGTGGTATTGGTGGATTTCCTCTTTTTATTACGTTGATTGTCAGAGGTGTTTAATAATTTATTTGACTGAATCTATGGAGAAATGAGAGGTTAAAGTTTAAAGAGGAAAAGGGTAAAGAAAAGGAAGAGAAAAAGATATTAATCAAAGGCAAATATATGTGTATATAAGAAAAGAGAGAAATAAATAAAGATGAAGATCAGTCAAGGGAGGAAAAAGACAACACATCAGAAAAAAAGAGACATAGAACATACTATAAATAATAACAAGTTTATTTATATTAAATAGAATTGAAATGATCAAACAATTAGCAACATGTAATCAAGGAACAAGAAGACAAAAATAATATCAAAGGAAAGAGAAATTAAGAAAGAGAGTAAAGGGTTTCTCTTGTCTTTAATGTCCCATTTAAAAATTGAAAGGGAGAGAGAGAGAGAAAGAAAATTTTAAATATGAAAAAACAACAACATTGAGTAAGAAAAGTAAGTAAGAAAAGACAACCTCATCAATAGCACAATCATTATTTCATCTCTAATGAAATTGAGCAAAATCAACGAGTGAGAGAAAAAAAAAGATGATTAAACAGACATAAAACAAAGATTATTCATTTCTCTAGGCAAACTTAACATGATTGTGAGAGAAATTGTAAAGGTTAGAGGCTCGACTATGGAATCAGCTAAGTCATCAAGAGAGAGAGAGAGAGAGAGAGAGAGAGAGAGAGAGAGAGATTTCTTAAAGAGAGCACAATAATAATACTAATGGGTAGAAAGTAAGGAAAGGAAGAGAATAGAATATGTGAAAAGATAAAGATATTTACCCGAACAATTGGAAAACCATCAAGACATGGTGCAGAAATGAATAGAATGAGAAGGATAACAAGAGCTATGATAATAATGATGATAATAGTGTTGATGGTTATGATAATGATGAAAGTAACGTTGGTGTTGGTGTTGATTGTAACGATGGCGTTGATTTGATAAGAGAAATAAGATCAATAGGATGTAGAACGGGACAGTTTGGTAAATAGAATATGTTTAAAGAGTAAATCATCACAAACACTAAAGCAGATGGAGTAGGAAAGGAAGATAGTGAGAAACAGAGAGAAAAAGAGATAGAAAAAAAAAGAGAAAGAGAAAAGCAAAAGAAAAAGAGACGAAGGCTCAAGAAGAAGGAAAAAGAAGAGAAAAAAAGATGATTACATGGAACAAGTGAATTAATTGTTACATTTGAACAGAAATTAAAGTTAATCGATTAATAAGTAAATAGAATTAGAATTTAATTAAAAAATATCAAAAATCTAAAATAAAAACAAATCTTTTCTTTTCACTTTATAATCACAAACACAGAGAAACAAAAAAGAGAAAGAGACAAGAGAGAGAAAAAGAAAGAGAAAATAAATGCTACACCTAAAAGATTTTTCTCTCTCTTCCCTCTTGTTTCTTTCTCTTTCTCGTCTTTCTCTTCTTCTTCTTCTTTTTCCTTCTCATTTTGTTTACTTCGAAAAGAGCGGCAAATGTGAATCAACCTGAGAATAGAAAATATTTTCACTTTTATTTTCTTCCAATTTTCTCTTCCTCATCTTCTCTTTCTCTCTCTCTCTCTCTCTCTCTCTCTCTCTCTCTCTCTTCTTTTCTTTCTCATTTTCTTTATTCATCATAATCATTATATTCTATTGATTGTTGATGGACAACAATTGATTTAGAATTTTTATTAATTTCCTTATATCAATTTAATCTTCTTCTCAATGACGATTATCTTTTTCTTGATGATTGTTTCATGTTCACCTTAAAGTCATTTTCTTTTCATTATTATTATTAATTTTGATTCTTTGATATTTATATTATTTGAAATGCAATTTTTCTTAACGATACAATGTTTTCAATTCCAAATCTGTTCAGCAAGTTTCGTGATTAGTTTGGGTTACTTTTCGTCAATTTTTTCATCCACCAAATCCAAGGGTCCAACTTGTTATTGTTTTAATTTAGATTAAGTTTTTCTTTTCATCAACGATTATGTGTTAAGATGTTATCATGCAAAGTGTTTTACATTAATTGTTGACAAAAATTATAATAACGTCTTGGATATAACAATTAGTCGAACCATCAAATTACCATTACCATCAAATCAGCATTTTCAGTTGTATCTTGATTTTTCTCGTTCTCTCTCTCTCTCTTTTGAGGTATGATTGAGTTGATTAGGATTATAGAAAGAGGATTGATTAAAGAGAATACAATGAATACACCTCATGATAGATATTTTTCTCTATACAGGAAAAGATTATTTTTACATTTTCTTTTTTTATAAATGGGAAGTCAATGTTGAGATCGAATAGTGGATAACAAAATTGTCCACTAGAAAAGCAAAAGAGAAAATCTTGTTAAATCCTCAACTTATAATAATAGAAAAAAAAATATGAATATAAATTATAGATAAATATATATGTATGTAGAGATTTTCATCTATTGTTATATTGTGGTTTATATAAGAGTCGGAATAACAATAGAAATATGAACAGAATGATTCTATATGTTCAATTAGCACCAATCATCTTCGTGGTATTGATTAGTCCTTTGTTCAGCATCTTTCTTATTATTTTCCAATCCCCAAACACGAATATAACGTTTACTTCCAGAAATTAACACAGGATAATCTCGATGAAAACCAGTGACACAATGAACATTCATACAATTATCTGGATTCCATGTTGTTGGGCTCAATGTTCTCAATCGTTCGCCATTTTTTAAATCGTAAACACATATTTCACTGCCAAAGTTTGGAACTGAAATTGGTTTGAAAAGTAATGTTTCAGTAACGTAAAGTTGACATTTATAGAAAGCAGTAGAAATATTGATAGCTGATGATTTCTTTTTACTAGTAGGCCTACAATAAGAAAAGGGATAATTTATATTTGAATTGACCAATGTTCGATTTTTGAAAGTCCATTGGCTCAAATGGCTTTGAGCTCCGTGAGCTGTGATTAAGTTCATATTATCACATGTGAATGATAAATTGACCACTGGTTCACATGTTGTATTGTCACTGCCGATAGATTGAAGACTCTGTCTTGGTTTACGAATGTCAAAAATATGAATAAATCCCGACGAATCGCCAGCAAATAAACATTCCTCATCAATCGGTGACCAACAGACTCGAGAAACACTATGATTACTTGATCCAAGAAGCGATGCCACCGTTATTTGCTGAAGACAACATCCACTTCTTATATCAATAAAACGAATGGATGATCCAGAGGTTCCAACTAAGTTTATCAAGTAATTAGAAACAATTAATAATAAAATTGTCGATTTATATTATTAGTTGGCCATCTTTGCCAATTCAATAGTTTACCTGTAATCAAATTTGGATTAAGTTTATTCCAATCGCTGCTATAGATTTTCTTTTGGCCAAAATCATAAGAATCGAGTAACTTTAAAGTATTTGTATCAACTAGAACAACCTTATTGGGATATGTAGCAGCAATTAATCCATTGTCAATAGGAAACCTGAAGAGAATTAAAAGAGAAGAGAAAGATAATTATTTAGATATTTATAATTTTTCTTACCCTAGAGAGTTTGATAATTACCATTGACTTTTGTTGAGTGTTAGTGGTACAAATTGTCGCCTCTCAATTAACCTTAGTCTACCACGAGCTTCCTCTTCAATCTCATAGATTGAAATATTACCATCACAATCACTGGCTAATGAGCTATTAAGAGAATTAGGTTAGATGTAAAGTCAAGTTGACACTTTTTTTTTGGCTCTTAGACTGAAAATTGTAGACTTACAATTTCATAGTAGGATCAATATCAATGTAATTAACCGTAGCTGAAACTCTGCATTCCATGATAGGTTCATAATCAAGACTGGTAAATGCACTTCTCATAAATTGCTCTTTGAAGGTTCGTTTCCTTACTTCACCAATTTGACTTTTAAACAATAGGGAAGGATGTGAATAAAGCTCCTGTTCCATGGTAGATATCAATTGAATTTAGTTGTATAAAGAGATTCGCAAAAGGAGAGAGGAAACTTGTGATATAAGCACAAAATTTACGATGAAAATGTTAACCTCAATGACCAGATCAATAGAAATGACAACATGATAAGAGAAGTAGAAACACAGAATAAGTTAAATTATTTAAACACAATAGTTTCCTTTGTTGTATTCTGGTGGTTGATCCAAAAAGTAAATCACTCAAGGTTGCCAATTAGATGTAATATTTGATGAGATGTGGCAAAATAATCTTACCAGAAACCATTTTGATAACTGAAAACAAAAAAGAATCAAGATAAATAATCAATAACTGAAACAATAGAAAGACAAAGAGACTTACTCATTATGATGGAAGTAAATTGGTTTGAACAACATTTAAATTACATAGAATTTGAATTGTAGAATTTTCCACCAAAAATATTCTATTGAATAGATAATTCCAATTGCAGGGTTAATCAAGAGACAATAAGAAATTAATCTGAATATTGAAGATTCTGCGTTAAGACGAGAGATTAATGAACAGGAAAAGAAAACAAGAAAGAAAGAGAAAATCAGTTTAAATGGAATAGAATTTTAAAAGAAAACAATAAACAAAATAGAGAAAAACAAAGACTTACACATGAGAGAAAGAGAATAAAAAAAATATGGTTACATGGAACCAGAGAATTGATTGAAATAAATTAGACAGAAATTAAAGTTAATCAATTGATAAGTAAATAGAATTAGAATTTAATTAAAAAATATAAAATAAAAACAAATCTTTTTCTTTTCACTTTATAATCACAAACACAGAGAAACTAAAAAGAGAAAGAGACAAGAGAGAGAAAAAGAAAGAGAAAATAAATGCTACACCTAAAAGATTTTTCTCTCTCTTCCCTCTTGTTTCTTTCTCTTTCTCGTCTTTCTCTTCTTCTTCTTCTTTTTCCTTCTCATTTTGTTTACTTCGAAAAGAGCGGCAAATGTGAATCAACCTGAGAATAGAAAATATTTTCACTTTTATTTTCTTCCAATTTTCTCTTTCTCTCTCTCTTTCTCTTCTTTTCTTTCTCATTTTCTTTATTCATCATAATCATTATATTCTATTGATTGTTGATGGACAACAATTGATTTAGAATTTTTATTAATTTCCTTATATCAATTTAATCTTCTTCTCAATGACGATTATCTTTTTCTTGATGATTGTTTCATGTTCACCTTAAAGTCATTTTCTTTTCATTATTATTATTAATTTTGATTCTTTGATATTTATATTATTTGAAATGCAATTTTTCTTAACGATACAATGTTTTCAATTCCAAATCTGTTCAGCAAGTTTCGTGATTAGTTTGGGTTACTTTTCGTCAATTTTTTCATCCACCAAATCCAAGGGTCCAACTTGTTATTGTTTTAATTTAGATTAAGTTTTTCTTTTCATCAACGATTATGTGTTAAGATGTTATCATGCAATAATTTTAATAATTTTAATTTATACTTGTTTCTTTTGTGGTTTATTTGATTGTTTTCCAGTTTATGGTTTGACATTTATCGTGGATTTGAATCAAGAAATGCTTGTCTAAGCTCGGAAATCGGAGGATTAGTAATGATTCGTCCACTTTGAACTCGTTCAGATAAACGAGTTGGTCGCCATCTAAATTGGTACGAATAAATTTTCGCCATATTAGCTTCGTTAATCTTGATTAACTCACGAATACATCTCAAGTAGAGAGAGAAATTTTCAATCTGTTTCTCCAATTTACGTTTCTCACTGGTGACAATGGCTATCGCTTCATTCAGAGGTAAATCAAGAGTGTTGTTATTCAACGACAAAGTACATTTAATTTCAGGATCAACGAAATCATTATGAGTCTTCAAATTGGCTTTACCGGATTTCGAAGGTAAAAAAATCTGACTCATTGTACCTGTTGAAAGAAAATAATATAATGGTGAAATTAGAAATTTAAATCAACCCAACGATCGAAGCCATTTTTTTTTCATTACCTCTAATTGGTTTTTCGAGGATTCGATTGATATAATAAGTGAATCCGTTACTTTGATCTCGTTGGAAAGAAAGGAAAAGTTCAGTCTTACGAACAGCAATTAAGTTCCATTTATCATATTCGTATCTACGAAGTGCACCTAATTGCCAGTAATTAAGGATAACATTTAAATCGCGATGTCGTTGTATGGCCATTCCAAAGTCGTCGTCAAACGAATCCATGTGACTTTTAATATCGGTTATCGGCATAAAGGCATCAAGAAAACGACAAACCCGCTCATCAAATTTATCTTCAGCCATTGAAAGGATCAGAAAACAAATTGTATTGTATTTGGTTTTAACATTTTTTGGATCTTTAACAATCAAATTGTAATAACGCTCAGAATATAATTTCAAGAATGGCGAAGTCTCTTCGGGAATAGTTAACGGGGCGATTTTTGACCTCTTTGATATAAAACGAGCTTTCTTTACGTTGGAAGATTTTCCTGAAGAAAAATTAAGGAAACAATTAACAAATTTGACGAGAAAAAGAAAAGAAAAAGAAAAACTTACCAATTTTATCGATCAGTTTCGTTATTGGTTCGAAGACTTTTCGAGACACCGAGTTCTTACTAACTGAAACTTTCGAATCTTCATTTTTATTCTTACCATTCATTCCAATTGGTTGATAATTCGTATCAATTAACTGATTTATACGATTTAGTTGATCAATAGAAATCTAATTGTTTTCATTAGAAAGATTTTAAATCTAATTTTCGACAATTAAAGAGCAATTGAAAGGATAATAATAATTTAATGGTTAATGATTGTAATTTGTTTTCTCTTGTAATAGTGTTGATGGTTATGATAATGATGAAAGTAACGTTGGTGTTGGTGTTGATTGTAACGATGGAGTAGGAAAGGAAGATAGTGAGAAACAGAGAGAAAAAGAGATAGAAAAAAAAGAGAAAGAGAAAAGAGAGAGAAAAAGAAAGAGAAAATAAATGCTACACCTAAAAGATTTTTCTCTCTCTTCCCTCTTGTTTCTTTCTCTTTCTCGTCTTTCTCTTCTTCTTCTTCTTTTTCCTTCTCATTTTGTTTACTTCGAAAAGAGCGGCAAATGTGAATCAACCTGAGAATAGAAAATATTTTCACTTTTATTTTCTTCCAATTTTCTCTTCCTCATCTTCTCTTTCTCTTTCTCTTTTCTCTCTCTCTCTCTCTCTTTCTCTTCTTTTCTTTCTCATTTTCTTTATTCATCATAATCATTATATTCTATTGATTGTTGATGGACAACAATTGAATTAGAATTTTTATTAATTTCCTTATATCAATTTAATCTTCTTCTCAATGACGATTATCTTTTTCTTGATGATTGTTTCATGTTCACCTTAAAGTGTAATTTTAATTGTTTTTTTTGTCGTAATTATTAATGTGATTTTTTTATTTATATCTTTGATATTTAGAGAGATCGACACTGAAGTGAAATTTCTTAATGATCAAATTCATTAATAGGAATTTAATAGATTAACATTATTAATCTACTTCTTGTAATTTTTTTTTGTTGTTTAGGTTTTGCTTCAATGGGAAGGAAGGTGAACCGTTGAAAGGAGGATTTAAGGATTAACCAGGTATCAGACCAATTGTTTTTAACTCCATTTTTGAGACTCCATTTCAATTAATTAATAATTTTCTTGGACCTTTTGATTTGATTTTGCTTTTTGTTTAAAAGAGAATTTTTCCCAAAAAGAGACCCAAAAATAGTGCTACCAAAATTATACCAATGACTGGAGGTTGAGCTAATAAATTCATTTGATCAATAGAACCAACATCAATTGAAGATGGACCTTTAAAACCAGGTAAATCTCCGGATGCTGGACTTGGATCGGTGAATCTTTTCCTTAGGCCATCCTCCTTTAATTGCATCAACTCTTGTCTCAGGCTATTATTTTCTTCCATCAAACGATATAATTCCTCTTTAGACCTTGAATCTTCCGTTGGTTTAACTGTAGATTCATCATTAGTATCAGTGTTAGTATTAGTAGTAGTAGTGGTTGTTGTATGTTTAACTGATTCGGAAACTTGGGATGAAAATAGTTCCGGAGCATTTTCAGCATTACTGTAAACATTACCACCATCTTTACCACTTCCACTACCACCACCACCTTCAATTGCAGGTGCTGATTCAGATGTATTATCAAATACGCATTTCAATTTTGAATCCATTATTTGATCGGGATACATTTTCCACATATTCTCAGGATCCATATCTGGTTCAGGTTCAAACATTGTCTGAATCATAAATTTATGTTTACTTCTGTCAGGTTGATTTTCAAAATCAAAGGGTTGTAACATAACAGCAATTTTTGTTGTAGATTTTGGTTCAACCATTCCATTATTGGGACGTACACAATATCTACGAGGAGCCGTAGTTTTAACCTTGAAACAAACTCGTCTATCAGAAGGATTGGTAAGGGTTAAATAACTGGTAACAACTGATGTATAGGGACCTTCAAAATGGATAACATTTTTAGGATCGATTATCAATACTTGTTCCGTTTTATGTGATTTATTTCCACTTTCAGCCATCACATAGGTACAATAGGTGGTGGAGGGTATGTAGAGACAAATATATCGACAATTTGGAAGAAACAAAACAACAGAAAATTAAAGGAAAAACAAAACACAGATAAAATAAAGATGGCGACCAACTAGTTATTACTAATAAATAAGTTACTCTATTTGCCTACAGGGGAAAAAAACCGAAGCATCAGCGGAACAAAAAGTGTCGCCATCTAGCGGGAAGGAAAATCCCTAAATCGAATTGGAATTTATTTGAATTAATTAAATGAAACAATTTAATTATTGTTCTCGTTTTTTTGCTTCTTTGTCTTAATCGGTTTAATTGAGAATTTAATTGGAGATTTGATGATTAATTTGTTAATCAGTGCGAAAGTTGAATGAAAAAGAAATCGAGACTTTTGAGAGAATCGATTGACCGAAACAATTTAATAGACTAATTAACTTTAATTCGTTGGAGTTGATTGTTAACATAGAAGAAGAAAAAAATAATGTTAATTGAATTAATTAATTTGATTAGCAAAAAGATGAGTAAACATTTTAATGAGTTTAGTAAATTAATTTACTGTTAATTGTTGGGAATGATTTTAATTTTCTTCTTTTGCAAATGATTAAGGGATTTTGATTTGATCATTACGATTTTCATATGATAAAGTTAATCACTTTGTCTTGTGTGTTGATTATCATTAGTTAATTATTGGAGCAATGATCATTTGGTTACTAAATTATGAAATTGAAAAGTTTCAATTTCTCTTAATCATAATCATAATTGTCCATCTTTAATTTTTGTTACTTTTATATTGACCATTAAACTTGACCTTAACTAATGTCCATTAATTTCAAGTGTTGATTAAAATTTTAATTCATTTCACGAATTAAATTGTCGTAATAATTTCATTGCTTTGATGATTTACTCATTTACTTTGATTAAATTGGTAAAATTTTCTTGATTGTTGTTGATTCACTTTTACTCTCACTATAAAAATATTCAGTGAAGATCATTAATTGTTAAGGTTAATAAAAAATTAATTGAATATTTATCAACTGTAAATGATTAGTTTATTGACATTCACATGTAATTTACTCTGATAATTAGTAAATTGTCAATTAGATTAACAACTTCTTCGCGATGATTAACCGTAATCATTAAGATTATCAAATATATTAATTGTTGACTGGTTAAAAGATTTTTTTTTCATTAACTAACTTACAATACTTAACTTGATGTTTACCGTAAGTTAATTGTTTACAATCAAAAAAAATTACATTGAAAAGTTACATAAACTAGAGTGTGAAATGATTTAAATCAAATTATTCATTAGATTTGATTGTTAATGATTAAAAGAAGATGATCTTAACATAATCAACAATAGATCAATTAATTAAAGGAAACAAAAAGAAGTTGATTAAAACACTAATCAAAAAGTTTTCAATAGATTCTGTTAATTATTCGGATTGATTGTAATCAACAGCTTGTTAATGAGAAAATCTAATCATTAATAAAATCAAACTCAAACTAAATCAAATTAAAAATGTCCAAGATAATCTCAAACGAATCAAAAGTTTATTTTTATCAATCATAATCAATTTTAATCTTACAATTAAATATCAAAGTTTTCTAAGCAAAAAAAGTAACGTTAATCCAATGAGTTCTTGGCTTTCTCGGATTAAAAGAGATGAAGATGATGAAAAGATCAAGAAGAGAGAGAGAGAGAGAGAGAGAGTTTGTTTATCCTTCTTTCTTAATGATGATGATCATCATCATCTTCAAGCCTTTCTTTGTAGTCTGGTTAAAGGAGGCGTGGAAATGAGGTTATCCTGTAAACGGTAAAGTTTCAGGTAAACTTCAGGTAAACAGTCAGTGTTTCTCATCACAATCAACAGGTAACAAGTAGTTGTGTTTACATGTTAACGATTGTGTACCAATCGCCACGATAATCACCCTCGTAATTTGAACAGAAATGACGAAATTCAATAATCCCTGAGAATTTGAGTTCCTTGTATCGCCTATGAATTGACCGTTTCCATATTCTTACAATATAACATAATGAGAGTCCAGAGAAAATAATTTCTACCATGTGAACTTTGTGTTGTTACCTTTACTTTATTACTTTCCCAAAACTGACCAGGATGACCATTGACTTTTAATTGTGTCCAATTCTGATTTATATATATAATCTTTTTCGTGAAAGTTTCCTCGTTTTCTTGTTTGTAAAAACTTTAATCACATATAAACAATTTTGCGAAAAGTTTAAACGTACAAAATAAAATGAAATGGACTTTGGTTAAATTGTGTCTATTCACTTGGGTAATTAAATTAACTGTTCGTGTGTCCATTACATGGCCACTTCCCTCATTGCCCCTTCATCATGTTCATCCATATCCAATATCATGGCCATCATCATCATCTTCAGAATCACATTCACCTCATCATCCATTCAGTAGGATGTCCCCTGGACTCGCCGCTGTAGCATCATCAGTTGATCATCCTCTTCATCATCATTCCCATCATCCTGATCCAACCTCTGAACCTTTACCTTCAGGTTTATTTATTCCCGCTGATCAGGTTCACATTTATGATTTTGTCAACAATTATGCTGATGATGGTTATTATGATTACGATGATGAAGATTCATTTCAAGAAAAGGTAAGAAAATGGCGGGAGAATCATCATCATCATCATCAACATCTCCAACGTCAACAGAAACAACAACAACAAAGATCAAGAATAGGAACACAATATCAAAGTAGATACAATGATGATCAAAATATTTGGTTAAATAGTAAAAAATCAACCAACAATAAGGATAAACAATTAGAGGGATCATCAAGTGGATTAGATAATGTAGCCAAAAATCCTGATCCATTATCGTCCAATAATAACAAAGACGATAACGGTAAAGATAAACCCGTTGAATTTGACGATGACAATAATAACAATCGATCATCAAAAGATGATTCATCTCCTGTATCATCTTCATCTTCCTCATCTTCAACCTCACCATCAACTGAACGTAAAGAGATAACTCCTGGTGAAGCGAAAGATATTGAAAGTTTACTCCAGAAATCAGAAATAATCACTGGTCGCTCATCAATATCTCCACCATCATCATCATCTTTACCCTCATCACCACCCAAAACCCTACCAGTTGAGGTCTCCAGGCACACAATAACCTCACCCAATGGAGATATGACCGTGGTCACCGAGATGGTCTATAAGAACCCTTATAAACCCACCCCACTTCCAGCCTATTCTCATCCACCATATTTACCCTCAAGTCGAGATGGTTTATATTCACCAACAGATGACCCCAGGCTACTTCATCATCAACCTTCACCTCTTTCACCTTCAACACCTTCATTACCACCACCATCAACCCCATCTTTAGACACTTTTGGCCTTGGTAGGACGGCAACTTACCTTCCACCTCCAAGATCATCTCGAAATCGTGACATTATGTCCACAACCCCTTGGACCAATGGTCTAGGTAGAGTTCTGCCCACCCCACCAACACCCTTTATTAGTTCAACTTTACCCACTCGAACATCACCAGTAACACAATCATCTAATAAATCACCGACTAAACAATTAACCAACAACAATCAGAACAGTTCATTAAACAAAAAATCATTCAAACAATCAGAATCTAATTCAATCTCAAAGCGACATGAAATCTCAGAGCGGAGTTTAAGTGCTGCCGCAATCGCAGGTATAATAATTGGATCACTTGTATTTTTGGCTCTTCTAGCAGGTAAGAAATTAATTAATCTAATTTTTGCAAAATCTCCAGCAAACAATTAAACCACAATCATTAAACAATTAATTACACTTTGACGAGGAAAATTGAACTAAATAAAGTACCGAACAACTTAACTTTTTTTTTGCTTCTTCTCGAAACAAACATTAGATTAGGTAATTAAATTGTCGTGTTAACAACAATTAGTAACAATAACTTTTTCCATTTCATGTTGAAGGAAATAGAAAAAAATTCTTGCTAATTAATTGTTACTTATTACATAAGAAAATTAACTAATCAAGTAGATTAACAATCGTATTTTTGTATAATATCAATAAGTTTGTATTATAAGAAATGAAATTATTGTGATAATAGGAAAGTGAAAATGAATTAACATAACAATCAACTAATCAAATCACGTTCATCGAGAATTCAAATGTCCAATTGATTTAATCATCATCTGATTATCATCATGTATTAGTTTAATAAATGGAGAGAAAAATTCAAATTGTTGTGATTAATTGTTTGGAGAATTGAAAAAAAAATAGATTCTTGATTAATCTAAATGTCTAACAATTAAGTTCAATTGAGATTGGAATCAAAATTTAATCACGATTTTGATTGTTATTACATCATTAACGATAAAATTGTTATTATATTGTTAATCTTTAATTGTTGTTTGACTCAAGTTGATCATCTTCTTTATTCATTATTTATTATTATTACAATTTATCATCTTCTTAAATCATCATCATTATCATAAAAAATCACAATTAACAAGGTGATCAATGGATTAGCCTAAATTGTGAATCTCATCAACGGTAAAAACGTTAATTACAATATAAAAGTTGAGTTAAAACTTGAAACCATTTGATGATTTATTTAACTTGATCACAATTAAAATCGGTGTTAACCCTTAATAACAATTAAATTTTGTACTTTGATGACAATCATCAACTTGATTAACATGATAATCATCACCATCATCATTAAAGCCAATCAATTTAATTTGATTTTGATACTAAAATGAATCAAGGACAACATCAAGTAAACAACAACAATTGATTAACACACAATTAAGCCAAAAATGATTGATCAATTGTAATGATTAACTTTGAGAGAAACAATTAAGCTCACTGTTAACTTAATCAACTCATCGGTTGATTGTTAAAAGTTATATAACTTTAATCACAATCAGATTAACATCTAGTTACAATTGATGAACTTCACAATCTAAGGTGGATCAATTAATTATCCAAAAGGATCTAATTGGATTTATAATCTTTCAATTTATCACATCCTTTTACAATTAAGGACCCACTAATTGTGGATCATGATGATGATGATGATCCTTAATCATAATCTTAATCATCATAAATCTCAAACCATATCAAAAAGTGATAATCAAATTTGATTATTGTTCCAATAAGTTGACTTGATTGTCTGATCAATTGAAAGCAATCCAACACTAAGTGAATAATAATCCTAATTGTTAACAGTTAATTCATTTAGAGAAAAAAACTTTCAACAATTCTAATAATAAAATCAGATTTCTAACAATCAGAATGATGAATCGCAATTAAATTAAATTTCAATTTTCAAAAAGGAATCAAGAAAATTACCTGAACTAAATTATGTAAATTGAATTGAGGTAAAGCAAAAAAAATTAAGAGAAAGTTGAGAAAACTTTTTTTTATGATTAACTATTGTAAATCACAATTGAATACACAATTAAGACTTGATTGTAATCAGTATGAATCACAATTAACATTTAACCAAGCTTTTTTTTATATCTGTAAATTAAACATAATCAATTGAATCAATTTTAATCATTTCCATTGAAAAATTATCGTTTTTTTTTTGGATTTTGCTGAAAAAAAACTGGACAACAGTTAATTGTGGTTTATGATTAGTTGATTTAGTTTACCATTATTTAGGTGGATCTAATTGAAAACCAACAAATTGTTTAGTTAATTAATTTGATTGTTAATCAATTGGTTACAAGTTTTAACAAACCGTATCAATGAAACTTTTACACTCAACATGAAGTTGATTTGATTTGATTTGAATTTTTTTTTACTATTTGCTGATTGTAAACAAATCTAATTGTTTACAATCAATGGTTTGTGTTTCTGGTTAATCATCAACTTTGTCTGTGATTAAACAATTAGCTGATGATGATAATGTATGATAGTTATTCTGGTCAGTTAATTGTATTTCCTGGTTTGATTTTAATCAACAACAATTAGTACAAAAACAAACTACTCATGTTTGTTTTAATTGTTTGGGATCCAAGGGAAAATTAATTGTCCTCAAATCATAACCATGAAGTTAATCATAGATTAATCAAATTAGATAATGATTGATTAATTAAATTAGAATGTCTCAGATTGAAAAATATCCAACAACAATTAAAACTTTTCATGTTAATCTTCAGACAACCAACAATCAATAGATGACCTTAAATCAATTTGATTACAATACAATTAATTCAATTTATTGTTTATACTGAATCACTGAATTTAGAAATTAAAAATTAAGCAACAACAATTAGTTAATCCAACAACATCAAAGTGATTTATTTTTATCATTGATTAAGTTAACAATCAATTGTAATAAGATTTGTAAATTAAGGTTGATCAGTTAATGACAATGAAATAAACAGTTGATCAATAATTGTAAATTACAAACAATCAAAACATTGGATCAATGATTAAGTTGATTTTTACAATTTAAACAAAACTTGATCACAATTATTCAATTGAAATGTTTTAATTGTGAAACCAAATCAATTGATTAACATTTAGATCATCGATTCAATTAGATGTCAATGTTAATCAAGGTTATTATTGTTTCACTTTTAATCAATCAATGATTATTGTTAATCTAAAAATAAGGAAGGAAAATTATGAGAAAAATTAACCTTGATGATTTAAAAAAGAAGCTGAAAAAAACGTTGATCAATTTTAAATTGTTACAATCACGTCAATCACAAGTTATCAAACAATTAGGCCAATCATCAGTAGATTATTATGATTTATTTTGATTGTAAATAATAACAATCTAATAATACATTTTACAACAGTTAACAATCAAGTAGATTTAAAAGTTAAACTGTTTTTTTTTGCAGTTTCTTGACTTCCAACGGTCAATAACAACCAACAACAATCAACAATCAACAATAATCAAATTGATGATGATGTTGACAATTAACAATAACAATCAACTAATAATAAGAAGGGAAAAAAAATCTTAATCAATCCTCTTTTCACCAATCAAATGGATTAACTATCAAAATATTAAAGGGAAACAAATTACAGTCGATTACAAACATTTAAACCCTTAATTGTGAACCATAATTTGATGATAATGATAACAATCAACTCTTATTGTAATCATATTAAAGTTGATCATAAAGTATTAATATAGTGAATACATTTTAATCCAGTTCCCTCGGAGAGATTAATGATTAACCTAAATCCCAAGTTTAAAAAAAAAGAGAAGAGTTAATTTCCAAATTGTTGTCGTTACAATTAAGATTCGTACAACGGTTAATTGTTGACAGAATCAATTAACTATCATTGTTTATCAATTAATCACTTGAGAAGTAAAAAAAATGAGTAAAATTTTTTCATGATAATTGTTCATTTATATACAAATTATATGAATGAGTGTATTTTTAGGTTGACAAATTTGTTTGTAAATTTGGTTGACAATTAACTTGAGTAAATAATACAAAGTTTTAATTGTTTATCTGGTTTTCCAGTCTAAGATTTCAATAAAAGGTCAAGAAAGATGATGATAATGATGACCCAAGGTAAATAATTATCTTTCAAAACTAATTACTGACCAGTGTTTATCTTTAAATTCAATTGTAACAATTTAAGGTAATTCAATTCAAGGATTACCTGCTCAGGTGATACTTAGGTGTTACCTGTTCACTAAACCATTTCGTTATAACCTGAAAATTTGTTTTGTTGAACAGAATTCATGTTTTTTTCATTGAAGAATATCTCCCTCTCTCTCACTTTATCATCTTCTCATGATGATGAAAATTACAACAGATTATAAGAAAAATATATAAGATCATTTAGTTCATGAAATTCAAGAGAAAAGAAAAGTTTTGTTCCGGTAAGAAAAAGATTATCCAAAATTAGGTAACAATTTGACCTGTTATGGTTTTCTAATTCAATAATTATGAGCATACAGACAGACTTTGTAGTATTAATAATATTTGTAATTTCCATGGTTAACTTAATTCTCTTCTTCTTGATTATGATTAAAGGAAAATTGGACAAGTAAGAAACTAATTTAATCTCAACTGTTTGTTGTCTCTCTTCTTAGGAGTTGCTTTGTTTATCATGTATCGTCGTCCAACTTTACCAGGAACTACGAGGTTACGTCGATCTACAGAATGGGTTGAACCTCAGCCTAATCATGGCGGTGGAGTACCGATAGGAGGTGGAGGTGGTAATGGTGGTGTTATCACTGTCTGTCCACCATGTGAGGCCATTCCCGTTAACACAGGTCACTTTTCTCGGACTCAACGGCCCATGAATAAGGTTTGTTGTTATGATTATCATTGAGAAAACTTGTAAGCAAAACAAATAGAAATATAAATGATAAAAATTAAAGAGAGACATTAATATTAGAAATCAATATAAGAGCAAAATAACCAATACTACAATAATCAACCAACAATCAGATTTAATTACCGATTATTGATTAAATGCTGCAATTAATATTCCTCATCAATCCAATAGTAGAGATTAACTTATATAAGCCAAATAATCAATATCTTCATGAATATTTACCGTTTTGGTTTCCAAGTTGATTACATGATCTTCAAGATACTTTCTGAACAATTCAGATCATTCTCTCAGGTATCGAATGATTTATCAATATCTAAGTATTACCGATAAATATGAATACCTGATAGAGAAATTAAAATTCCGAAACTCAATCTATTTATCCGAAAGATTTTCTCAACTTGAAAAATCCAGCGAATCGAAATTGTTATTTTCATTATTATTTCGTTTTTCCACTGAACTTTCCATGAAATAGACATATCATTCAATACCTGAGAGAATATTCTAGCTGAGAATTGATTGCGCGATCACTGATTATCCGTTCATTTGATTGATGTTGATTAACTTTGATTGATTTGTTATTGGAAATGTTTTTACTTTTTGTTGTTGATACAATTTTGAACGAACTAAAATAAACACCAAATCAACGCCAACGAAATATATCAATAATTTATCTACAGATTTCGGTTTCTAACACACTGAATAGATCCATCGATGGCCTCCTCGTTGTCGGTGATTGGACACTGGTCAGTCCTGGAAGTAATTATGAAACATTGACTAAAAAAAGTTCACCAAACGGATCTTGAAAGTAAATCATTCGTTGTTTCATTCGTAATCATTTCAATTTCATTCAAGAAAACCAACAATCAACACCACCAATTCATCCTAATCACCATAAACACTTGACCAATATTTAGTGAATTAAAAGATTTGATAAGTAAATGAAGAAAAAAAATAATGCCAACAATCATAATTAATCAATTCGTAGTTCACAATTAATGTATAAAAACAAGTTGACCACAGTCTTTGAATTTGTTGCAATCAAAGTGACCACAGGCAATGGATACCCGATAATCCTTAACGAACAATAAAATTGGGACAAAATCGACAACTCATTCAATAGATTTGAACCATTAATCTTTATCCCTTCAAGATTGGAGATAATTACTATTACTATTGTCATAGATTAATCCAAATCCAGGTAAACCAAGGGAAAGCATTGTAACTATTAATACTTTTAAATTTCCATCTTCTTCTGCCAATCTTGGTTTTGATTGTTGAATCAATCATGAAATTTGCATAATTAAAGATTCTCTATTTTCAATTGACCATCAGCCTCTTTTCATTTCCTTCCCATTTCATCAGGCGAAGTGAGAGAAAACAAATTAACAAGTTAATTGTTTTCTATTCTATCATGGTGATATTCACACCATGTAATCATTTCGATGATTGAAAAACGAAGAAAAAAAACCGGAAAACTTAAAATTTTCCCTTTGATTTAATTCCAATTATTGACAATAACAATTGACATTTTCTCTTCGTTTCTTCCGATAATCTTTCGGCTTCATTAATCCTTTCCAACTGTACTGAAAGAGAAAGAAAGAAAGAAAGAAAGAGAGTTGGAACTTTCCAAATGACCCTTGACCAGAATTCGGGTAAACATGATGATGGTAAGCGTTGAATTAATCAGGTTAACGTTGGATTTGATTGTTTATCGAGTGGATATTTATACAACTGTCAGTCTCCAAAATGTATTGGGTTAATGCATCGATGGTGTTCATTAGAATAGTCAATGAATAAAATTGCAGGTCAACGAGTTTCTGTCTCACTGATCATCGATTTAACGATAAATTTTGCTCCTTCCATCATCAGAATCCATCACATTACCAACTAACATAAACTCCCTCGATACTTGTAATGTCAACATCTAAATAAGAGGTGAATAGTAACTCAGAAAAAAAGTACCACCAAGAAAAAGGATATTCTGAACTAGACAGAATAAAAAAAAACACTCCATCTCCACCTTGATTCTTGTATTTTAATTTCCACCAATTGTTGATTATCGTTGTACCATGGAAAAGGTATTGATTTGAATAGGAATAAATCAATGATAATGTTCATCTGAAAGGATATCCAATCACCATGAGGTAGATGAGTAGTTGTTGAATTGTTGATCTTTTCCAGAATCTTTTTAATTTCTTCCTCCTCTCCTTTGATTGTTGATCTATTATTGTTGATTTGTTTTTGTTTTCTCCTTTTCTTTCACTTGGCATGATACTAATTAAACCAATTATTTTAAACCACAATCAAAAGGTGAGTTTATCATCAGGGTGAGAATATGTATTATTATCAATGAAGATGATTCTCTCTTTCTTTTCCAATAATGTATAACAATTAAAAACGACCATCAAAAAAGAGGAGTCTTTTTTTTGAATTGTTCAATTGAATCTTTGAACCGTTGAGATTAAACAAAAATTAGAATTAAATTAAGAAAACCACCAGAAAAACCGTCATCATGATGATCATCAACACCATTATTATCAACTTATTGAATTGTTCCAATGTCTTTTGATATTCAATAGTAAAGAGTAACTGTAACAATAACAGTTAATCAGACAAATAGAGATTCAGTGATGCTTTAATTGTGAAACATTTCATTGTAATCATTGTTCACACTTTGGAATACAAGTTTAAGTTCATCATCATGGTTCGTTTTGTTAGCACCTTTCGATTTGTTACCTGTAAATAGATTGAAAAGAGAGAGAGAAAAAAAGAAAATGGTAACAATTAATATCTCATGTACTGAGAGAAAGGAAAATGCGTTTTTCATTTGAACTATTGAGTGAACGGCAAATTGTGGGGCAAATTTACACTTACCAAGTTTCTGATTGAAGATTTCACAAGATCGTAATAGTCCCAGTTTCTTAAATCAAATACGATCAACGGAAAAGTAAAAAAAATGACCATTAACAGAATCGTTTTTGAGTCGCCATTTTTTCCCAGCAATTCAACGCCCAAGGGCACCATCGATCACCAGAACAGTTCACTTCGATTTCACTTCATCCTTTTAAATTGCTGATAATCGATTACGAGATTCAGATATTAATTATTCAATCAAAATTTCACCAACAGGTAAGAAACAAAGTTAACGGTATTTTCGGATTTCCTGAAAATTTACCTTCTCTCGTCATGGTAAACAAATAACTCTCATCTTGACCTATCAGGTACCGTCCGGTATTGTATCCATACTGTTGTAATCCATCTTATCCTGATTAATTAATTGTGAATGACACAATTAAAATTCACTTAATTATCATAACAATTGAAGATGAACAAAAAAAAATCAAAAAACAAAAAGTAAACAAACAGATCGAAACAGTTTCGCCATCTGTTGGCTCAATAGTAAAACAAATAAACTTTCATATTCTCATTTGATTTAATTGATAAAATCCTCTGATTGTAATTATATTAATTTAATGGAAAATATCATAAATACAATTAACTTTATTCTTAATAATATATTAACACAAGTCTATGTAATAATGAGTTTCCCTTGACCTTGTGGGCATTTATATTGTTTGCCACTAAATTGGTGACCAAAATGATTACAGTTAAATAGCAAATGAATATTAATTAGTTTATTTATAATCTTGAACCAGATCAATTGAACCAATAAATCTGATTGACAATAATTTAAAACAAATTAATCTAAATAATGGTAATTAATAAGAATAGAGATGAGAGTAAATTGTTGGAAAAATATTAAATTGTTTCTCACGATAATTTTAGTGCCATGTAAATGATTATATTCACAATTAACAACAACAACAACATCTAAACCATTTTCTTCAATTAAAAGTGATTAACTTAATTCTTAACAATAACATAAGTCTCTTTCTCTCTCATATATATCTTTTAATTCATATAAACAATATAATTTAAATAATATCAACATAACAATAAGAGTTAATCATTGTTGTTGATGATTAAGATACTTTGAGAGTGATAAAAAAATTAAGAGCTTTTCATTATTATTATTATTATTGTTATTTAACTCGAGTGCTATTTGGTTAACTTCAATTAAATGTAATTGCAATTAACTTTCATTAGACACAATTGAATCAGAAAATTAATGTTAATCAAAAAGCTCTCACTCTCTCCTCCACAATTACCACCTCTCCTCCTCTTTTCCCTCCTCCACTTCACCTCCATTTCAATGGATCATCTTCCATATCCTCATCTCGACCCACTCACCCACCCACCGGGTCCATTTTATTATTAACAATATTGTCCTGCCCTCGATTGATTTTAATCACACTGATCATCTCCGTCAATCTATTGTTAACCTTAATTGTCCATTTGTTGATCAATTGTCAAGATATTATCAAAAACAAATTATCAATGTGATCAATCAATGATTACCAATCAGTTGATAGTTAATGTTACACAATCAATGAGAGAGAAATGTAATATTATCAATGATAATTGTTTATTCCCATCAAATGAATATAAATGTATTTATATAAATCAATTATGGCTCAACAATTAGTTAATTCATGTTAATATGAAAGGAAAATTTTTACAAATCAAAAGTTTATGTTGGGAAAAAAAACTTTATTTTTCTTTCAAAAAGTTTCGATTTCTCATTTTTTTCTGAAAAAAATCATTCGGAATAAGAATCAGAATCATCTTGATGATTAGTATTCTCAAGGTATAAAAGTTTCATTATCAAAATGGTTAATGTTTCGTATAATATAAATATAAATAAAAGTTAATTGTAAATGAGCACAATTATCAGATTGTTAATTGTTGCTTTTCGTATTACCAACTGAGAGACTGTTTAAAATGAATGAGCTGAAGGGATTAAGATTAAGGTACGAGGATAAGAAAAGGTAAGTATTTGGTGATCGATATTGATTAGAATAGGGATGAGGATGAAGATGATGATTAATGTGATGATTAAATGGAATTGAAGTTTTCTTCAATGAATGAGATAATCTAATCCGAGATGGAGATGGAATATTTTTTCTCGTCAATTTTTCACAATTTTCTTGACAATTTTCTTCAGGCAAAATTTGACTGGTTGAATTAACTCCTATTGGATCCAGCATCCAATAGTTTCCTTTTCCGGGATCATCATAACTTCTTGGCACTTTAATGAAACACTTATTCAACGATAAATTGTGTCGTATTGAATTCTGCCAGCCCTGTTTATTAGTACGATAATATGGATAATTATCTCGTATGAAATTGTAAATCCCCGAAAGGGTCAACCGTTTCTGAGGGCTACTTTCAATGGCCATAACAATCAGATCATTGTAACTGTGCTCAGGTTTATTGTTGAGTTTATCGTTATCGGTGTTTTCATGGTCATCACTGTTCAAATTATCGGATGTCGAGGATGTTGTCGAGTCGATTTGTAGTCCAGTTTCACTGTGATTAGATTCACTGATTGGTAATGATGATGATTCCTGATCACTGTCATCGATTTCATCATATAATAAACTTCGGATGGAGAATGATTTATATTTGAACACTTTTGAAACTGACATGATGATTATTCAGAGACATTCATTGATTAACTGATGGAAAGATTTATGTATGTAGATACATATATGTATTTAAATTGCTCATCTAAATGAGAAAAGTTGATTGTTAACTATTACGATGTGTTGATGGTGAATTAATATTAACCATTGACTCTTGTTTAGTAAATGAAAAGGTTCCCATCATCATCATTTCAATGGGAAGATGAGGATGATAAACAAGGAGGTGGTACAATGGATGAAATAAATTGTGGGTCCTAAATTAAGGGACAGTTACAAAAAATTAAGCATTACAATTAAAGTTAATCACCAATTAATCATTTACTGTTAATGTAATTTTTTTTTCATTTATTGTCAGCATTTTATTATCCAATTTGATACAAAAATGTTATTTCATATTGTAAGCACTTTAAGGTAAACAATATAATGTATATAAATTGTTATCAGTTTAATTTGATTCAATTATACACATGATAAGTTTTACAATCAATTAATTTACCTTATTATTAAGTAATTTTTTTCCCCAATAATAGTTAATTAATTGATGGGAATTAATTGTTGATTATTTAAAATAGAAACACAAGAAACAGAAAAACTTTTCAATGAAATTTATTAGAAAGCAGACTAATCACAATTAAAGTAATTAACAGTTAATTATCCAGTTAATGGTTGTAACAATTTAGCTGATTGGCCAAGGTGATTCAGTGTTGGTGGTGGAAGAAAATTAGAAGAAGAAAAAAAAGTTTAAATCACAATTAGAGAGAGAAAAGTTTTAATGATGATCGATATTCTTACCTGAATAAACTGCAATCATTAATTGCTGCTGATTGTTGTTGATAATGATGATGTTGATTTGGTTCTAATTGTTCATCAATATCATCGGTTTTACGTTTTCTTCTGGGCTGAGTATAAACTGAAGATGAAGCATAATTACAAGATAAATCATATTTCTCCTTTTCCAGTCTTCTATCCTTTAGAAACTCTAATCTTTCATATAATTTATCTTCCGGATTAGATCCTGGTCCTAATAATAATAATGACGATTGACCATGAAGATGATCATGATGGTGATGATTATGATGAGAAGTAAAAGAAAGTAAAAGAGACACATAGATTTAGATTCTAATAGAACAATGAAAAAGGAATATGATGGAGAAAACGTTTCGAATGTGAATGAAAATGGTTCGAGGGGAGAGAGAAAAAGTTCTATGGACATTGTCGAATATGTTTCCATCATTATCTTCATCATTATTAATATGATTACATTCTGCTTGAAATGAAATGATAAGATCGACATTAGCAGGCAATTTATTACTTCCAATCAATTAAATAACGATAGATCAACGAGATAATAGAAGTACATCTCTTTTTTTTTCATCTTCGTTGCAGTTAGAACTTTTTTTTCATTCTCTCAATCCAAATTACAACTCATCAAAGAGCATCGAGTTGATATAAACCTCATGAAGTTCATGATGAAAGGAAAAATGAACGAAAATCTCATGTTTACAATCTCGAAACGTTTCGTTTCACTTTGGTCATACCCAATTCTGATCGTGGACTTTTCGGTGAAAAAGAAACGATTAGAACTCTTGATCTTTATCCTCAAACTAACAACCAATATTATCCTTGTACTTATGATTAGAAATCATCAAGTTCAATAGTTAAAAGTGAAAATTTGATGAAATTAATAAAAAAATCACAATTAAAGATGAAGAGAGCGAGAGTAAGTCTCGCCATCTATTGGGATGGAAAAAAACTGAAAAACAATTTGACTTAAAAGTTGAACCGGTAAATAATTTTACCGTTACTTTTGTCAAGAAATATAATCTAATTTTATTGATTTAATGTTAGAGATCATCAATGAAAGATTATGATTAATGGATAAACTTGTAATGGTTTAAAAGTGGATAACAATCAAGCAAGTTTTCAAATGATAGATAATAATTTAAAACTAATCTGTTGTATTTTATTTGTTATCAGTAAAATTTATCAAATTAATGATTCGAGATAATTATTCATCAAGATAATTTACCGTTAACCTTTTGAAACCTTTTGAAAGTAAAGAGATGATGATCTTTGATGATTCTCTCTCTCTCTCTCTCTCTCTCTCTCTGTCATAATCAATCTAATATGAATGATGGAAGGAAAAATTTAACAAATAAATCATTATTGATGATCAATATCGGTGGAAATTTTTTCAAACCTCCCTGAAAATTATCAACAATATGAATCATGTATTGATTCAGTTGGGAAAGTAAAAGGATGAGGATAAAATCTTCATTTCAATTCAATGGTAAAAACTTGAGTTGAAAGTTTTTCTCACTCTTCTTTGTATCATCATCATCTTCATCATTATTATTATATCTTTTCGTCTTCATCATTATCATCATCAACATTATGAAAATGGTGCAAAAAAAAATGACGGAGCTCATGAAAACCTCAAAGGAACTGAGAAAGAAAAAGTGAACTGTCAAAAAAAGAGCTATCATTCAATACCCTTAGGCTATTTTAGTCTTTTCAATCTTTTTCTTTTTCTCTCTTCATCTGAATTCATTGTTATCAGAAAACAGAGAAAACTTGACGTTCAAATATTATCTTCTTCTTCTTCCATGATGGAAACTGAACTTTTCAAATGTTTTCATCTTCATGAATTTTCTTAGTTTCTCTCTGAGGCAAAAATTTTGATGATACTCAGCTCACGAATTTATGATAACAATAAGAATCAATTGGATAATTATGATACTTGAATTAATCATTAGATTAAATTGATCATCATTATCTTGTTGAAATATCGCAATCAAATTATCATTAGAACGTTTCGAAATTGATTTGATAACTAATCATTTCAAAAGTTGTTGAATATCGGCTAAATTATATCCGATCGAACTGTTGAAAATCAGATCAGAATAGAATCTAATCATGAAAATATTAATGAGATTATTATCATCGATAAACAGGAAACTATTTTCGAGTATATAGAATCTGGACATTGTAAAGAATTATAAATTTCCTCTGTTCCTTTTATACTTTTCTCGGTGTAAATGTTATTATCTTCACCTTTTCCAGCATTCAGAATGTTCACAATTCCCTGAAGCTATTTAAGAATGAAATGAGCAAGAGGAGGAAAAAGAGATGATGAAAAGATGATAAAGTTAGCCAGGAAAAAGTGAGAAAAGGGTAAGTGAAGAAGACACAAAGATGAAGAGAATGAAGAAAAGAATACTCATGTATTGGTAATTCTCATCATCTTCTTCTTTGCCCGGTCTTCTTGTTATTCTTCAGCATCTTCTTTAGCCCGCCAGCGATCAAGTTCAACTATTAGATTGAAACGATCACCATGATGGTAATGATGAAGATAAGAAATGAATCTCTCATGTAAAAAGGTTAACCCCATAGGAAGAAAAAAAAACTAAGTTAAGATTCTCTATTCTCTTTGATTCAGTTAACTAACCCAAACTGAATACGAATTGATGATGAATAGAAAAGAGAAAACTTTCAACAAATAACAATTTAATATTCGATTCCCGATGAGAATCAATGAAATTTCATTCAGTCCTTTTGTTCCAGGTTCATGTTGAATTTTAAAGGAAAGGAAAAGAAAATTTCATCCATATGAACTGTATGAATTTCCTAATATTCACTGAATCTCATGAGATGTTTTATCAAATTGAATGGGAAAATTTCATTCAACTGAATCAACTTGATAAAAGTGGAAGTGAAAAAAAGCAACTCTAATCAATGGGGTTTGATATTAAGTGAATTAAATCAATTTAATTATCATTGGCAAGTGACAGACAAAATCGACAAGAGTTTTATCATTTGATGAACATAATTTCCAATTAAATATGAAAATTTAATCCAATCAATTGGGTCAATCAGGTTAACCGTTCATCTAATCAATGGTTAGTTAGTTTGTTGGGATTTCGTTAGGCTGAGAGTAAAATTTTCTTGACCAATGGGTAAAGTTTAACTTAACTAATAAGCTGAATAACTTTTATTTACCTCGGAATTGGGATCAGAATTGGTCAGAATGATAGTTCTTATCATTAGGTGAAAAAGCTTCAGGAGATGTAACATAATTTAACGTATTATTTGGCATCTGAGTTTCATCTTCACATGAATCATCATGAAAATGGTGAGATAGATTGTCATTAATGGTGTTAAATTGCCTCAGGTTTTATAACATCATTTCAAAGGTTTCATGTTGTTATAATGTGATTGGGGTACATTGTTTGTCTATGTTAATAAAAATAAATTACATGAGAAATATAAAACAACAGTAATAATAATAATAATAAAGTCCACGAATGGTATCAGAACTTTTCTCGTTTTTTCATGATATTAATAGTAGAGGAAAATTCATTTCTTAAACTTATTCTCAACTCATAAACTTTTAGTAACTTTGAATATCAGTTTTGATTGATGTGGATAAGATAATATCATGCCAATAGTTTGACTTGGAAAATAATTCTCAATGATAAACAAACGATATAAATATTGAGAGCTGAAAATAACATCATGTTTTGTTTTGTATTGGATGATAACAAAAGTATAATAATGAATAAATTCAATGCTCTGTTGATAAGATCCAAGTTAATGATATACAAAAATGAGAGAGATGAGGAGGAGAAAGTGTATATATTTTTGATGAGAAGATCAGAGAATAACAACAAAAGATGAGGATAAAAATGAAGATGGAAATGAAGATGAAGATGAGGTGAATGAGAGAGCGAGGGAGTGATGATCAACTTACGGGCTGTTAAATCGATTATCCGATGTTCCGGGGATTTGTTTTGTCCCAATACGTTTCCATGAACGGGATTCCCTGAGTTGATGAGGCACTGGAAAGAATAGAAAAAGATGAGAATAGGAAGAAAGAGAGAGAATATCATAATGATGATGAGAAGAAGAAAAGAAAGGAAAAATGGAAGAAAGAAAATAAAAGAAGAAGAAGAGTAAAAATGTGTACAAAATTAATTGCCTTCGTCCTTTGAGATGTAATCAATACAAAGAGTATAGTTGTTTATAAAGAATCTTTGTGACAATAGGAAGATAAAGATGAGTAGAGAAAGAATAACAAGATAAAAAGGATGATAATGTTTACTTTGGTGAGAAGGGAGGATAAAGGGAGAGAGAGAGAGAGTAGATAGAGGAGGTGGAAAAATAAGAAGGAGGAAAATCGTAAGAGTGATGGAGGTTAGTTGAGGAAGCGAAAGGTTGAAAGAGCAAAAGCATTTATCAGTTCGAAATATTTGTCTACTCTCTCTCTCTCTCTCTCTCTCTCTCTGCTCATTTCCACCGCTGGATAAGCTCAATATCCAGCTTACAGCTAATAACGCGAAACAATTTGCTTCAATTGCGCTCTTTTATTCCTTCCCACTCTTTTCTTTCTGATTCCTAGCTGAATGATCACCAAAATTCAGCCCAATTTTTCAAGATTGATGAACATCAATCTGTTAATTTCTCTTTCACCCTCTCCAAATAAACAGACTGGGGAAGATAGAGAGAAAGAGAGAGAGAGAGACAAACTTACATGACGATAATATTGAAACTTTAATGTATCGACAAATAATATTGAACTCAAGTTAACCAAATGTGCAATGAAGTGCATGGTGAACACTAATTTTTGATCAGAGTTTTTCTCGGAGAAATGCTCATCCAAAATTATCATAAATCTCAGTATTTTTCCACCTCTTGTTTTCTGCCCTGATGTTCCTGATTTCATCTCGAACATTCAAAAGCTCTAATTGATAGCAATTAATTATCTCTTAAAGTTTTCTGTTTGTTTTTCTCAAATGTAAAAAGCTGGAAAAGAAGATTTTTTCACCAACTGGGAAAAAAGTTCTGTGAAGTACCTGAAAGTGATTCTAATTGTTTCTCATGGTAAATATTCATATCGAACACACGTGATAATAACATCTTCAAGATTCAGTAAGGTGTTTGAGAGTAATTTATCATGAAAACAAAAAGAACAATATTCCAAGAGTGAGAGAGAAAAAAATACAAAGTAAAAAAAATTGAAACTCTCAAAAATATACTCTGTTCATCCATAAAATTATCTATTCAACCTAAAGCAGAAGCTCCATGAAAAACAAGAAGCATGAGAATGGAAAATCTTCTAGGAAAGTGATTAATGAACAATAATCAATTACATATCATGCAAACAAAAAATTTTCTCCCTGAGATTTTGAAAATGAAAGAAAAACAAAATTTTCGAATCCTTGAGAAACAAACTTTTTCCATTTTTCATCTCATTTAGTATCTAAGATGCTGACGAAAAAAAATGTTGTACCTTTTTTAAGGGAACATCATATGTGTGTGAACCTGTACCATTTACGATAATCGAGTGAGGAGTTCGAGGTTCATTACCAGCTGATGAAGATAAACTCCGTTCATAGGCAGAGATACGACTTAAGGCATAAGGAGATGGGAAGTAAATCGATTCATTGACTTTAGCTCCCGAGTTATTGGTGCCCACTGATACATCATTTCCTGGAACTGAGTTTCCATTAGTATTGGAACATCGATTTAACTTCAAGTTGTTGTTTGTTGTTCCCGATGGAGTGAAAAATCCCATCCCTGGTTCATCAATTGTCGAACCACGAAGAGATGATCTTTTAATTGTACTATCCCAATCGGATAAAGGCATCGATTCGCAAGATTTACTCCCATCACAACCACCGACACCTCCTGAATTAGAAAGAAAAAGTAAAAACAATGAAAAATGACCAACATATCAACTCATTTCGTGGACACATGAAAAAAAAATCCCATCGGTAACCAGAATTTCATGAAAACACTTCGAAACTGACCATTTGTGACTCGTTATTTGATAAAATTTACTCTCACTGTCATTTCCAGTTAATGTCAACTTTTGTTTATTTTGTCACTTTCTTCAATTTTCTTACACTTTCATTTTCTTAATTTTAACTTTTCCCTTCATCTTTTAACATCATCCTTATCATCACCATGAGTACATGATGCTAACAGCTTTTGAGAAAGAAAGATGAGGAAAAAAAATTCGATATTTCAAAAGTAGCTCGAAGAAGATGGATAAAAAACTAACAATTTTCGAAAAGTTTCAAAAAGAAAAACAACTTTTTTTTCATCTCTCTAGTGTCTCATGGTCACTTTCTCTTCTCTTTTTTTTCTGATGACCATCAAAGGCTATTCTTAGCTCATTGATGGTGATGAAGGAAAATATTGACTTGACTGATGTCAACCTAATCCTCGACTAGATATTTCTCTTTGATATGTTTGTTCTTTACTCTCTCTCTCCCCTTGTGTCTATGAAATGTTTACTATCGAAAGGTATTTACTCATGATATTTCATCTTCTATTATCATCACCATGATACAAAGTAGAGAGAGAGAGAGAGAGAAATCTTCTTACAGTTTCACCATGGAAAATGTATTCAATATCTTTACTCCGAATCATCTGATTATCACAAGAGCTCAGAATCATATTGATATGTATCATCTAAATAAGCGAAAGGATAAAATAATTTTTACCATAGAAAATACAGAATCTGAAACTTTTTCAATCATCTTTTTTTTTCATTCCAAAAGAAACAAAAATCTTTTTTTCCCTCTCTCACTGAGTGAATTTAATTAACATTCCCTGTTATTATATTGAAACAAAATTTGTCTCATTTAAAATGTATGATTATGATAATATTACCAATTCCATGATAGGAGATAATTACATATGTAATCATGATAATAATATATTATTGAAATTATCGTTTTCTCTTTAATTGTAGAGAAAAGTTTTTTTTTCATTGGTTATAGTATTATTTTCCTGTTGAATTGAATTTCCATGGTAATATCATGATGATGGTGATGAGGGCAATAAAATGTAAACAGAATCAGAAAAGTTATTCAATAGTGCTTCAGGCTATTTGAATAATTATCTCATGTTCATGTTCATTTTGATGAGAAGACAGGAATGATTCTAATGAATATTTCAAGTTTACTGAGTTTAATTAACTTGGAAACAAAATAAACACCGAAAATGATTCTAATGATTCAGAGATTGAGATAATGATGATATGTACTTGATAGTAAATAGTTGAAAAAGTTCAGAGAGAAAGAGAGAGAAAAAAACACCAAAAGAATTGATAATGAAATTGCTGATCAAGAGGGAGAAAAATTTCATGAGCCTCATCAACCATCAGATTGTCAATTAATTGCTCATCATTATCATCATGAGAATCATTGAAAATTTCAACCTCTTTTTCACCAAGTTACATGTAATCAACTCGGGAATGATAATTACACTCAACATATTATCGTTAACGTTTTGAATGTTCAAGTGTTCAGAAAGTTTCTACGATAAAAAAAAGCAGAGACCCAGTTAATGATATCATCATGAAATATTCCAATATCTATGAACACTCAGATACTGACCATGGAAATAACCAATACATAAGAAACATTTTCTAATCATAAAGTAAAAGGTTGAGATTTCAATAGATTTACTATTCCAAGGAGATCTCTTCAGGGTAAAGTAACTATTTTCAAGGTATTATCATTATCATTAGTTTTATTATTATTGAATTTTGAGAATGGATAATGGAACTGGAAAAAAGGTATAACCTGAATAACCCTGAATACTCATGAGATTCAGATCATTCAACGGCTTAACGCATCAACTATCAGAATGAGAAAAAGAGAGAGAGAAAGTTTCAAAGATTTTTTATTCTTACACCATGATGATGTTCAGTTCATGTTTTAACTATTAAATTGCTCTCCATTAAATTCTTACGGACCATTTGATTCAGTCAATTTACAATTGAATACTATCATTGTTAAAATACATGATGCTCAGATTCAGAGCGATTCATTTCATTTGTTAACAGTCATTCATTGTATTTATAAGTATAAATAATATTTTCATCAACTAATGTAATTTAAATTAATTGTATTCCGAAAAAATCATCATTTCAATGTTTATTTACTCAATGGTTTCAATGAATTTGTATTAATTCATTAAAATCTTTCCCAAATTGATTGTTAAAGTTTCCAACAAAAAAAGTTGAACCAAAATTTACTCATAGTTATTTAAAGTTATCGTAAAACTATTAACATGTTTCAACTCATATAATATAAGATAAGTTGTTTCGTTAAAGTGATAACATGATGCTAACTGAATGAATTCCAATTGTAACTAATGATATTAATCTATTAGAATTTGGTTTTGCTGATCAAATTGATTTCCAATGAAAAAAACAACAACAATAACATTTAAGGTGAATTGAAATTACATGTTGTTCTGTAAATTCTGTTGTCTGAATACTGAACATCATGTAAACTCAATCGTAGGGTATTAATGTTAAATATTCAACGGGGAAACAAAGACCATTAAAAGCAGTATCGTAGTAGAATTGAATGAAAAGAAATGAATGAATTTGGAATTGAATCAAATTGTAACTTAAAGATAACTTATCACATGTAAAATGAACGTTTTAAAATACATGATGATCATGATGAAAGGAAAACATCAGAATCTGAATTACCTTGAGAAATCATGTTTCTCTTTTTTGTTTGTTTCCATTTCTTATTCTAACTAATGATAATTTTCAGTGTTTTTCTTTCTCAATGTGATATCATGTATTCACTGGTCAGTTTCATTCTTATTCGTATTATCGTTCAGTTAATGATCATGATGATTACGATAATGATGAAAGAAATCCATGCTCATCATCATCCATATTGTGACCACAGAGGATCAGCAACTTGGAGCATTTTAATATTATCGGATAAACAGAATGTGATTCAATGTTAACAATTGTGAAAGATGAAACATGATCATCATCATCATCATCTAAAGTTCTAAAATGATCAACACATTAATCATTTAATTTTCTCTCTTCCATACAATCAGCATTCTGATTCCTGATGATCGTGAAGGAATTTGCTATTTCTCATATCATCGTTTTCATGGTTTTCGTAACTTATTCCAGATTATTTGTCGAGCTCAGAATACCAAGGATTCTCTCATCTAATTTTGGTTTCTCAGCAGAAAAAAAAAAAATATTCACAAATCATTGTTCATAATCGAAGTGTAAACAATGAGAAAACCTGTTCTGAATATTAGCCTCGATTCTTCAGATAGTGTATTCGTTTTGTTCAGAATTTTTAAAAAGTTCGAAGAAAAAAAAGTTCCATGTAAAACTCTTGAAAGAGAGAAAAGTTTACACTCGATAATTATCATGAAGCTAAGAAATACTGAGATTCTGAATTCTCAAGTGCTCAACTTGAGATTTCAGAGACTTTATCTCAAATCGAGATACATTTCACTCATGTATTTGTTTTCGAGTGTCTTGAAATTCATCTTTATATCATTTTCAGAACTATTCAGATCCATTTAACTCATATCATGTTTAGAAACAAGAGTTTAAAGATACTTTGAATATGGTTGAGAACAGAAAAATCTTGAGAAAAATTGAATTCTGATAAACATGAGCATTTGAATCGTTCCAAGATTCTTCAATCAAGTTATCAAGTGAATATCAAGTTTCTCTTATTTGATAAAATGCTTTGTATCTCAATTAGAAAACAAATGTTACTGAACTTTGTTCATACTCTTCAAGTTTTCACAGTTTAAAAAAGGTGACGAAAAGTTCAAAGTTTTCATGTTTCATGATATATGAAAAGATTGATAGAGAAAAGAGAAAAAGAATCTTCTTTGAAATAATAATAATATTATCGAAAATATCACAATCTTCATCATGAGAGTTTATATTATGATATATTGTTCTACCTATTTTTTTCTCTTCTAGTTGATTTTCTTTTAAAAACTTTCCCCCCAGTAAACATTCATCTTGCTAAGGAGAAAAGTTCCAAATCTTCTCAATTTATTTTCCTCGGGCTTTGATATTCCATCGATAATAAGGTTCATCAAGATTCTATTGTTGATATTTTGCTTACAGAATTTGGAAAGAAAACAAATTTAAGACCGAGTTCATTTTTCTCGTCTTAATATTCGTACTGACTTATGATATAATCATCATCAATTTCATCGCTTAAGGGCACAAATAGTTTGGCAATTGATATTTTCTTTTGTAAAAAGAATGAAAAAAAAAACTTGGAATTTCGGTTCGATTTCATTTCCCCCTCACATGTAAATCCAATAAAACAATAGGTTGAATTCAATCTTTCACTTCCAAATCTTTAACTTCACTTGTTGATTGAATTCTGATGCTACATTTGTATTGATATTAATTCCCGATTTAAAAAATTATCTCTTCCCTTTCAATATAGTCTGACTACTTTCTCATGGAAATTAATATAAGATTGAATAATTAGTATGATTTGTGTTCCAAAAGATAGTTTCAAATATTATGTCGTTACAAATTGGTTATTATCTGATGAGCTTTCGTGAGCACCATGAGCGTGATAACTTTTTGATGAGTAAAAATTGAAATCCATCAATCAGAGTTGTAGCTTTATTTGTAGAATAATTTTATCATTTTTAACATGAGAATTTTCTGGTCATAATTATGATTCAGATTGATCGGTAAATCATGATGATGAATAAGAAACATTTGAATTGCATGTAAATTTCTTACCAAATTCTCAACGGGAAAAGTTTCAAAATTTAAACTTTTTAAAAATTCGTAACATTATTTTTTCCTTTGTTGTTTTTCAAGTTGAAATAATATTTGTATGATAAGAAACAAAAGAGAATTTCGAAAAGTAAAAAGTTTTGAGAGTCCTGTCAGAGTGTCGAAAGAAAATATTCTCTAAATAATGTTGACATTCAAGTTCGAGCAGAAGTTTTCTTTTCTCTTTTTTAATGTTCTAAACAAGACAAGTTATCTCTGAACACGCAACCGACAAAAATGATAACAATGATATTAAATTGTGACAGAACTCTGTCTGTCAGCTGTGATAAGAAAGACAGAGAGAGAGAGAGAGAGAGAGAGAGAGAGTCGAAATTATCTTTCCATTCAATCAAATGTTTTTTTAATTTTCTTCCAACAGAAAACAAAGATACACTTTACTCCCAGTGACAGAATAACAACCTTATTCATCCATCATCTCAACTAATTAAAAAGTAATCATGATAACGACAATTTGAGTTGAATTATTTACATTCAATTCTTACCTGATATATGCTGGGGTGGGAAATGTCTCTTCTTAAACATGGCACAAATAACACCCATGATCAATGTAAGAACCACTAATGCTGAAGCTAAAGGCATCACAATTTTCAGCTGATGAGCAAGATCTTCAAGATTATCATGAATTGGATAAGGAATTGGTTCACCTGAGGCTGTTAGAGTACCAAATGTATACTCTGCTCCGGTTGATCCAGCTTCATTATAACCCGTTATAAAGATATTATACCAAGTAGCTGGATTCAGGTCACTTAGATAAACGGTCCGTTGATCGGGAATAATATTATTAGAGACTAGAATATATTCACGAGAGCTTTTAACCTTGTATTGGACATTGAAATTTTGTATTGGACATCCTCCTGAAGACCATGAGGTTAAATTAATCAAGGCAAATGTTGAATTGACTGTAATTAAATCATGAGAATCAGGAGCAATTGGAGCTGTAGGATAAGAAAGATGTTCATTAGTAAACTTTGTCTCAATTTGAGAATTCAAAATTCAAAGAATTGAATTAACTTTGATCGACAGAAAATCTTCAGAGTTCAGGAGAAAAAAAAACTTGAAAATGCCCAGGAATCTAATTACAAATACACTTAAACACCAAAGCCTATGAACTTTCATGATAAGTTCATTAAACGGATGTTCATTTATAAATATTATGAAATTGAGTTTCATGAGGAAATTGAGATGATAATAGAAGAAAAGTTAATCAAGAACAGTTAATAAGTCAGTGAATCATATTGGTAAGAAAAATTTCATCATCGAAAATGAAAGAAAAGTAATAAATGTAATATCTAAGAGGATGATAACATGATAATAGTCATGATATTGTCATGAAATTGATAATATAACCGAAAGTCCGAATAGATTGTAAATATTATTTCTACTTGTATGCCAATACTATCGGAGTTGGCGATACAATGAAATCTACAAGATGATTAGCAAACTAATACAATCAAACGTTTATCATTAAATAACTGGAAGGGAAACATTTCGACTTCAGATCATTATCATCAACTGAATCCATCAGAAATCATTATTAATCATCAAAGTGCATGAGATATTAATAATATTTGACTGAGTCCATTTTTCTGAGTCAAAGTTGATGGCATCAAGTTATAATATATAACTAATTATTTCCGGTTTATCTCTTTGGTTTAGACACCGATAGAAAATAAAAAAAGATACAGACAGGTAATCGTCGTTATAACGGTAAAATTGTATTGATATTTTGGTTTCGTGCTTCCAGTTAAAGAAGAAGAAGAGAAAAAGCAAAAAGAAAGACGGAAGTTAACGGTTTTCCCTGTTAACTTCCGTTTTTTATCATCAACCTTCAACTCAATGTTGGCTTTAGATTAATAATTTTCTTCTTCTTCTTCTTTCAGAAATTTCCAACATGAGCAATCATCATTATCTTCATAACTTCATGTACATTATCATTATGATCATGATGATCACCATCAAGATTTCAATGTAATTTACCATGTTGGCACCTCCGAGTATAAATAGTATCACCATGAGTTTATTGGATAATATTAAAGGTAAAGGAATGGTTCAAGTCAGGACTGAAAGTATTATGATGATGATAATTATAAAAAAGGATGAAGAAAATGTTGAAGAGTAAAAGTTGTTTACCTTTTTTTTAATATGCTTACTAATGTAAGGAAAACCTCAACGTGAAAATTATCAAGACATGGAAGTGGATCCAAGGTGGGAAGTGGGTTGATAAAGGATGATGAAAGAAGCTCCATTCAGAATAATGGTGAAAATGATGAAAGTTGTTTGGGAGTTTCTTAATTACATAAAAGCATTTACTTTGGCATCAATCAAAATGACTGATGCTCATTTTCATCATCGCTTTTTTTATCATCATCATCACTTTTCTCATCATAAAACTTTCTGTTTTTTTCTGTTGTATGTTCATTTTAACCTTAGAACTGCAGAAGAAAACGATAATGTTCATTGTTGATTCTAATATCATGAGGTGAGAAAATGTTCAATAAAAATCTTAACCTTTTCCATTCAATGTATTCAAAGGATAACCTCAAATCATCCATGATAAATAGAGAGAGAGAGAGAGAGAGAGAGAGATAGAAACTGATAAATTACAATTTAATTGTCTTCTATTAGTTGATCGTCACCTTTTATTTGATCATTTCATCATTAATAACCCTAATTATTGATCGCAATTATTTACCTACACCGATAATAATAAAACTCCCAGTTGATAATAATAAAATAGCCTAATGAAAGTACATCACTAATGCCTGAGGCGAAACCATCATCATTAGAAAACAATCAATTTGTTAAATAATTTTCACTGAGTTGCTCGTGTATCGCTATAATGATTAGTGATAATTTAATCTGAGTAAATTGTTAATGATTCTCTTAAGATGATTAATTATCACCAATTATATCAAGTCAAAGGAAAACAATTAATAAAATTATATCTTCCCAAACCAAGATAATAACAATCACTCTTTTCATGAAGATTTCAATCTTTCACATGATAGATATTGAACCTTTTAATTACCCTAAAGATTATGATTAAAGTTAAATTGATTAATTCACTGGATCGTTTATAATAATCAACATTAGATTAGATTACAAGTGAAATGAGGGATCATTTAAAATGTGTTTAAATTCAATTCAATTAGAATGAACTTTATTTTCCCTCTATCTCAGTTTCTTCATGTTACTCATCACCATGAGACTTGATTCATGATAATGTTCAATATGTTTTCATTCAAGTGTAAGAATTGAATGAATACACAAACACTTTAAAGTAATTTGTTTTTTTTCCTCTTCTTTTTCCTCTCCTCAGATATAATTGTTTAGAGAAGTTCAAATCTTTATCATGTAAATCAAATTTCTCAGACTCACCCCATCTTTTTTTTCACAGTCATATTGCCTCTTGATGCTCACTCATATTAAATTGCTTTGCCAGTTATTTTTTTTCCTCCATCTCACTCCCTGAGTAATTCTGTGTGCTCTCCCTCTCTCTTTGATGGTTCATTATCTTGATTGCTGAAAACCCTGAGGACTTAATTCAGATTCAGTACGAACACAAAAAAAGGGTTTCAACATGAACTCAGCTAATGTAGTTTGTTTTTTTTATGTTGATTCTGTTTTTCATACTATTATTATTGTTATGCTATTATTGTCTGTGTCTATTTTTACCCTGAAAATATGAATTCAATTCTACGATAAGAGAAAAGATAGAAATGAGAAAAAAATATGATCTGAAGATGTTTGTTGTTTTCTCTGTCTGAAGAATCGGATTTTTTTGCTCATTTTTTTCCTTCTCCCTTTTTCCATACCATCAACTCATTTTATATCACTACTATTCCACACCTTCTGAAGAGATTCTTTGGAATTGAGTTGATCAATGATGTATATTCGAGGAAATCATTTTTTCTTTTTTCTCTCATCATGACCAATAATACAAGTAGAAAAATCTTTTTGAAGCAACAATAGAGAAAAATAGAGATGTTCAAATGAGAGGGTGAGAAAAGATGAATGAATTCCCGCTGAGAAGGTTATTTGTATTCAAAGGTTTCGAAAGTGGATATACGAAAGAGATACATGTGAATCAACTCATCATTTCTGTGTTCAGATCATGTAATTATTACCATTTCCACGAGTGGAGATATAATTTCATCCAATGGATTGGAAATTGAAAATGATTCGAATCATTATACTTTTGTAACAATCCAGCTTCTAAAATTTTCTCAGATACTGAGTAATGATTCAATTGTAATGATTTTTATTGATAATGATTCAAAGTAAGATAATTCATCATGCTGACTGAGAGAAAAGAATTTACCATCATAAAAAAAGAGAAGAGCAAAATGATCACAAGAATTTCTTTCAAGATTGAATCGAATAAAGGAAAAAACGAGTTTGTACCATGAGAAGAAATAATTCAAAGTATCAAATATCACTGTAGAAGTAAATATTATTATGGAATATACAGAATTAAGTGTGGAACAGAAAGAAAAAACCTCTTTTTTCTCTCAACTATTGACCCAATAATTGAGGGTTTAAACACGATTGTAAGGTTAACCAACTGTTATCATCAACACAACATGATCATTATCATTTACTCACCCTCATTATCTTTTCGAATAAAAAATGAATCATCAAATTAACTTAATCTCCAACCGATTAACAATTTATTCGGTTTGTTTTTTCATCATTTTTTCCTCTCTCCGAATGGTCGTTCATTCTCTTTAACTAATATTTGTGAAATGCTCATTGAGAATCTCAAAAGAGAAAAGCATGTTAATGAACTTGAATCGTAAGTCTTACAGGTTAACAGAAAAAGATTTTCAGATTCTCAACTTTGTAATGATACAGAAAATTCCAAGTTTTTACCAAAGAAATTGAACGAGACACAAGTGTATGTTCGATGTGTTAAATATGTTGCAAAGATTAAGCGTTCTATGTACATGTCCTTTTACTTTAGTTGGTGTGAATCTCTTTGTGTAAGACACTAAAACTTAAGAATAATTTCTAACTTCATGATCATGTATCAAACCCGTTGATCAGCTAGATTTTCTAGTATTTACTTAGTACTTTATATACTTATTTAGCTTTTAGAAAATGACATCAAAAAATTGCGCATAAAACTACATATATTAGGGGTATCAATAAGTTCTGTCGTTTTTAAGCAACATTTTCGCTTCGATTTTTATAGCAATTGGAATAGCTTTTTGAAGCCAATTTTTTTTCTGGTCATTAGAGAGACTATTCAACTTGACGAATCTCTATCAACCTTCGCATTTGTTGTTTTTGTTTTTGTGACAATGCTTTAATCATCATGCCTGCGTCAGTTACTTTTTTATGAGTTTAAATCAAGTAAAATGTAGCTGAAATAACTCGAAAAGTTAATAAACATTTTAATGAGGGATCAATTAATATGCGTTCAGTACAGTGTTGGTTTCAAAATTCCGTTCCGGTCAAGAAACGCTTACCGAGAAACCACGTTCATGACGTCCGATTTCTATCGATGTGACCGTAATCGAAGATATAATCAGAGAAAATCCTGAGCTTTCAATACACCAAATTAGCACTCAGACTGGTTACAGTTATAGGTCAGTCAGCGATAAAAAGTCTGAACTTGATATTGATAAGAGGCCAATATGCATGATTCGATATTAAAAATTCAATTGAAGAAGATTTCGGCACAAAAAATACCCAATGAAGTGGATATAAAAATGTGAACAAAGCTATCTATAAAGATTAATGACAGAATGAATCCAATATCATGTATATTAAAAGAGCGAGAAATTCAATTAGTGTTATTTGGGATTATTATTATTATTTAATCATTTTCCCACTTTCAGTTTCAGGTTTATTTTTTGCTCCACTGACTCTTCTGAGCCACTCAGAAGCGGAGGTTTTATTACTACTGTCATACATCTTGAATACAGCATAG